CGGCTACCCCGGATGGATTTGGAGAAGACTTGCCCGCCGGCATTTGGCGGGCTACTCAAGTATACACCGGAATATGAATCGTGGTCATACTACCGGTATCAGGTAGAGTGTCCAGGTCTTAGACCCGACACCGAGTATCAACTGTATATATAATTCTCTTAGCATAACACCTAATAAAGTTGCGAGGACTACGGATACTGTTCCATGCATCTTGATTTTTGTCACTTTATGCCGGTATTAGTTTCGTCCAGCGTTAAACGAAAGCTTAACGATCCTAAAGTGGTCAAATAATGAGTAAGCATAATTCCAAAGTCCTATTTGAGAAGTGATGCCGCTGAAAGTAGAAGGTGGCTGATTGGTTTCTGCACCTTGCAAGTTGTACGTAGATATCGTTTGATCTCCCAGAAGCCTGCTGAATAGAAAACTTGACCGCCGGCACTCCGAGTCTGTAAAAGCGGTAAGGAAGAAATAAAATCACCACATGCCGCGTGGGTCCAACACGGTATTGTATTAAAAATAGGTGTAGATTATTTTGGGCGCGGCCATTTTTGAGGATATGCCGATGTCCTCATTCGAATGTTGTATTCATCGGAAAATTGGAATAACCAGAAACATTCTTTCCCCTGTACAGTATTTTATAATTCTTGCGTCCTGGAATCTGTTCACATGAAGGTGGGATCATCGTAGCCTTGGTTTTTCTGCGACTCCTCATATCTCATCACTCGGCTGACCCGTCGTTCATGCGCAAAACATAACCGACAGGATGTTCTCGACCGGGCCAAGAAAGCCTAAAAACGATTTTTTGGCATATTTGTTTCCGGATGTTTCATTTCATATGATGCAAGTATGTAGCAAGATATACTATGCGTCATCCTGTTATGAATTTTGAGAAAGCTGTTGAGTCCCCGTGAATTTTGCTACATGAGTTATTCAGGACCGGCGACTCACTGCTTCCCAACGCCGTGAGAGTGGATCCATTGCGTATAGATGATTCTATTGGAATGCCATCGTTCTGGATACGTGCTTGGAAAGGCAAGTCATGATTCGGAATTAGAAGGCGTCTGATTTGAGACACCGTAGCCCTTCCCTGTTTCTCCGCCGCCACTATTAGGTATTGAAGTTCTCACTCAGCAATGCCCTCAAATGGATGTCTCTTGGACGAAAATGAAGAAGACCCCTGAGCGATTCCTACAGCCACCGACGAATCGTGACGACTTACTGTAATCCTGGTCAGATCCTGTGGTCACACACGCACACCCACCCACCTGTTGTTGCTGCAACTAGAGCACGCATCTTCAGGGTTTGGATGCTTCCCAACCTAAATCTTTTTCACTAGAACACGTTTTTCTTCTAGAGCCGATTTCAAGGAAGGCCGCCACTTTTGAGATCGATCCCACGTCCCATACCCCCGTAATCTGCCTGTGCAGTGGAAGAGAGCGAGCAAGCGCTGGTCCCTTCAGTCTTAACACTTTCCCCCGCAAAGAGTACCTACTGAAGTACACATCGTAGAGTCCGAGTTTGATTGAACCGAAGCGCGCGATATTGTATTGTACTGGAAACCAACGCCTTTGCTTGCATATTGCAGCCCTCACTACCGTACCGTGCCTCTATCTTAGCCTTCCCGCACATCTGGGTCGCCTACGCAAGCGTCGCCCCAAGGCCAAGTCCAACACCACCACACATCACCAACGGCCCAGCTCACTAAGGAGAATTCGTCAGTCTCCAGTACCTATCAAGACTATCTATCAAGGTGTCCCTTCACCAAAGATACCCTTCGCGACAGACATCACAACCGAAAACGCCTAATCAACAGCCCTAAAAGAGTCCTCGCGAAGCGTCCGACTTTTCTCTCAAGATTTAGGGCTTGGGCCTGCCAAGAAATCCTTTCCGAGGCCCGTCAACCACACATTCAGCGCTAGTAATTGATGAAATAAGTTAGCTCTCTTTCACTTACTCCCTTACCATTATCATCATCCTCAACAACGACCGTCAGACGCATCGAGGAGCCTCTGCGAGTCTCGTGTCGAAGACTCTTCACCCGGAGCTCTACAGTGACCTTTGCCACACTCGTCCGCCGTGCCAACACTGACAAATTTGCCGCCAACAGGATTTTTCCAAGCCCGACTGCACTCCTCAGTGACTCGTGTGAAATTTGGCATATGCCACAGAAAGCAAGATATCCATCAAAACGAACTATCTGAAGTGATTTGATACCTCCTCGAGACTTTCCCTGCCTTGAGAATATCAAAAGATCTCATCTGATTGAGCAGTACGTTGTCAAAGGAGCTATTTTACTATCGCATCGCTCCCGCACACAGACCGCGCCAAAACTACCCTTTTAACTCCCCACTGGCATCAAAAGGACCGGGTCCCTCTACACCTCTTCCACTTTTTTCGTCGTCATCCGCTAGACTTCGAAGCAAACAACGCCAGTACACGATCGCGATACTCGTAACCCCACGAGCTATCTCGGGAGCTGCGACCAAGTCCAAGACGGTGCATCAGCTCAACACGCTTCGAAATAAAGATACGACGGATAGAGAACATAGTCAAGGACGGCAGCGCTTGTGCAGGCGGACCAGGCATATCTGACGATACAAGTAGGCCGAAACAAAGCGTCTGTCGAAGCCGCGGTTAGATCCCTTTTCACACGGGAAATAACACAACATCGAAATCCTCACGATTTCAACATCCTCCACGCAGAGCATAGATCTGCGAGAACTCTCGCAATATTGTCTGAACACCTTCCTATTCGAATTGCCGGGGAATTCGTTCAATTCGCCGAACGTCATCTCGCAATCGGAAATTGAGTTTGAGACTACGACCATTCCGTCTTCACATCGTGTTCTCGACCCTTCCCTCATCATCGGAATCTCAATATATCCGTCATCTCAAATCACATTACCCCCAGATCTCCAATCAGACGGGCCACTATCAGATCCACCTCGCAGGAAAGCTAATCGAGAATAGAGGATCGCCTAGATCAGATCTGCCTCGCTCCTAGCTGTTTTAGAGATAAGTCTAGCAACTAGGCAACTACTGGAGTAGTAAGTAGTGAATTATTCGAGACTGGGCCGCATGTGGACTGGCGAGAAGTAGAACCCATACACATTCCAGACTACTGCTTCTAGGCGCGCCACTAGAGGAGACCAAGAGCCAGTCTCAACCGATCTAGCAGAAAGTAGGCCATCCCACACTCCAACCTCGGCTGAATAGGCAAGGAACAAACCAGAGGCTCCAGAGCAAAGTAAGCCGGAAACTCTATTGGACATCCACTATTATTACCCACCCACCGACAATCTGTTTGCAGAGAACCGTACTGACTGACGGCGACGGTAGCTACCAGTAGTTGAGTACTGGTACACAGTAGAAAGTTTGCAAACAAACTGCACTTGCAGTGGTTTCCGCAGCGGGGCTACGGTACTTGTTGGAGTCCGCCTTTCGTAGTAAAGCAAGCAAGCAAGCAAGGTATACAGCACAGGATAGTACAGCACCGTGCTTGTTCACAGGCTCAGATTGGCGTCTTTTCCCCTGCATACCTTACAGTGCAGGGTACGGAGTATTCTGGATCTCGCACGCGCAGTTCTTTCTCGGGATCTTCCAACTGGTGCCCTACAATCCCCACTCTCACTACTCCACTCACTCACTCCTCCACTCACTCTCCCAGAGTCCAGAGTGGTAACCGCTAGTGCCTCGGTGTAGTTAGATTGGGCGCGCAGACAGGCGACAGGTGTCGAGAAGGCGAGTGGAGCATTGGTCCACCTTTTATTACGCTGTTCATCGGTCAGCATCAGAAACCTCCACGACGCGCGAGTCAAGACTCAACTACTCCTCCCCGCCCCTCACCCAGACTTTGGCTGCATCTGCGCGTTGCATTGCACTAGACACCTCTTGGGTTAGGCGCTGCACAAGACGATAGCAGTCTTAACTTCTTTGGGCCAGCTAAAAGCGTTACAACGGTACCTCAAATCTCGGACTTGACCTCTCTCGGCCAAAACCTCTCATCCTCAACTAGAACTCGACCATTATTGCGAACCTGCGCACCTTCGAATCTGCGCAAGGACTCTGTCTGGCCTTTGGTCTTTGGTTTTGGTGACGCTCGCGTTTGATTTGATTTGCGCATCATCATTGTAATTGTGCTGTGCTCAGAATCAGCTGCTTCCGTATCGTACCGTACCGTACCGTACGTACAGAAATCTGGCTGGCTGGACTCACTACTCACTCTGGTCTGGATAGAAAGACAGACTGCGCTGACGGACCGACCGCATCTAACGACAAGAAACGCACGACAGAAATCCCACTCCCCCAGTATTATTGCTATTATTGCTTGCTTAAAGTTCGCACGCGCCCCCAATCCTTATTTTATCCACACACCCACCGATCAGATTCATAAGGTATTTTTACCATTGAATCCCCGAATCCTTGCATACCTTCAAGCTCTCCGTTACTACCCATCCCACCGTCGACACGGGATCGTTCAAGCTTGAAGCTACCGGCATCCCATATCATCTCATCTCGTCCCAAACCATCCAGCCACGCACGAGTACGAAAACAGCACTGCTAGTGCACCCTACTCGACACACTACAGCCACTGCGGTCATAGTATCACTATTGTCCCAAAAAAAGATCGAGTCCAATCCTTTGATCTAAGTACTCCGTACGGATCGGCAGTCGCGCACTACCCAAAAGCATTGAATTGAGTCTAACAGTATTGATCGAACTTTCTTCAACGGCGCCCACCACCACCCACCATCAAACGCACCATCTTTGTCGCCTCAACGCACCATCGCACCTACCCTGCCCACCCTACCCTACCCTGCCCTACCGCAATCGTCCTGACCTAATTGGCAACACCACACCAAAACCAACGCAGTAGGCACTACTCCAGCGATCCCCCCCCGACGCGCTTTCTTCTTTCCACTACTTTGTGAACGCACGCACACACGCCCACGACGCTTGTGGCTAGCGACTTACGAACTCCAGATTCCCGGAGCCGTAGTATGTCCTTGGTCTCTACTCAGCATCATTCCATCAACTCATTACATTCAAGCTCGAGCGCCGACATCGACAATCACTCTTCCAAGACTCCCGACGACACTGAAGCTACTCTAAGTACGCTTCTTGGGGTATTCGCACACTCTGAGCACAGCTCTATGGACAGAGGCCCCACCGAATATCCGCAGTCAGGTTTGCATTCACCATATCCGCACGCGTTAAACAGCGCCCAGTCTGAAGATTCTTCCGCAGATCACGCGTCTGCTGCCCATTACACTCCTCAACAAGCGCAGGAAGTGCGATCGAATACCTACTCCTCGTCCGCAACACCCAATTCCGAGTACGCCGTATATCCTGCTTCGGCGCGCTCAGGTTCTTTTCCAGAACATTTACATCGTCAGTACCATCCAGCTAGCAACCACAGCGGTAGTAGCGGAGGTATGGCCCAACCAACAAGTCCGTCAATGCCTTTGCAAGATGGCCGTCCAAGCCATCAAAATCCCCAAGTCAAGTCTGACCAGGATGTTCCTATAGATCCATCAATCGCAGCCTCGAGCCCGACCTACCCCTCCCACAACGGCCAATACTCTCCATACCCACCACAGGAGATGCAGCACGGCTATCCTCCCCAGCACCCTGGTGGCGCCATGTACCAGCAACCACGACCCGACTGGGCTGGCTATGCCAGTCACCCTCAACACCCAATGCAGAGTGGATACGCGGTGAGTGGTGCCCAAACACCAACCTCTGCGGCTTCAGCTGGTGGACGACCTGGTCAAGTAAGCTTTTAGAATTATATATTTTGGGATCCTGGGACGCGTCGCGCTTCCTTTTCTTTCTTTGCAAACTACTAGAGTCGCGAAGACGATGCACGACGCGTACGCGAACTGCTCTAACCTGCTGACGCCATGACCGTGTTTTCGAGTAGTCTCGAGCATATCCCCCATTTTCGGAACGCACCGAAGTTCGATTGCTAATCATCCACCATTGTGATAGGTCTACTCGTTCGTCCCCATCCCAGGTGCCCAGCAACACAAGCGTCCTCGTCGAAGATACGAAGAGATCGAGCGTATGTACAAGTGTGGGTGGAACGGTTGCGAAAAGGCTTATGGCACTTTGAACCATCTCAACGCCCATGTCACGATGCAGTCACATGGCCAGAAGCGTACGCCTGAAGGTATGTTTTCCCGCCCTCTCTTGACATTGTTTTACTTGATACTCTATTCCCGATCCCCGATCCTTGTGCGACCGCATTAGGATGCTAGATGTGTCTATAATTGTTGTGCGGTATTAACGGTGTTTTCTTGTGTGGGGGGGCGGAGGCGCAATTGTTCATGTATTGATGGTTTATTTGAGACTTTATCAAAGGCGCTTGTGAACAACGGGCATCCCTAGTCATTTTCTTAGGCGTCAAAGCTAGCGAGTTGTCTGGGGATGCCCTCACAGCTCCGAAGCTAGCAAGGGGCTACCAGATCTTCGGGTCTGTCTGGTGTAACGTCAACACGCTAACGTGTCACCTGCTGCAGAATTCAAGGAGATCCGAAAAGAGTGGAAGGCTCGTAAGAAGGAAGAGGAGAACCAGCGCAAGGCTGATGAGGAGCGTAACCGCGCTGCTGCTATCGGTGGTGCTGCTCCTGAAGGCCAGTCCAGCGAGGGCCCCCCCGCCCCTGGCTATCAACAAGCTGGTCGTCCTCCAGTCCAGCTTCCGCCGATCGGGTACCAACCTGGCGCACATGTCCCTGGACAATATCAAGCTGCACCTTCCGGCGGTGTTCAACAGCTCCAGGAGTATCCCAACAACGCCCAAATTCAATACACTGGCTACCCAGCTTCGCCTTATGGCGCTCCTAACCAGATGTATAACCAACGTCATTACACCCTCTGATCCTTCCCCCTCCAGAACCAGGCTAATGTTGTGAATAGATAACCCAGCATCCAAGTATGAGCATTAGGTCTGTCTGGTGTTGCTCGTCGACTGGCTTTCGCGACGACTTCCATTACTCGTCACTCTCGCAAGCATCGGTGGATACTACCAATCAATCAGCAATTTCTTAGTAGCTTGCGCACTTGTACCATATGGGTCGCTGCTTGCATTTACTTCGGTGTCCATATCAATTTCTACGTTCTTAGACGTTCCCTTTTCAGTCGCGCTCGGCAACGACAACGATACGCACGCTTTGATGACCTTTCCGTTTCTTCTTTTGCCTTGGGAACTAAATGGGAGGTGGTCGGCTGCATTATCTGGCTTTCACAGCGGCGTCGTGGACTGTTAACGAATACGTTTGATTTGGTGTTAGGACTAGATTTGATTATGTTGTTTGGTTAATGCATTGCATCTGCTTTGCATGTGGTTACTAGACCACCCTCTTCCATGCATCACATCATGTATCTGGGTCCGGTAGTTTACTTTTCACATCGTGGCCTGATCAAGGTTATGATTTTCCCCCTTTCGTTCTCTTGCAAAATTCATCTGGTAGCATACACGGGGTCACGCACATTCATGGAGGGCGTGGGGGCGCGTTGGGGCACGCTGGTTTGTTGTAATACTGCTTATGTCGCGCATATTCGACCCCTTTTGTACCCAGAGAAACAAAAATCAAAAGAATCGAAATTCATGCGCAACTCATTGAGGCCTGGTGTCGTTGGAGCGAAGTCGGTCACGGCCTGCTTGATTGCCTAAGCTCCTGTGAAAGTTTTAAATTTGAAATGAGAGTTTGTAGTGAGCAACATCTGCCGCCAAGTGGCAAGAAAGCAACTGCGCGGAGTCGATCGGGGTTAACTGCTAGCTAACATGATTTCCCTTGGTGACAATACGCTTTCAAAGCCAGTAACCAACAAAGAGTAAATAAGCGCTGCCGCTATCTAGCTCCAAGAACTTATGAGATCGGATAAGCCTGTTTTGCAGGAGAAACTTATGTTGATTTATTGTAGATTGACAGACAGGTATAAAGGTGAAAGTGCATTGTATTGTGTTTCTCGGAAGATGCCATGCTTGCTTGCATTTGTTAATGTTTGTGTGCGGGGGAATATGGCTTTGTACTATTGGTTGGGTTTGGATTTGGATTGCTTTTGTTGCGTGGTTGAAAGGGAGATAGATGAGGATGGGGGACGGGCTGGGGTTCAAGAAATATATTTGCTAGTTAATCATTCCTAAGACTGTAGTGGGGACTTGGATGTTTCAAGTGAAAGAAGCTTTGTCGTGGTTATTGGGTTCTGAGTTCCGAGTTTCGAGTTTTGCTCTTGGGATTCCTTTTTGGAGGTGGATTGTGTTGTGTATGTAGGTAGGTGGTTGGTTTGCTGGGTTTGCCTTGACGAGATCGGATTGATGCTATTGAGCGCTGAATGAATAATATGTCATGCCATTTGTTCGCTTTTCAATGCACAGCGCGCTGTTACAGTAGACGGAAGGCAGGCGCATATCAACTGCAAGTTGGGATTAGATGCTTCATTGCTCTTGCCATGCATGCATGCAATAGAGCGGAGTGGAGTGGGTGAGATGATGAAATGGCGGGAATTCTTGTGTGACCTGGGAGTGTTTGAACCGTGATTCGAGTGGTTTGGAATAGTCTGGAATTCTCATTCTCATTCTCATTCTCATAGAGAGGATCGCATTATGTAGGTCAGGCAGCAGCAGGATTAAGATGTAGTTTCTGTTTGCTTAGTTCTCCATTTCAAAGCTAAGGTAGCTAGCTAGTTTGCAGTTGACCGATTGGATCAAGTACACCTGTGATGGTCTCAGATATGTTCCCGATTTCTTGTTTCCCAAAGTCCTCCATTCCATAGCCTCAATTCATCAAATGTCACCAGAGGGACATTCGCACGCTCCGTGTCTTTCCTCGACAGGTTCGTTATTTGAGCTTGGCAACACTAGCATCGATCTGGGCTATGCGAGCATCCATTTCGCCTTTGAAAGCATCGTGCTGCGTCTTGAGAGATTTCAGAAGCCGGTACGCGGATCCCCCCTCTTCCACCTTGAAAGGCACTGGTGCTATATGGGCCAGGATGTACGTATGAACGCTAGCGACTTTCTCGCGGATCTTCTCGACTTGTTCGCGCTTGTCCTTGTACAGCATGTACTGGACTGCGTAAGCCTTCAGGTGCAGATCGAAGTCCACGTTTTTGATTTCCATGCCATCGGGTGTGGGGGATATCTGGGAGGGTACGGGTGGTTTGAGTGGGAATGAGGGCAGTAGGGGCTCGATGAGGAGGATCGGATCGATGTATCGCCAGACGTCTGGGCTCATGGCTTTGATTATGAGGATCCAAATAGGCCAGTCGCTCACTTCTTGTAGAATGCTGCAGGTGCGCGCCATCTTGATGGGTGGTGTTCGGTTTGAAAATGTTAGATGGGTTGTAGAAGCAAAGGGATGCCGGAGTTGTGGGATGTCAAAAGGTATCTGGGTATGTTTCCTGTGAAGAAGTTCTGCTTTTATGTGTTCCAGGGCAGTCTGAATCCTTGTGATTCATGTTTTCCGGTCTGTTCGTGAATCTTAACCATTTCGTGAATCCTCTAGTTCACTTATACATCTCGGTGGATGTATAAGTGCCCCAAGTTGATATATATCCTAGTGCTGATTCACGTATACCCTTCTTTATACGTGAATATTAGACCAACTCACAGGCAAACTCGGACCAGTGATACGCAACGAACAGCAAAGTGAAGGAAACGGAAATCTAGGCCTCATTTCTGAAGCGTAGATCTAGATATTCAACTTACCTACATGTCAGCGCACATTTGAATCCTCAAAAATACACCCACCGGTCCCATGGCCCACTGCAAAACCACTAGTCTGGAGAGCAGTAGAACGGCGCCAGCCCAAGCGGCTCTTTTATATCGATCCGTTTGTCACATGACTTGTGAGCAATAGTTCTTGCTCAGGGAAGCTTGAGGGGGGCTTGCCAATTCTCGCAGTGTAGGTATTGGTATCACATAGTGCACTCGGCTGGCCTAGTAATCTGTCTCATACGATGGTATCTGTTTTGGTTTCTAGGTGCCTAAGTCTAAGTGTGGATGACGAAGGCGAAGAGGTTATGGCCTTCCCCATATCCCTCTACTAATAATGATGACAGATGTGCCTAGTAATATCTGAGTCATTGAGCTCATCTGGTCGCTGAAACACTACTGGCATTTTCTTAAGCACATGAGTGCCTCTCCTGACTTGAAGTTCACGGTCTCGATCTTTCCGCAAGGCAAACGGAAGAGATATCTCCCTCTTGACTGGATCCGAGACTATATTAAGCGAAGGTGGCTACCCAGAAGGCAAATGCAGAGGAGGTAGTTAAGGAAGAAGTTTGATCTAAGGGTTTGTGTTGATAGGTTAGTGGTGCTGTTAGAACAGATGCTGTGCCACTGTCTCTGCAAACATTCCTCTTCTTATTAGCATCCAAAGGTTCGGGAATAGAAGCTTCAAGCGTTATAACACTCAAGGATGTCAAAAAATCGCGGTATGTATTAAGTGTACCACTCCCCATTATAGTCAGCCGTATAGGTGGCCTTACAATATTCCCGGCAATCTGGGTATCGATTGATGCCAATAACGGCAATGACACGATAGGGCGCATTGGACGTAACTAAGATATTGCTTCGATGAAGATCAGCACGAGTGAAGGTGATGGCAAATTGTGAGTTGCGGTATGGATCAGGAATAAGAAGGATCCAGCTAATGCATTTCCAATCCCTATTTAGTCATGGAGCCAATCGGTGGAATTCATTGACTAGAGAGAAGGGGCTAGCGGGGGCTTCATCTCGTCCGTGAACTTGATATCAAGAAGAGGTTGGCGGTTGACGTGACCTTGAAGAATTAGCTTGTAGGTATGTCGATACTTAAGAAAACTCTCACCTAGGAATTGATTCTCCGGCTCTTGTTTTAAGCTTCCCAGCTCCGACAACATCACTCGAGCTGGCACAAATATCTATCCTCTCTGGCTTCTTCAAGTAACGGCTTTTTATGGCGAACACCACAAAATACCATAGGAGTTAACATATCCTTGAATAAAATGCCCAAAAGAAAATTTGTCTGTAATGGTGTGTAAGGATTTCATCTTAATAGTTTCATGACATATTTGGTACAAGGTCGCCCTCAATCTACCAGGCTCCAAACTCCATTACTCCTTAATCTGATTTCACCTCCTGCCCGTCTCCTTTCGTAACCTTCCAGCAGCAGTTGTAGGCGCAGGCTCTGGCCACGTTGATACCGCATCTTCCATTTCCTCTAGGAATGTAGTACTATTATGCACACAAGTTCCGCCTATAACAATCCTGATTCCGGGAGATGAGGCGTTGATCTGTGACACAGTCTTCGCCTCCTCAAAAGTAACACCCCCAACTATAAACAAGATGATATCCTGTGGCTTGTCCCGAGTTGAGCCTCCGCCTTCGATGAACGGATATTGCTGTTCTCGTAACCGTCCTTTGATGAGATTCTGGAGTGTGAGTTCCAACCGAGGTGAATGTTGTGTGTAGACATTTTCGACACCTTTGAGGCCCTTCAACCGGTCTCTGGCCCCTGAGAATATTCCGGCTGATTCAAACATATCTGAGATTCCACCGGTGGATTGAGTTTGCTGCAGCGATGAATGGTAAGTTAGGAGTTTTGCAACGAGGTCGATGCGTCGTTGCGGGACATTTCCGGCTGCGCCTAGTAAATCTACCAAGATTGGTAATGCATTGGAGGGATGTTTCTCATATCTCAGCGAGTAGAGAGCAACGAGCCGTAGTTTGGAGTCAGGAGTGACAGTTGGGGACTGTATAAGTCTTTGAACGTTCTGGTTCCCATTAGTAAATAATAAAAGGTTGGAGCAAGTAAGCTTACTCTTAAATCGCTAGCATGGTTATCATTACATGCCAGGCTCTGTTCCACCTCACTGACCTCAAGCAGATTCTCCGCGCCTACTTTCCTGCTCAATTCGCCAACTAGAGTAACATGCTTGCTCACGTTCCCAGAGAGCTTTCGAAACTCAGGGTATTCCTCAATGAACTGTTTCATGTCCGCTATTGACTCAATGTTGGAGCTGTTTTTCGTTTTGGACTGATATTGCTCAACATAGTCTTTGATGTTCCCACCAAGATCTCCAAAATTCAAATACATGTTCTTCTTAAAAAATGGGTCTTGATCTTGGGATAATACCACTTCCTTCAATTCGGGCCGGATATCTGGAACTTCACTTAAATCCACTCGGCCATTTTGTATTCCCAGGAGTTCGTGGACCATAGCTTGGTATGTCCACTGTGTCAAAAGAGGTGTAATTGGGTCATCTCTTCGATCCAGTATCAGCAATATTGGGGGTGTATCGACCTTTCTGAAATCAAATAGTTGTTCTTCTTGGGTCATATGATATTTCACTTCCGTTGCCAGCTTTTTTGCCAGCAAGCTACTCTTCTCGTACCGTATCAGAGGCTTCTTCTTCAACGACAACAACACCCCGATCAGTCCCTCCGTAGAACGCTGCAGCGCGTCCGTATTCCACATATCTGGGTTGGAACTCCATATGCGCTGCCGCGGGAATCCAATGTCCAATGTAAACAGATCTGGATTGACCACCAGATAGTCCGCAAAATGCTCCTGCACAGCCCTAACTACCTCATGATCATCTGCCTCTGCCAGTCTTTCCAGAGACGACTTCTTTACCACATTGCTGAAGTATATGTTGTACTCTCCATACTTGGGGTCTCGGAATTCGTCGATGAGGAACTGTATTGAGTCTGCGGAGGGCCGTACGAAACATAGACACCTCAAGTGTCTCATCTTCTCGCGATTTTGGTTGTCGAGGCGGTCAATAAGGTAGACCTCGTGGTTTAGGAGGGCGGACTGCGTAATAGCTGTGGAAACGATCGATACGGTCTCGCTGTCGAGTAATAGGATCTTCATTTTCGCTGATGGAGTCCCTGAGGCGCTATCCCCTGCCGACACCATCTTCGAGATGTATCCCGATACAGCTTGCACGACGTCCATCTTGCCTTCTTAATTGGTGGTTGGATTGAGAAGCGCAATAATGTCAAGGCCCAGCTGATATGGTCATTTCCCCACGCTTCGTCAATCGCGCCCTCTTACTGTCGGTTGATGGCTTGCGATTTGCTAACCCGGCGCATTCGAGGTGTAGGAATTGGCAGGTTTCGAGAGGTCAATATGTAGTTGGAGCTGCTTGTTATTGTAAAAGGTCATCGATCCTATGTCGTGAGGGCGTTCAGTACCTAAACCTAGGTACCTAGGTACAGTGCAGTGCGGTACCAACAAGGGTCAGCGCCAGGCTACGTCCAACACTTGGGAGTGGCTAGTGACGGGCACAGCCGCTTCAAAACTGCATGTGCCTGTCTCTCAATCAACAAAGTTCCCCAAACCACCCATCGCTCCTGTGATAGCACACATCAGAACTTTGCAGATGGAGTCTCAATAATACCGACAAAATCAGAAGACATCATGCTACCATATATCAATATTCGTAAGGACCCAAAGCAACTCAACATTTTCCGAAGTCCAACTCTGACGTCACAGTAGCCTTTGAGTATGCTGCTGGTAGTTTGGGAGCTTCACCAGATGACCGTATGAATCTCCTCTCGCGCATTGATCAATGCCTCTAGATGTGCCACAACAGCTAAACAATATACAGTCAAGCTCGTAGCCTCCTTTTTCCTCTCCTACCCTCTTGCTGGCCTCCTCAAACGCGTTCCAGATGGGAAACCAGCTTTGAAGAACCTTTTTATAATCAGGTTGGCAGCATGTACCGAAATGGGAAAGACTTAAAGGCTAACTCTCTACAGCGTCTCTACCTTCTATTTAGTCGGCCTTTTCGATCTATGGGGAGGTGTTAGGACGCTGGCGGTGAGCTCCATAGGAGCATACTGTATTGCTCAATATGTACAGGGTCCCTTTATGCCATGGATCGGCTTCGTCTTTTGCATGGGCCACCTATCAGTCAATCAGCTCACGAGACAATTTGCGAATAACCCTGGGGTACTAGACATTACAGGGGCTCAGATGGTACTGGTCATGAAGCTCACGTCTTTTTGTTGGAATGTTGCGGATGGGCGTTTGCCAGAGAAGGATTTATCAGATTTCCAGAAGGAGAGGGCTATCAAGCAGCTACCGAGTCTGCTGGATTTCGCCGGATACGTTCTATTCTTCCCATCTCTCATGGCAGGGCCAGCTTTCGACTATGTCGACTACAGACGCTGGATCGAAACAACTATGTTCGAAATGCCAGTAGGAACAGACCCGTCGAAGAAACCGCCTACAAGAAAGAAGAGAAAGATTCCTCGTAGTGGAACTCCAGCAACTTGGAAGGCGGCCGCCGGATTACTCTGGATCTTGTTATATATCAAGCTCTCTGGAATGTATTACCCAGATTTGCTAGTGGGTGACGAATACATGAAATATGGCTTTCTGCACCGCGTGTGTATTCTGCATATGCTTGGATTTACATCTCGTCTCAAGTACTATGGTGTCTGGGCTCTGACAGAAGGTGCATGCATTCTATCCGGACTTGGCTATAGGGGCGTCGATCCAGCTACCGGCAAAGTCAGCTGGGACAGGCTTCGAAATGTAAGTCCGTGGGGAGTAGAATCTGCCCAGAACACTCGAGCCTACCTCGCAAGCTGGAACATCAACACCAATAACTGGCTGCGGAACTACATGTATCTACGTGTTACACCACGAGGCAAGAAACCTGGATTCAGAGCAAGCATGGCGACGTTCGTCACTAGCGCCTTCTGGCATGGTTTCTATCCCGGATACTACCTCTCATTCGTTCTAGCTAGCTTCATTCAAACCGTGGCAAAGAGTTAGTTGCCCCTTTCCTTCTCTAGTGCAAGTAAACTAATGATCCTCAGACTGTCGCCGTCACTTGCGCCCCTTCTTCCTAGACCCCAAAACTTCACAACCAACATCCTATAAGATCTACTACGACATTTTCTCCTACCTGATAACGCAATTAACATTCTCCTTCGCAACCGCACCCTTCGTTCTCCTAACACTCCCCGCATCTTTCCTCGTCTGGGCACGCGTATACTTCTACGGCGCCATCGGCACAGCGCTAGCTACAGCATTCTTCGCCTCCCCTGCAAAGACTTTCCTGATCAAGAAGCTAAACCAGAGAGCTGGCACACCAACGTTGAAAAGATCGGCCAGTTATGATGAACTTTCGAATAGGGAGCCAGTGTTGGGATTGCCCGCCGAGCCGCAGGAGGATCTAGGTGAGTTGTTGAGTGAGGTGAGGGCCGAGATTGAGGCTAGGCAGAGGAAGGAGAAAGTGGGCGTGGAGAAGAAGACGCTGTAGGAGTTATGGCTCATGAGTGCAATTTTGTATCTTTGCTTTAAGCGTAGAATATCAATACCACTTGCATATAGACCTTCAGCTTTGTTCCCAAAAATGCGCAATTCCCAGAAGCCGGGCAAAAGTTGCGGGTTGAAGAAGTAGAAATGAGTGCCTCTGCTACATAATTTGCGCAAAAGCTTTAGACAAGTTTGTACAGGTGTCTCTATTTTTAAAAATATGTTAAGAAGCCTATAAAAGTCGGCTCAAGAAAACATTCTACCTATCACCTTCAATCACCTTGACCCCTTTCCCCCATCTATTTACTGGTATATTATTCTAGTCATATCGAAACCTCAACTCCCATAGTGTCTTACGGCCGTCTCCACAAGAAGAAGAAGCCTCCCTGTGAACAGAAAAAGAGGCACCAACGTGCTAGATGGCATAGGACGTTAATCAAAGGTGTATGAGAATAGGTTCCCTGGGAAGCACAGTATAACTAACGACGAGCATACTTGAAGGGTTTCAAAGAAAGTGATTGGCAGTTTGGCAGTGGGGAAGCTTGAGGTACCTAGTACTTGTACACTAAAACAATATAGTATAGGTACCTAAGATAAGTAGACATCACAGCTCTTTATTTATATATATATTAAGCACAAATCGCAATTCATAGGTACTTATACTTTTACCCCATCCAATACATCTTTTAATTCTTGCTTACGGTTCCTACTACTACTACACTTACTGTCAAGACAAGATATCTTTTTCCTGTTAAGGCAGGAACAAAAGAACACTTCGACGATATGCAGGCAATATCTTTCTGTATCCTTTGTGTACGTGTAACTCTCAAAAAGTGCTAGTGAATGCAATGTGAGAGATGTTTTATAGCAAGCAAGTAGGTAAGCAAGGCCCCACCCTCACTTGTTGGCACTTTCAGCACGTGCGTGGTATTGTGGTATTGTGGTATTTAGGAGCTTATGTAGATGTTCTTGTTACCAATTGGGTATTGAATGCCTACTTGTTAGTCTCAGGCTCATGGGAAGGCGCTTGAAACCGGAAAATAATAGCTTTTCTTCTTTTAAAGACTGCCTGGGTACTCAAAGGCCGATGGTCGTTCCAGAAGGTCTTGTAAATAGCGAGTAACTTAGCGGTCTAGTTATCATGGTAGATTTTAGGTAAAAGCAGCTTCCGTCATTTCATTACACTATAGTATTATCAGTTTCGGTCCCGCCCCCAACTAACACCGAACGCTCTGTTTCCATAACACCAAAAGCAAGAAAACCCATAATTGTTACATGAACATCACCCTCTTCCCAATGCCCCCCTAAAATAAAGCCAGAGCAGATGGACTATCCGTCCACGTCCATAGCATCTGAGTCCAGCCATACAGCCCCGCCACAAGAAGGATGTAATAAACAATGGTCCAGGTAATTCCCAGACTCCCACCAGCGGCATTCTTAACGCGATCTTCACTCCTCTTTCCCCCTCCAAGTTCTTCACCCATAATGTCATCAGTGCCCTTGGTGACCCTTCCCCAGAATCTCGGTAGCCCCATCCAATTACAAAATGCGTGCACCAACACCACTGCAAGCAAGCTCCCAGTTCTCAAATACAGGAATGTAGCATAGCTGCCAAACATCGACGTGTATGCAAGCTGGAAGAATGATCGGGCGAGAGCTCCGACTACAGGCGTATGCGGATGCGTGATGCGGTATTCGTAGAAGTGGTGGACATGTGCCAGGCCGAAGATGATAGGCGTCAGGAAGACGATTGTTGTATTCGAGGTATTGGAGAGGAGTAGTAGAGGCACGGATGCAGATCGGAAGAGAATTTCTTCAGTGATAGGGCCCTAATATCAAACATCAATATGGAGTCAATAATGCAGCTGAGGGGAACAAACCGCTACATAGTTCCGATAGCCTATCCACCCACTTATGGTAGCATTCAAACTCCCCAACCGTATCCATTTCCTCCATCCGCCTTCCACGATGCCGGCCTCGAAGAGCGGTCCAAGGAATAGAGTCGCTGTGAGAGCGACAGCTTTTACGGATTCCTCCACGCCAACGGGGAACCATCCCAGGTTATGCAGGGCTTGCAGAGGCGTTCCATTTTGAACGACGGAGTAGAGGAGGAGAAAGGTGCTGAGGGAGCAGATGATGCAGGATGTTGTGACGGAAGCTATGCGGCCTTTGATGACCGAGGGTGCGTCGCGGGAAAGTTGAGATGAGGGGCGAGTTGTTTTTGATATGTAGAAGGGTAGGACGTAGACCAGCGTGTATAAAACCTGTGAGCGGGTAAGGTAAGTAGGAGTCGGTCGGTGTGTTTGGGTTAGATGTGATGTGATATTCAGGACTGACCAGCAAGGCTACTGCAGCGTAGGTAGTCAAGAATGGCTTTACGGGTTCTGCTATTGTTAGTGGATGGGGGTGTGGGGAAAGAGGGGGCGACGACTACTGACCCTTCTCACCCGTGTAGTAGGATTTGAGACGAGAATACAAACTGGTGGTGATGGGAGCCATACTGTATTTGGTTGTTTGGATAGGTGAGGTACCTTAGAAACAATACAGGCACATTGGCTTCTGTGGATGGGACGGATAGTTTGAGATGTCGGCGTCACGGAGGAATTTATTGGGTGGATCTAGGAACGTCAAAGTCTCTGGATTGCTCACTGCATATGCACTGCACTGCACGGGCACGCACTCCAAGAATCGATCGCCTGTTTACAATAAAACAATACGAAGTACAAACAAAACAAAGGCAGATACTCTACAGATTCCAATGCATAAGCAAAACCTCACATAGCAAGCTGAAAGGCGTATGATTCTAATGGCGTGGTAGAAGCGATTTTGATAGTGTGTCTGTAAACTCACCCATGGCATGGCTGGCAAATCACGACTAGGACACGAAAAAAACACGTTGAAGTTCGCATTGCGCGTCTTCCCCTTACGTTTATTTAGATTGCGGCTGCAGCTTTGCCCACGGATGGAACGGAGCCAACGTTCGTGTCCTCGCTACCAACCAAAACGCGGAAATGAAGAACAACACAGATCAGTCTGGCCACTTTGCAAGCCTGGGGAACCTCGAGGGGAATGGCATTATTCGGTCTTCTTATGGGCAATCGGTGCTGGGAGTGGTTATCGTGGCGATCGAACCAGTGGTCGTGGTCTTGGAGGGAGGAGGGGCAGCATGGATCTCCAATCGTGACTGAGAGCAACGATGGATATCATACTATTTACACAACCGGATGGAGGTGTCGGTAATATCAGACGCTGCCTTTCTGGCTCCTGCTGAGGTACTTTGTGCTTTGTTTGGAGTAGAGATATACCTATGTAGTAAAGACCGGATGCAGTGCCAGGCATTTGAGTCCTGCTCAACTCACCGCGAATGGCTGCACGAGAATGATGCTTTTATGCATGGAACTACGTCTAAATCAGGAAGACGGATACTTTACTACTGCTACCAGCCTTTTTCCAAAGAGAGACGACTATCCATCCAGTGGCATCCACTGATCCAGACCGCCCCTGAGCGATACGTCGCGCTAGAAAGCCAGCTGCAGCCACTTTTGACCAGCCTCGCAGCGGTAAGGTAGACCAAAATTGACGACTTGCCCCGAGAAGCTTCAAGCAATCCTTTTCTTCCTCTTTTTTTCCAAAACCATCGCCGTCGCTCTCTTTCCTTCCTACTGTTTTACTTGCTGTATCTCTTTTTCTTCTCTCCGCTCCTTGTTCATATTCAATCCCTCGTTCCCATTGTCCTTTTAGAAGCACACAAACAACAACACCACCAGCGCAGACCGCCATTTATCACGACCCGACGAAATTCTTTACCTATATTATCTCTTTTATCTTTTATCTAATACTCAGCCTGTCGCGACTCAATTCGAAACAGGCATATCAATCATCATCCATCGCATCACAGAGACATATATAGCACCGGCTTTATCAGTCATCTTCATCTTGCAAAAACCGAACCTGCCTTACGTACGGACCGAAAATGCCATGCCTTCATTTATGATCAATCTTTCCGGGTAGACTCATGGGACGATTTTGCCGAGTACCGATCCGAGAAAATGTCGGAAGGTTCACCATCTCGGCAGCCTTTGCACGAGCGTAGCAATTCCCAGAGCAACAAAATCTCAGCAATTAGACTCGTCCCAAGTACACCCCCGCGACTCTTGGGCCAAGAAAAAGAGGAACGAGATGAGGTTTACGGACGGACGCCGCTACCGACCCACCCATCCCATATTTTGCTCGCACCTGGCCATGGGAGGGGTAAGGATAAGGATCCCACACCTGCATTAGCACCCGAGTTTCAAACCACCTCCAAAGCACAAGGGGAGGCCATTTCGAGTGGCTCGCCTGTGTCGACGCATATAACGCATCATCTTCCTCAAAATGCCGACTCTGCAACAGGATCTACAATCTCAAAGCCGAAACGTCTGCCAAAAAAGGGTTCAAAAAAGCGTCTTCAAATCCACAAGGATAGCAAGACCTTCTCACTGTTACAAGATGACCCCCAACCAGTGCAAGACACTCCCAAATCACCGACATTTTCTATTCCTACGAAAAGCTCATACGATTCGCTAGCCTCAGAGGCTCTTCATGCAGAGGCCCGGTCTAATTCCATTGATTCATGCCTACTACCACTCACGCCTGCTACTCCAGCTTCCGAAGGCAAGCAACCAATATCCGCGGATCATATAAGCAGTTCTCCTTGGAATTATCAACTTGTTGGTGGCCTACGAAAAGTTCCGAAAACCCCAGATATCAAGCAAAAGTCCACAACAATTGCTGATAGCCCTCTACCGCCTCTTCCACCTTTGCCAGAAGTATACGACCTACCGTCTGCCGCCGCGTCGCACGATCTCTCTGCGAAACCCTCCTTTCGCTCCACCCAGACTACCACGACAACCTCTGAAAACACAAACTACAAAGTTTACGGCAACACATCTGATTCTGCTTCCGAAGTTGCTATCCAGCCTCCCTCTTCCAACAATTCCAACTACCAAGTATTTGGCGACCCTTCCGAAGCCGATACAGCCTCATCAGTCATCCATAGACCGCAGACTGGATATTCCGAGAACGAGAACTACGAGTTGCACGGGGACCCATCACTAACCGGTTCGTCAGTGAATCTCGTTGGCGGAAAGAAATACTCCCAGGAATCATTGGTAGTTCCGCCGTTGCGACCTAGAGCCAACAGATCAAACGAAAGTTTTGGATATTACAAGTCTCGGTCTAGAGAATCCCTTCGGACTGGATCACTCACTTCCATCTCGACTGTTCTCAGTCAACAAGAAGCAGCACAAGCAGTAGTTGGCAGTGGATCCTTAATTCAGCTACCTATTTCCAACCGAGCAGCAGCATCGAGTTCATGGGCGGAAAATACTCACCCACTGCGGTCCCACATGAACGAGCAACCTCATCAATGGAGCTCACAGCTTTCAACTGTGCTCTCCGTGTCAGAGGGGACCGAGCGAGGTTCGCGATCATGGTCGGACGACAGCGGGCGTATGAGTGGAGGATTTCCAAGCACCCCAAGTCGCACCAGTCGCAACAGCCGGCAGATGCTGAGCATCAGTTCATCCCTACAGCGGGAAGAAGGAAGAAGCGAGTCTCCTATATCGCCACCAGATCCCGCCTTTACTCGAGGCGGCAGGCGCCATCAGAGCAGCTCTTCTGTTCCAGTAGTTGGCGATCAAGATGAACATGGGGATGGGATCACAGATATGCAAGACTTACGGGCGCGTCCCTCGAGAACGCGGCTCTCTGGATTCTTCAGCACCACTTCTTCGGATAACGGGCGTTCCAACACCATGCGCTCAAGCAGCAGCTCGAGGGCTAATAGCTTGGTCTCAAGCTCAATACCTACATGGGCGAAGCTTTACTATGGAAGCGGAGAGCGGCGTTATTTAGGCACCCCTGGAGCCCCTGGAAGTTCTACTGAAGGCACCGACAGCCGTTCTGGTTCGTTCACGACCGGATCACCTAATACAGACCATTTTCCTTTGAGTATATATAGCCCAAGACGGCGGCCTAGGGGAGTTCACCCCAACATTGGAAGACCTTCGGCGCGCGGCTCTTTGGAAATCACTCCTGCGCCATTACAGGAGAATAATGATCCTGACACACGGCGCTTCAGGACTTGGAGTTTATCAAGTGTTTGGTCACCGCACTTGCGGCATGACAGAAGAGCTACAGGACACAGCATGTGGGATCCTCCGTCTATAAGCTGGTCCACTGATGGCAGATGGTTTGGTAGGCGGAATATTCAAATAGTAATGTTTACTTTGGGATTTATTTTTCCTTTTGGTAAGGAATGCTATCTTGGCCCCTCTGTACTCTCGCTAATATGACGTTATAGCTTGGATGATAGCGGCGTTTCTGCCGCTGCCTCTGAATCCTATGACCGAAATGCGCGAACGAGATGTGGAAAATAGCACGAGTAATCTCGACAATTCTAATGATTATGCAAACGATTTTGCCCGCCAATTTGGACCGGTAGATGAGATAAGATTCGAAAGCGCTAAATGGTGGCGGAACCTCAATAGATGGATGTCCATCGTGGGCCTACTGATCATCGCGGCAGTGGTATGCAGCCCCACCTACATAGGAAGGAAAGCAGCTAACAGTTTACAGGTTGTGCTGGTTGTGATCGGCGTAAGAGAAGGCTGGACTAAAAGCTAGCCTTGCTATTTAACTACATCGACGACACGAATTACGCTCTCTAGAATTTCCTTATCTACATACTATCATTGACAACATTTCCTACTTCTGTTCCAACATAACGACAGCTTCAGAATATTCGGGGCAAAACTGCCAGAATACGACCTTGTACGAAACTTGTATATTAGACGCTTCAACGACGGCAAGAAAGGGTGACGGATGATTCTGCACTATACCCTTCCTGATGAGAGAACGAACGATAGACGCTTTATTTGTGGTGGCATTTGTGGGGCGTACATAGCTTTTATATTTTAATGGCTAATGAATTCCTATTCTCAAAACATGAATCTTGCTGCGCTGCCTATGATAGGATCAATCCTGGAGGCAATCCAATCCATGAAACAAGCATCAATTGAGGCATCCAGCAGTCCAAGGACAGTCAGAGATTATAGCTTTGGCTCGTTACTTTTTCAATGTCCCGTTCGGCCAATTTTCACGTCAAAGCTTATTCTCAGCCGCAAGATACTAGGTAACGGCTCCTAAGACAAGCTCGATCCCAGGAAGGCAGTTGAGGTACGGAAGGGTCCGATGCCCTCGCAAATCCACCACAATAGCTTCATTTGTAAGCCTTGATCACAACAACATGGTTCGCTCTTTGGTCTGGACTTATGGTGGACAGCAATCTGATAAACAGCCTTTGTTTAGGGAGGTGGATGGTACTTGCCCCCCCACCTTCCCCTTGAATTTCCTATTTGGGTTAGCGCTCGCCTAACTGTAACCTTAACGTAAGGTAGATATATAGGAGATAAGCGCAAGCCTGTCGTTAATCCCCTCCCGCATCCCCTACATTAGCTCGAGTAGGTACAAAAGCTTCGCAACCTTGTTCGGCATTCAACCTCTCTCGAATCATTCGCCGCTTTGGACAAGGGTTTATACTATAGCGCTCTCACATAGAGTTATCCTTACAAAATGCGGCAAAAGCTGTGCACGTCCACCTGCGCCGCGCGCGATGTATCGTGGAGGAGATCTGTAAGGAAGGCAGTTGGGGAAGGAACTGTGGATTCGAAGCAAACTCGAAATCGCACCTACTGTACTGTAAGTCAATTATAACGAACGTTATCAGAGAGGGCTCAAATGCCGGGTTGATTATGAACTGGAGTCGTTCGGGCGGTTGTCACTGTATTGGGAAGGTAATGTGGGTAACCATGTTAGGAAGTCCCTCTTGTTGACGCGTATGGTTGCATTGCCAAATCTATAACAAAGACCTCAAGTCCAAGTTTCAAAATGCCAACCGCCTTCGAATTCGACTTGAACTCAGACTCGCCCATTCCTAGTAAGTTGTCTATCCTGTTCATAGTCTGTCTCTGAGTTTTCCCCATAATAACCCATGTCTCACAGAAATCACGCTTTACAAAGGGCTTTGAAACGAAACGAAGGATCCAACCGAGACCCCTTTTTCACTTCCTGAATATTCGGGATTTGATCTAGACTTCGCCTATCGTAACGCAACCAATCCCGTCTTCTGGTTCGACAATGAAGACAAGAAGCTCATAGCATGAGCCATCCATAGCTCTTTGTTTCCACCTCTCAGGGCAATTTGCGGAGAAAGAGCACTCGCCACACCAATCACCGTTTAGAATCCCCCAACGGGCCCTGTTCTATTTGAACGTTTCATCGAAATGAGAATTCGGCGAAGACGTAAATTCAGAGTCCACAAATCTCCTAATTGGCCGTGTCGTTTGTGGTGTGAGTTGGCTATTATAGCAAACCTCTTCTTCTTACTCTCAACCTTGATACTTAACCTTTGTTGTCTTTCAGCCTTTGTTCTATTCTCTTGCTTCTACTGTAGCATTGACATTCTTTTTGGGACTTGTTCCTATCCACATTCCTTCATTCTGCTATCAAGTTCACCAATTGTCACTCCTTTTGCTGCTTTTAACTCCAGCTGCGCTTTGGAGAACTTCAATTCAGAGCTTCGTATACGAAGTGTTGGCATCATTCTTGGGATTTTGAGATACTTTATAAGCTCTCATTTCTGGCGAATTCTGTCAATATCACAGGCTGATTCTACTTGCACTTTACGCTGCAAACTTTTACTTCAACTTGTCTGGAACATTTGAAGCTCTTAATTTCAAAGACATTCCTCGACTCAAAGTCAAAGGCACAAACGAATGCTGATCTTCGACATACCAGCTTCCACGAACTTGAAGGAACCCAAACAACATACTTCCTATACGATCGAAAAGGTGAAGCCTCCGTACACGATTGCACCAGCCTATTACAACGACTGGATATCTTCAGCTTCTAAACATAACTCAATTAACATCTCAAAATGTTGACCTCATTATCAACGGCCTTGGTGGCCATAGTTCTCCTGGGTGGCCCAGCTTTTGCTCAACGGCCTGATTGGACTGATCGACCGGACTGGACTCAACGACCCCATTTCACACGATCATCTGGAGCGCCTGATTCTGTCACAGTCACATCCACTTCAGCGGGAAGTGTAGTAAGCACCGCACCGGTTTTCTCCACGCCAGTCACCAACACTTCGGCCGCTGTGTACTCAAATTCAACAACCAGAACCCGAGTACCCTCAGGAATATTCTTTACTGGAGGCTCAACTGGTACTGGCAGCGGTGCAGCTCAACCAACTGGGTATTGGAACGTTACTCGCACCTATAACCACACACGAAGCTCTGCAGTAGTCCCCTCCGGATCAACTTCAGCATCATTTATTTCACTCAATACCACGCAATACATCTCTCACTCTACAAATACACCTTCTTCGCGGACTCAGGGTTCTGTGGCAAGCACTCTCAGGACATTAACAACATCGTATTCTTCGAAAAACGCCTCTAGTACAGCAATCTCAACTAGTAGTCTAGCAACCTCAGCCACCAGGTCTGTTGCAGCTGCATCCTCAACATCCGCAACATCCACAGCGGACCCCAAAATTCCCTTTTTACGTGGAGTCAATCTCGGCGGCTGGCTGGTGCTTGAAGAATGGATGAACGCCGACCTTTTCGAAGACACGCTCGCCGTCGATGAGTATAGCTTCTCTTCCACAAGCAACGCATCAGAAGCCCTAGCAGAGCACTGGGCCACTTTCATCACCCAAGATGACATCGCTTCCTTAGCCGATACGGGAATCAATGCTCTACGGATTCCCATCGGGTTCTGGGCCTACGACAACGTTAATACCCCTTATCACCAAGGTCAAGACGCGTATCTAGAGAAAGCCATTGGATGGGCTAAGCAATACAACATGTCCGTTTGGGTCGATTGCCATGGCTCCCCTGGTAGTCAAAATGGGTACAGTAGTTCCGGCCGTGTAGGATTTGTCAACTGGCAGCAAGGCACCAACCTCAACCGCTCCACCTCGGTTCTAGAAACCATCGCCGCGAAATACGGTGCCGAAGAATACGCTGGCGTCGTCGTCGGCATCGAACTAACCAACGAGCCCATGGCAGGCGGTGCCAACGACCTTGGCGTTACACGACAATGGACACAAGATGCATACGCAGCCGTCAAAGCCAAAGTCGCAAACCCGAACCTACAGATCATCATGCAGGATGCGTATGCAGGCGTCGACTCCTGGATCCCCACTGCGGAGGCAATCATCGGACAAGGGTCCAAGACGTTCGCCATGGATACGCATCTGTACCAGCTCTACACGCCCGCCGACAACGACCTCGACCAGTCCCAACACATCACCAAAGCTTGCGGCTGGAGCACCGCCCTCTCGACGTCCAACGCCGTCGTGCCGACTTACGTCGGCGAATGGAGCACGACTACAAACATCTGCGTCAACCCCGACAACAGCACCACATCTGGCTTCAGCTGCACTATCACCGGATGTCAGTGCCAGGCGGATTCTTTCAGCACATGGAACGACGCCATGATTGCGCAGGTACGGAAGTACGTGGAGGCGCAGCTAGATGTGTTCGAGGCGAGCAGTAGTGGCTACTTTGCATGGTCTTTGAAGGGCCCTGGTGCATGGGGGTTTCAAAACGCCATTGAGGGTGGCATTATTCCGAACCCGCTGACGGATCGCAAGTTCGCTAAGCAGTGCACTAGGACCACGAGGAGGGCAGTTAGGGGATCGCTTGGCGTTGCGGGCGAGGCTTGGTAGATAGATGGCGGTGGATGTAAAGGCGGAGGTTCGTTCAATTCTTAGACACAGACTTTTGTGATAGACTTATCCTTGCTTGCTTGGATGGCTGGCAGGCAGGTAATAGATGAGAGAGCTCTTTTGGGGATGAATGATGATGAGTTTCGGTATATATATTCCACTTCCTGAAAAGCTACATACTGGTATATTCAGATTAAATTAAATATTCGCAACAACATTTGAGATATGTTGTCAATATATGAGTTTATTCATTTTCAAGCTAAGGCCCAGTAGAAGTCAAATCTGATCAGATCTTGAGCAAATAAATAAGTGAGTATGTCATGCCTCTGCAATTCATCTTAGACCCAGTCTCAAAGAACCTTGCGCGGGCAGCAAAGTCACTTGGTTTACTCGTACAGTACGCTGGTAGTTGATCCAGTCGCTGTGAGCAGCGCAAAGAGCAATTATATGCTGAGACTGTCGACTTACAAGCCAGCGATTTTCATTTTCCGCCAACACCCTTCCCATATTTTCAGGTCCATAGGTCATGCTCTGTGCAACAAATTCGCTTTAAAGCTGCACCGTAAGGAATTTTTTCAGCAGTAGGTCGTTTCTAGGCGTGGACGTGGGCGTGGGTTGTAGGGTGTACGATATGGCGAAGAGGTAATTGATGATGTGGTGAGACAGGCGGTTGATTCTCGAAATCAAAGTGAAGTTGAAAGTTGAGGTGAGATGTTGGTGTTGGCGAGCATGCAAGACGGCTTTTGCAAGCCAATCTGGTTGCACAAACATTACCCAGTAGGGTTGGTTGCACAGCCCCATCCCAAAAGGTGAACTTCGATCTGAGCAGTCTCTCAAAGAATAGGCTGTGCATGGCTCTTAGGAGAACTCGTAGAGAATAAAGCGCCCGACTCTTACAAATCTGAAGGGGAAAATGTATCGGCCAATGTTCAATTGAAACTGCAACAAGCTGCTTCAATTCCTGTTAAAGAGAGCGACGGGTGAAATAAAGGACAGAAGTGATGTGGTCATGGTAATCATTTAATACATTCATTTAAACAAGTTAATAATCCATCTCGTTTCAAGTTCCTCCAAGCCTATGCCCCGATCCACGAGCCTTCCACGACTCAGGCAACACGCCACTAGATGAGCCTGATCCCGAAGATTCAGCCTGAGCGATAGAAGTGCCGTACGCTTTATGAGACACGGTAGTCCTCCGAGTCTGAAACAACCTCTTGATGAACGCTGGTGTTGGTAACAGATTTGTACCACCACCGAATTCCGGCCACAGCCGTGTCAAGAAGTCATGCAGATGAGCCGCAATAAGGCCAGTAGCTGCAATCAATGCTTGCTGGGGGCTGTCCATGATGAGGATTATAAGAAGCATGGCAAAAGGCATATACTGAGCGGGGATCTGCATGATATAAAAGGTAGCTTGCATGCCGCGATCATCTTGGCAGGAGGTGTAAGCGAATGCAAGCACGAGAGCTGATGTGAACAGATAAGCGCCTGTGAAGGCCACATTCAAGCCCTGATTACTCGTTAGCTGAGCTCGTCGAATACGCGAGACAGAAACGCAAGGAGGAATTTATAAGTATTGAGATGTAGGGAGTCACAACCACCCGAGTCGAGTTGGGGAATCGACACGAGTTTTCTCAAAGGAACTTCCCACCATGCCTGCACCGCGATCCGGCCCTTTATTATTTTGCGAATGACGGACCAGTCGAAGCTGCAGGGGTAATCTTCCTCATCTTCAGGAACCGCAATAGTTGAGGGCAATGCACTATGCGGGCAGTAATGTGAGGTGCCAAAGGAATAAGGTAGTACAAAAAGAGAATAATTATGCTTACCACGATGACCGTGCACACGAATAGAATGTAGGTCAAGAAATCTCCTGGCTGGGTGAACTTGGGAGATGCTTTCTCGAGCTTACTCCCGTATGTGTACACTATACCAGAGTCAGCAGTAGTCACAGTCTGCGGATGTGTGTGGCACATACAGAAGTACGTGTCAAATATGATGCCAAACTTCGGACCAGTTATGAGGAACGCTGTGACGAGCCGCCATATTTGTGGAGGGAATTGTATGAAGGTTTCTTTGATGAACAGTACATAATAGAATGGTATGACATTCAGGTATGCTAGGATGGAGAGAGTAAAGGCAGACGCAGCAATGGTCCTAAACTGCATCAGTATCAGCAAGGAGATGTGTGTGGCAGGAGAAAAGGAGCTGCTACCTGGAGATTGGAGGAGCTTGCTTGAAGTAATCGACGGCCGACATGCTTGCGGTGGAGTGGAAAGACGTCTGAGGGAAGGGATGGATTGTGAGATATTGTGGTGTTTGTGTAGAATGTCTGCTCCTGAGAGCTGTGGAAGGAAGAGGCAGAAGATGAGGAAGCAAAGGTCGTGGGATTTTATCAAACTGTCCTCAACCGTGCCTCGCCTCGCCGCTAAACCCACCCTAGTTGACCGCCCCGAGGTCGGCGTCATTTTAGAAAATTTACCCCTCCAAAAATGTCGCCCTCCGTGTGAGTAAACGGTGAGGTTACTTACGGAAATCTCACTTGTTATTTAAGTCAAAGACACCCTCAAACCATTTCTTATCATTCCCCAACATCATCACAATCATGGCTGGAAAGTAAGCTTATCCTCCCCTCAATTACTCCTTATCACCGCTGACAAGTATCTAGGAAAGTGCTTATGCTCGGTGCTGGCTTCGTCACACGTCCCACCCTTGATGTTCTCAGTGATGCTGGCATTGAGGTCTCTGTTGGTAGGGAAATCCTCTTTCCTTCTATGCTGCATCTTCAGCTAACATTTCTTCAGCATGCAGAACTCTCGAAAGTGCAAAGAAGCTCGCCGAAGGAGTAAAGAACGCCAAACCTATCTCCCTCGATGTCACAGACGACAAAGCCCTCGATGCTGAAGTCGCCAAGAATGACCTTGTCATCTCCCTTATACCCTACACCTTCCATGCAACTGTCATCAAGTCTGCCATCCGAAACAAGAAGAACGTTGTCACAACCAGCTATGTCTCACCCGCAATGCTTGAGTTGGACGAGGAAGCCAAGAAGGCTGGCATTACCGTCATGAACGAGATTGGTCTTGACCCTGGAATCGATCACTTGTACGCCATCAAGACCATCGAGGAAGTACACAAGGCTGGAGGAAAGATCGTGTCATTCTTGTCATACTGTGGTGGGCTACCAGCTCCTGAGGCATCAGACAACCCTCTTGGTTACAAATTCTCCTGGTCATCTCGAGGTGTCTTGCTTGCATTGAGAAATGCTGCCAAGTACTACAAGGATGGTAATGTTGTGGATATACCAGGCAAAGAACTCATGGGTACCGCCAAGCCATACTTCATCTACCCTGGATTCGCATTCGTTGCCTACCCCAACAGAGACTCAACCCCCTACAAGGAGCGATACAACATCCCAGAGGCGCAGACTATCATTAGAGGTACCTTGAGATATCAAGGCTTCCCCGAGTTCGTCCGTGTTCTAGTCGACATGGGTTTCCTCAGCGACGAGGCTCAAGATTACCTCAAGGAGCCAATATCTTGGAAGGATGCTACCAAGAAGATCTCGTCAGCCACTTCCGCGTCTGAGGAAGATCTTAAATGGGCCATCGCCTCGAAGGCTCAGTTCAAAGACACCGAGGAGAAAGAGCGCATTATTGCCGGTCTCCGTTGGGTCGGTATCTTCTCTGATGAAAAGATCCTGCCCCGTGGTAACCCGCTTGATACCCTCTGCGCTACTCTCGAGAAGAAGATGCAGTTCGAGGAAGGCGAGCGTGATCTCGTTATGTTGCAACACAAGTTCGAAATCGAGAATAAGGACGGCAGCAAGGAGACCCGGACTTCTACTCTTGTTGAATACGGTGACCCTAAGGGCTACAGTGCTATGGCCAAGTTGGTCGGTGTTCCTTGCGGTGTTGCTGTCAAGCAGGTGCTTGATGGCACGATCTCGGAGAAGGGTATCTTGGCACCTATGTCTTCGAAGATTAATGATCCATTGATGGCGGAGTTGAAGAAATATGGTATCTTCTTGGTTGAGAAGACTATTTCGTAGTTATTCTGCTGGGCTTGATTTTAAAAAAAGAGACTTAGATGATTGTCCATGGAACAGGAAAATTAACAAGTTTGCAACTAACCAATGGGTTTGAGTGCTTGCAATGCTCCTATTGATTTTCAGGACCGACCATTACCAAGTTACCCTTATTCAGCAGCGTTTAGACCACTACCCCCTAAATGAGGGGCCGCTTAACATTCACTAGCGTGTGTGTTTCGTAAAGTTGGTATCATACTCAAGGCCCGTGATTCAAACAATATGGTTTTACAAGGTATATGTACTTAATTATAGATCATACCTCGCGTCGTACTAAAGACCTCCCATATCTCACCATCCACCCTCAAGATCTGCTAAAAGCCGGCAGAGCTGCCTTTCTAGTTTCTTGTCACCTTTCTCGTTACCTTCTAAAGCTCACTTTATCAAAAGCCCTTCCTTAGTGAGAGCAAAGAAATGTAGGAGGAGCGCCTTCTCAGTAAATCTACTACTTCTCTCGATATCCCAGCTGTCATCCAAGGCAGATTTAAATACGGCCCGGTCAGAGAACACTGTTCTTCAGGAATCCATTGAATATTAATAAAGTGGGAAATATATTGAAGTCAATATACAGTGCCACACGGAGCCGAGTTACTACCTAGTAACAGAGGCTGCATGCGCGGTAGGCGCGGTAAGCGACGGTGTGAAGACCGACGGTAAGCGTGTTCCTAGGATAGAAGCAGAAAAGAAGTGTGCTACTGTACAATGTGCCTGCGGCAATCATTTCCTTGTTATCCTCTTGCAGCATTCGTTTACGGAGTACAGGCAACGTCGCATCGCACTAAGCGCAATATCTTCGCATAACCTACAAAAGCATTTAGACGCAATATGGGTGCCGTCATAAACGTCCAGAACTTCCAAAGGTTCGGTTTTCACCATGGTGATATTGCTTTGAATTCAAATCAGCTTTCTGACACATTAGCAGCCACAGTTACACCAAGGTATGAAGCCAGCCTTGAAAGTAAAGACGCGGATGCACGGAATCTGGACGGCGAATGATTTGCTTGGTTTGACGCATCTCCGGCTAAGATGCAATAATAGGCTGAATGTGCACTGGGCGCGTAAGAAGACCCGCTCTACTGGCTTCGCTTCACATTCCCCGGACAGGGGCAGGAGCTCGTAGGACTCCACTGAATGCCAACCCAGAACTACTATACTCCAAGGAAAGGCCCGCCAGGTCGATGCAGTCCTTGTCCTGTTGGAATATTTGCAGGCTGCATTCTCAGCCGTTACTGCCGACCAGGCCTGTTCCGATGACCATGCTTCTTTTTGAGTTTGCAGTATGCAAGTCTCACAGTAATCGACCAGTAAAGTGTGGTTTACGATCCCAAGGCTCTGGTTCAGCGGCGACTAGCTGGCTCGTTGGACCTAGACACGACTCTAATGGCAGGTAGGCTTTGAGATTACGGCACAGATAATGCAGTGACCACTTGGACAACGGGGATCATGTTGGTTACCCGCAATTCCGCTCTTGGAGCTGCTTTGGTAGAGTGAAATGTCGACTTAGCCTGTCCCCATGCTCTTGGGGTCCAAAGTTGGATGCCTCTGCTGTTCTTTCAGTCTGTATATATCGCCTTCGACCCCGCAACGCCTCTTCCGCGACGTTATATTTATATCTTTGTCATCTAGGATCTCGTCGTTTCAATATTACCTTACATTTTCGGGTTTGTCCAAAAGGGTAGCAACACTGTAACCTTCGAGTGCTTTCTTGACGAGGCTGAAAATTCTCCTCCCAAGACCGAACTCAGCCTTCTTGAAGCAACATCGGCCCTAGAGTATTTCGAATAGGATCTCAAAGTATATTTTTAGAAGGTTTCATCGTCCTCGCAAGTCGTACAGCATGACTCTTCTAGCTCTAGCCTCAGTCTTGTTATTCTTCATATTCACAGACTTGACATGCGCTATACAAGTATCTCCAGATTCTCCATGTGCGCCAGTATGCATCGATAATCCGAATTCAAACGTTACGGATCCGGATGCTTCAACAACGTTTGGTTCTGATATAACATGCATCGATGAGCATTATGGAAATACTCCCAAAGGGCAAAAGTTTGTTTCCTGTCTAAATTGCCTGCAAACAAGCACTGCATCAAGTTCAGGCGAGAGTGATCAAGAATGGTTTCTTTGTACGTTAAAACAGGACCACCCCTTCAAAAAATTGCTAACACTGTCAGATAACTTGCGATATACCCTTGATAGTTGTCTCTTTGGTTTCGACAACGCTTCTGATGCGAAGTTGTCCGTTTGCACTACAAGTAAATATTGTGGGTCGCTACAAACTGCTCTCGAGAACGGAAACCTTGTTCCGACGAATGAAAGCGAATACTCCTACTGCACTGCAGATGGTAATGCTTTCAGGGGGAGCTACCTTGGGAGCTGCGAGTCTTGTTTCAAGGAGAGTGATGACCAACAGTACCTCAGAAACTGTAAGCCTTCCCGAAATGATAATTCGAACATCTCCCACTCCCTGGAATTTTCTGACCAGGCACTTTACAGTCCTCATTGCACTCGACGCTAGCTGCGACCAGCGAACACCGCCTGGAACGGTCCTTGGCATCCAAGGCAGTGTTTTCTCTACTAATTCAGTCAACAAAACATATCCTGGCTACCATGAGGAGTCGGAAGACCCAAACCCGAAAAGTAAGAAAAAGCTTTCGACGGGTGCAATCATTGGCATAGCAGTAGGACTTACCGCCCTTCTTGCTGCTGTAGTGGCAATCTTCTTCTATTGCTTCTGGGAGAAGCGACAAGCAAAGCGACGGAAGGGACTAGCATCAAATTTTGATGAACGCTACGGTGCAAAGAATATAACATCTCCCACGGATGGAGCTTACGGCAATCCGTACTCGAATTCTACTCCACCCATCAAAACAGTGGACCCGTATGGTCCAAATTATCTCTTCGCACAAGAACGAGCCTTTGTTGGACAAGATAGAGCTCACATCTCGCAACCAATTCCCTTTCCACCCGAGACAAATGACCCCGATCACTGGCAAAACACATCCTCCTCTCACTCAAGCCTAAACCCGCCACCCTCCTACGCCAATCTCCAAATTCCCACGCACGAGGCTTATATTTCACCTCCCATTACACCAGAATATACAGCCACCACACACGCAACAAAGAACATCCAGCTTGCACCCTATTCATCACCTTATACCACTCCCAGAAGCCCGCCATCCATTCAAACTGCTCAGAGCGCGAGGTCCTCTCCTCGACAATTTCAGCCGCCCCTAGTCCAGATCCAAAACAACAGGACAAGTCCACTAGGGCTCCCCTCCCAAGCTTCTCCTCCCTCTCAAATATCCCCCCCTCTTGAGCAGCGCCCACCCTCACGAACAGCCTCCCGAGGAGCGGAAAGCGCCCGCCGCGGGACACGAGCCATGGGTATAGGCAACGCCAATGCCAGCATGGAAGTACTGGTCAAGATCTCCGGCCCTGCAGAACGTCACGGCAGCCGTTTCGACTTCGTGCTCGCATCACGGGAGCGGCGACAGAGAGAAGGCAAAGACAATGAAAGTTTTGTGCTCGAGAAGCGAAGGAAGGCAGACGAGAGTCCTAATGGAGAAGAGCAGTGGCCCGGTGCTTACTGATTTTTTCATGATCATAAAGGGGGTACATAATTCGGTCAACATATTTCCTATCCTGTCCTCTTTTCCTATTCTCTACAGTATCATTTACTCTTCTTTACCAGAACTACATAGAGCGCAGTTGTGTTTAGATTTGGGAGGCAGGGAGCAGATATCCCTTTGATTCATTCGGTCTTTTCAATACCAGGCGTTCTTGGGTTAAAATATTCCGTCGGCAGATCTGCACAGTCACTCATTGGATTATAGTGATGACGGGCGTTTTGGTGGCGCTGGCTAAAGCCGGCGCAGGAGGGTGGCACAGATTGTGGTTCTTGAAGCCAGTAAATAGCAGTATCTAATATATATCGTCTTTTCCTAATTTATTCGCTGTGATGTGTATTGTGTACTGTACGCAAGTGAGAGATAGAAAAGGTGTTGTCAAACTCTATTTTGTGCGAGACTCGGGGTTTCACAAACAAGTGATCCGTCTTTGGGGGGGCGTGGGAATCAAGTAAGCATTTCTGGCGTTGCACGGCACATGTCTCAGCCTTGTACTTGATCCGAAGATGTGCTCTTATATAGCCTTAACATTTGTCTAAAGGGGCTTCAGCTGTATGCACGGATTTCATAAGTTCATCGCAAAGAGTTTCACTTGAGGTTGGAAACCCTCGAACCAGCGCTTAGAGATGCGATCGATCATCATAAACTCTTTCTTATGTTCATATAATATAAAGGAGTGGTATGTAGTAGGTAGGTTCTGACACCAGTGGGTATTCACATATGATTGGCCATCCAATATATCCATCCATGCTCAATCGGGTTGTTCCCATCCAAGACAAACCAAACTCCCGCTCAAAAACTCGAGACCAATGAAAAGCACAAAATCCAAAACAAGCGAGGACTGGTTGTGATTACATCGCGGTTCCCCTTTTCATATCCTCTTCACCTAGCCCTGGTAAATAAGGGGCAGCAGCTCTCCCGTGTCCCGGATGCAGCAGCACTGGCGGCACGTTTTGCATCTCGATCCGATCGCCTTCCTCCCTGTCCATGTCGTCCCCACTGCGGCTCCGTCCAAGCCCCGAAAAGCTCCCCTTCCTGTCCCGTGGCCACTCCCGTGCAGCAGCGGCTTGTGCTTGGTCGCTTGCACTAACGGGGCTGGAATAGTTGCTCGAGTACGGACTGAAATACACTTTCTCGCCTACCGCACTCATCGGACTCTCTTCCTCTCTGTGTCCCGGGGCCCAAGGACGAGATGATACTAACGGCCGTGTGCTTTGCGGACTATCGTGGAAGCCACCTGCACTCATCGTATCGACGGGCGTTTCATGGTGCTCTCCCGAGGCATCTGCCTGCACAGCTTGTTGTTGGGCTATCCAGTCTGCGTAGCCGCTCTCTTGTTGGTGTTTTGCGAGGACGTGTCTACGGCGTCGTCGTCCGTTCCAGACGATGCAGAAACCCGCAAGGCCGAGAGCGAAGAGGATAGCCCCGACTGCTATGCCAATCTTAGCTCCTAGGGACAGGCCGCCTGTTGACGGGTTGTAGGAGGATTGCGCTCCCGAGGAAGGATTGGTGATCTGGATGAGTGTCTCGGAGAAGACGTTGCCGGAGAACGATATGGTGCTCCCTGACGATGGCTGTTGTTGACAGGCGGCATTTAAAGCCACGGCAACTGTTGGTAAAGCTTTGTCAGCTTGGTTTGTGGTGATATGAATAGATGCTCAATATCAGGATGAAGACATACAATTAGTGATATAAAACTCGGAGGTTTGGATAGATGTACAAGCCGTACACTTATTAACCAGTAATGATTGGTAAATGGGACAGTATGAAAAGACCCCAGCATCAGGAGAGAGGGAGTCGAATTCAAAGGCTCCTGAAAGCTGGCCACATGCAGTGCTGGGAACATTAGCTTGCCTGCGTCGAAGACAGGTTGACAATGAAATTACCTTGTGACGCAGGGCGAATCCCCAACCTTTGTATTGTTTGGAAAACCGTATAAACACCAGCTAACGGCGTATCTCAAGTTATCTGTATGGTTGTCAGTTTCAAAGTTTGAAGACCTACAGCTGAGCCGAGTTTCACTCACATAGTGCCCACTGGAGATCCGTTTGTTTTGTGGCTGGGTCCACGTACGTGCTGGTCAATTGACATCCAACACACGTTTGAAAGGTCTGGCCAGGCGTAGTTCCATAGTCACTATCATGGCAAGCTATATCGGATCCGGTCGTGCCACCCAGGTCATTGCCGCATTGGACGGCGCATGGTGAGTTTGAGAGCGCCTCGAGGGCCGTAACCGATGATACGAAAGCCGTGGTAAGAGCAAGTGAAGGCCGCATCTTGACTGCTCAATGTTTGAGATAGCAATGCTCAGTGTGGTTCCCGCACGGGGAGATACGCTTCTGTTGTTGCGCGAGCTTTCCGATCGTTTGAGTATGAATTGGCAATGATCTATCTTATCTTGGCCAGTAAGATGATTAGATCCGATCACTGAATGCGCGTAAAACGTAAATATTAACTCGAGTGTATGTACAAGTATGCAGGTACGTTTATCTGAAAAATGTAAAAGGCTTGAACTCACGGGCGTGATCCACTGTATAAGGTGTTTTTATCTCACCTCCTCCGCAGTGGGAGGTTCGGTTGGCGTTGATGGCAGAGTGACCGAAGCCCGCGATCCGTCTTCCTGCAAGGCACCCCGGAGAGTGCTCATGCAGGCAAGCATTTTTGTGTGGAAAGCAACAGGGCTCCTACCGACTTCAGAAGCCCGTGCCGACGACTGATTGGCGATCGTGGAGGGAGCGCGATCATCATGGATCGCACTTGGGGCTTAGTTCAAGGTCGTAGGCACTGGTGGCCCCCGAATCCTGCGCCATCGATATGCTGCCATCCTCTGAAAGCTTGCTGTTGGCCAGTCCTCAGGCACACTCATCACCTAGTCACACGAATTACTCGTCTGGTTGGGCCCTTTGAGAACTTAATCCGGAAGCATCACAAGTCACACGTTGCCTAAATAATCCCATGGGAATACGGCGATAGTGAGGTGATGTTTGAATATTCGTCCACTGCCGCATCCGACAGTCTGGATTGGCGCTGAGAGGCACTGCAGGCTACAATTTTCATCGACTTCTGAATGTTGGTTTTCAGAGATGGAGCTTCTTATTGGTACGGTACGGCCCGGGGCTTGAGCCCTGAAAATCGACGCGACAATGGCGGCCATTTTAGTGGCCGCCTGGACTTTTAGAGAACGTAACACTACGTGATCAGTCGATTTTGGCCCCCTAATCGTTTCCATTTCTGCTTTGGGGGTGTGCTGCTGCACCACCATGCGATTGGGAATCGCCCCCACTTGTGATGCGGAGCAGATACCGAGCGCTTAGATCTTGCATTTTTATACCGTCTTTGGCCAATAACCATAGACTGATGTTGGAAATTTCCTAAAAAAGACTTGACTTGCATTCTCAAGCTTTCTGAAACCTGCAAAGCCGTTACGCCATCCAACATTCCATTGTGTCACAGTTAACGCCTCTGGGATCCGAAAGCCAGCTGCAGGGACTGAAACAGAACAGCACTCCTGCTTCGCCATTATAAGGCCATCCGGATAATGTCGCAGTCGAGTAAGTCGACGGTAGTTGAGTTCGATGTTGGTCGATGGCACACATAGCGGTGATGTTGGAAGGGTTCGGTTTGATTGAAAGCGCTTGGAAGAAGATGGATACTCTGCAGAAATGCACTGAAGGAACGTATGTACATATTCTAACCGATCTATATGATTGATTCCTTGATATCCCGGCAGCACTATAGTTCACCTCCTCGCCAACTCTCATCAATTTCAGATGAAGCATGATATTTAAATTCGAACTTACTATCCAGTGAAGACGGCCGGCCCCGGGATTGTATAGCTTTGAAGGTTGTCATAGATGTTGATGAGGATTCCTGGGTCGCTTGCACTATATGCACCAGGGAAAGTGACTCCAGCTGGGGTCGCGGTTCCTGAGCCAGTGAGGTTGATTTGAAAACAAGTCATGTAAAATTGTGCCCCTCCAATGGTACTTGCAACATGAAGCGCTATCGCCTCCGCTCGAACAAGATAATTGCCAGGTGCTAGGTCTGCTGGAACGATGAAACTTTTCTTCCCACAATTGGTGTTGAGAGAGTCCTGCACCAGTCAGTAGACGTTTATGAAGACCAGAAGATAGGAAGTTGACACATTGGAGACATAACATAATGAGCACATACTGTTCCCCATATTTTAGTTGTTGGATTATATCCCTCTTCGGCAACTTTGAACCATGAACCAGAACCTGTATCAGAAGCTGCATTGGCGACCTTCGACATGTAGACTAGAACCGGCCCGTAATGATTACCACCGATTGCCTCCTTTGTGCAATCCCGATCGCCTGGTTGAGCGTGCATCTCCACGGTCACGTTTCCACCGGCTGCCAGCAAATGTTAGAGCAGAGCTGCATTCCAGAATTAGAGTGGATTACTAGCAACTGTGCAGAGCGGGGTCACAGGTGTCGTCCCAGCGTTGCACCTCAAGTCATTGGAAGTGACATTGGTTACCGGATTGTTGTTAAGTGGAAGCCGAGCGCAGGTAGACACGTCATCTGTGCTATCCGTGGAGTTAATAAATAGAACAGTCAGGGTGGAAACTGCGAAAACGTACCCATCAACCCACATGTCTTGGAAGGTTGAATGACCCAAGACAGATGTAGCGCAGGCCAACAGACCAGAAGTAATCGTGAAGTACCTCATAATGAGATAGAGCTGTGACTTTGAATATAGGGAGTTCGTACTGGATATTATCGAGTACTTATAGAAGTATGCCCGTCTAGAGATCACAGAATTCTCACCGAACTGCCGACTGTGGGGTACATGACTTTGCGGTATTGTGAAAGCGTCAGTAGAGGAGATTGGCTCTTGAAGAATTGCCTGAATCTGACACGGGACACAGTCCTCCATAAATTGAAAAACAGTTCTTGGATAATGGCAGAGGGAAGAATACAAGACACGAAACGAATTAAGACAGAGTATGATCACTTGATGGGAATAGACGTATTGAGAACCTGGTTCTTGCGGAGAGATGGGTTTTGATCCGAAATAAGCTTTTTAGCCAGAATGCCGCATGAATGTCTTCAATTTCAATGCCAAGTTGCTACTATGGAACGTTGATGCTGGACTGCGGCTAATGACATCGAGGTCATTGGAGAAAGTTGGGCACCCAAACAAATATAATGCACGAGAGAGTGTGGGAGTAGGAGTGTGCGGTAAGCATTGTACTGAGGGCAGATTACCCAGTGATTGAGAGTAGACGACGCCTGGAGAGTCGTGCAAAACAAGAAAATTGATGACATAGCTTTACGCGTCAATATACTCTTACTGTGGGAATGATTTGAACCAGTCTATATGACTATGAGCTCGCTTGCGACCCGGGAAGAATTATCGCGTCTGAGGTTGACAGAAGGAGGGTTGAAATGACAAATCGCCGAATAGTCCAATACGGCACCCCAGTACACGTGACGCCCCGCCTCTTTCCATTTCGAGGGTCATCCTGAGCTCCCGAATGCCAATACCTCGGAACGGAGAAATTATAGAAAGGTAATCTCCTTCTTGGTGTGATGCTCTCGTGAAAGGAGTTAAATAAGGCTTAAATATGTAACTTGTTCCACCTTTTAAGTATAAAAATCCCGAATCGAGACAATACCTTTCATCGGAATACTGTAGCTACGTCGATTTTGAGGCCATTTCCAGGTAAACTTTTGGCGAAAGAAAGCTGTAAAGTACCTAAGGTAGGTAGTCACCCTTTTCTGCTGGCATGGAAAGTGGAGAAGATGGCCTGTAACCTGCCGAACATAGACGTGTGAGTAAAAATATCTTCGAATGAGAGTCCTTGAACATCAATAGGAGGAACAGCAGTGGCATAAATAACAGTATTCTTATGAAAAAAACTCATCATGTCATACAAATATATAATCCAACAAATTCCTATCTTCCCCAGTGTGTGGAGCATCCAGATGTTCCTGTGTGACACCCTACCTAATTCCCCGGGCAAAAACTCCTAAGCTCTATGCTGCAAAACAAAGCGAATCTGCAAATCCAAATACTAAGAAAGAGACCCCAACTCAAGATTCTGCCTTAGGGGCTCAGATCCCAATCACTTCACGATACTGAACTTTTTGGACGAGGCGAAATATGTCGACTTCTTGGCCCCAGCGAATCGCTTGTGGAAGTCGATTGGTATTGACTTGGCACCGCTGAAGCGGAAAAAGGGGGAGATCTCAGCGCAGGCGCTTTGCTGGCACACAGTTCCGGAGCCAGGTCATTAGATGCCAGCTCTTGCTCCTCGCGATTTTGAGCATGACTTTCGTCCCTTGATTTCGTAGTAGTTGGGTGATCTACAATAGGGGAGATTGGCGATGGCGAGCTGATTGTGGGAGTAGGTGTGCGAGATTCTACAGGCAAACTGGTGGTAGCGCTTGATTGCAGGGGTAGCGTCGGGTAGTCGTCTCCGGCCGGAATCGGTTTCGGACCAAAATATGATCGAGTGTGCTTTGAATCTATTGGAGAAATTGGGCTGAACCCTTCCTCATGCCCCAGAAACTCATCTTCTAGGTCCGGGGAGCTCAAGTCAGTTGACACTGAGGCTTCAGTATCATTGGACTGCGTCACAGACGCCGTTGCTGTCGAGGCCGCTGAGTTTGGTTCGGAGACCAGTTTGGCCTGCGGGGTTCGCGTAGTATCGACTACAAGAAGCTCCTTCTCACCACGTCCCAGGATTCCATACACCTTCACCTCGCCATCCTGGATCCCAAGAACTGCACTAGTTCCTGCATAGACCACCTCGTCTTCGGTTCCACATCGGTTGGCCAGGACCACTATGACTTCCCCGACTAACTCTGCCCTGATTATAGGTTCAAGTCTTGCTAGCCCTATGGACGAATTAGTATGAGAAAAAGCTAGCGGGCTAAAGAGTTCGGAGCTGTCTCACGAGCCGGGATCTCATTACTGCGAAACGTGTTTCATTGGCTCCCGACACAACTCTCGGCTCGAGAGCTCACACTAGAAATATGGAGTATTTTTCTGGGAATTTGGCTTACAATAAGCAAGAGTCTCCATATCAGGATCGTTTGGTGTACGACTGTAAGATCTTGCATCTTCTCGGGTTAGCCACGCCATTGATAATATCACCAGGTTTGCCTTTCTATAAAGGACGTGATACGAAAACTCCCAGGCGTTCCAAGGGGCTTCAAATTTGTAGGGACTTGGTAAGTGTTAGTGACTTTGTGAAGCTTTCTTAATGCATCCCAACTGTTTGGGTCACTTCGACCAATTGAGGTATAACTTACTTCAAATCCATACCTAGGGAAAAGTGGCGTTAGTTAAACGCCCTGAAGCCTGAGCGCACATACTCTCGCTCGAAGGACTTGACTAGTCACTTACAAATCCCCATCGCAACCTTGCCCAAGCCATCTATCTCTCCACTGTAAAATCCTCTTGGCCCTTCAAGAGCCCAAGTCTCATCTGTATAGTAAAGAAAGGACTTGCGGTAGTTCGCGATCGTCTCGCCTTCTGCATTTACTGTGATTGCCGAGTTGTAATATTCGGGCCCTGCGGGCCATTTCGGGCTCACATCCACCTTCTCTGGATAGCCTGCAGTGACGACACAATTGTGTTTCAGGGCTATTGTACGCGCCCATAATGAAGTAATTCCTGCTGTGGTAGGCTCGAGAAAAGGACTGATATGCTGTAAGGACTGGAAATTGTATCCTACTCCAGTCAGCTTAAACCCCGATTGTCCTTCCACGTGCCGAAGAAACGTCGGAGCCCTATCCAAAGGGAACGAAAACGAACGGCCGTTCCGTGACTATCCCCGACTAACGTTCATGCGAAGGAACGCAGCGGCAGACAGCGGAGGGGAGTTGCGAACGCACTCACCTGAAAATGCTAGCTCAGGCAGCACTAGCAGATCCAGGTCTTTGGGATTTGCTCTGCTGAGTATACTATCCGCTCGATTTAGATTGTTATCAACGTCGCCAACCTTTGGAAGTCAGTATTTGTATCAAAACATATAGATATCATCGATAACACACTTGGGGCGCAAACTGGAGACAGGCAATCCTCATTTCAGCAAATTCTCCCCGCTGAAACAGCAGGATGTATGAATAACAAGAGGTACTTGAAGGAGAAGGAACTCGAGACGGGCCAGCAGTCTGGAGTATTTAATTATGCTGGGGATATGTAATTTATAGTCCCAATATCGAGTAGAATCGAAGGCGGGACCCGGAAACCAACTTATAGCTTGTGGGGTTGTGGGGGACGTGCGGGAAATAACAACGAAAAGAGGTGGAAAGTCCGTGCTGACTGGTGCCATTGGAATACAGAAAATGAATTCTTTGTACTGGCGTGGCTTTACGATCCTATGAGAATCACACACATATGCGGATGTTGGAGATCGTCGATAGGGCAGGTCGACGAGCGAGAATCCCTGCGGGCGCTTACATCAAGTTTGGCATGGCATGGCTAATCTAGGCCAGTCACAACTCATGCTAAGATAGAACGCTAGCGCTTTCCGTAGAAGGACATCAGCCACCAACATTCTAAAGCCCCCAAAGTACTGTACTATATTTCATTGGACCACTAGCACTATTGGGATATAGGAACCTTATGTAGACCCGAGCAAGTGGTTTCGGCCGGCCATGTTGGATATTCTGGGGAATGCGTACTAAGTTGGCCCACGTTTCTCTTTGCGATTATGTCTTTTTCACTTTCTCCGTGCCGCGCAATACGCTTAGGTAATCCATGCTATCACTGCCAAAGGCTCTATAGACGGCTGCCTGTAAGTGCAGAACAATGTAGAAGAACCCCAGACGCATAGTACGTCTATTGAACGGTAGCCGCGCTTCTGAACTCTAGCACAGTCAATCTTCTGCACATTATCTTCCAGACCAGACTTGTCATGAGTGACATACAGGTACTCTACCGATGTTCACACTTCAACCTAGCAGAAACTCGTTTGTGTTATCCCGTGTTGGTTGTTGTTCTTGTAACTAAATGTTGGTGGCTTTAAACGTGCATCCAACATCTTTGTCTGCAGCCTCGCAATGGGCCGGGAACATGTCGTGTGCAGCATAAGCATTGAGAGCAGGGCAGGGTTCGATTTAAGGTGAAGACTTGGTACTGTACTCCGATGATCCGTCCATCACGTGGCCCACAAATGACCATCACAGCATGCAGATCAAGGCAGATAAGCACATAGCCCCAACCCCGAAAGGCTCTCTGAAGTGCGTGTGTACGGAAATCCAGATATTGGTCATTCGATCATCAATTAAGCGCTTGGGTCCGGATAAAGCCGTACAGTTGTCAGGCTTATCAAGAGCCCTGCGATATCAAGCGCGAGAAAAAGGGCAAGTAGTAGCCTGAAATCGGTCGTTCGGTTTGCACGGGACTGGTGGGGGCAATTAATGTTCGGATCGCTGAATCGTTGTCCGGGAATAGAAAAACCAACATTTTAAAAAGGGCATGTGAAATTTTGCCGAACTTGTTGCGTCCCATAGCTCCTTCCAAAAGTTGTTCAATACCAACAGGAGATTTGATCCTGCTGGAGAATCTTCCCTGGTCTCAGCCAACTTGCTATCTGGCTATCAAAACATTATTTCTAGGAGTATAATGTTCTTGTAATATACTAATGTCTAAGCCTTGCTTAACAATTCTCAATTTTGAAGAAGGCGGCAAGAAGAGAGGAACAACAAAGCCTAGGTATGCACATGGACTTCCGCCCCACATGAAGAACCCCCAAACCTAAAACTTTCAAGCTATTGTGACAGTCGTTCCAGAAACCCGAATTTGCCTCTCATACATACACCTTCCATTGTCACAATTCGCGTGGAACACCATGAAGTTCCCATCTCTTGTGATTTGCGCACCACCTGGGGCGGTGAGATTAAACGGCATACCAGTCTGCAGCAGCTGATTAGAGCTCCTCGTATAAGGACCTCGGATAGCTGACGCCGTCGCGTACTTTACATCATATTCTGGTGTCAAGTAGCAGTTGCTGCTGAAGAATAAGAAGTAGACGCCATCAACCAGGATTATCCGAGGTGCCTCGATATATGGTCCATCGCCTTCAATGTGGTCCAGAATGTCCATGTATCCTCCGGCTGGCGTATAGCCGTCATCTTCGAGGCGCTGAAGTCGGATCGGAGTGGGAACTAGAGGCTCAACCATATTCCCACAAGCACCACCGTGACCAATGCTATTGCCGTCGACCTTATAGACGACAAAATGAGTTTCATCGGTGTCTGTGAAACCAGAGATGTCGATGGCACCTCCTTCACTTAAGGGACAAGCTAAGGGCGTGTCGAGGGCTTCGTATGGGCCGAGAACGTTTTTCGAGGTGGCCGCGCCGACGCAATGCTGCGCTGTCTGCTCTGCGTTCTGGGCACTGTAGTAGAGGATGTAATTTTCTCCGATCTTCCGGACATCAGGCGCCCATACTCGTGCACCCGTTGACCAATATCCAGGTGTGGGCAGGAGGTCAAGCGGAAGAACCTCCCATGGGCCGTTGACCGCCATGGCCATCGCTACCTGTACATGGATGCCATAATGGCTGGTGGCGAAAGTGTAAAATGTGCCATCTGTGTCCTCGAAGATGGCCGGATCGGCGAAACTTGCATCAATGACAGCATCAATACTTTGGATTGATCTTTTGTGCGAGGCTTCAAAAGGCGAGGCCGCGATGAAACCAATCAGTAGGAAAGCTGTTGAGAAAAGAGCGGACAACATATTGCTAATTGATTTAGTGAATATACTCCTGAGGCCAATGAACGAACATACCTGCAAGTCGAAGATGTGTAAAGCTTTGTGACCGGATGGTCATGAGCAAATTATATATTCTAATATACACATTTTCACGAGGCTAAATGAGATAAAAGGAAATGAGCGGTTGATAAAAAGAGAAAGGTATATTTGCAAAACCAGCACTTGCTGGTCCTCTAGCAAGGTATTACTTGCGGCTTTCTTGGGCTTTAGCCACCATATCCAAGCCTTGCTCAAGTTACTCGGTTTGTTGCATGATCTAGATCCCTAACAGCATTGCGGGTCTACGGCGAATTATATTCCACTGGCATAGCCATAGCAAGGCGGAAAGGGCAAAATCGGTGAATACTTTTAAGATTGCTATGGGGCCTGGTGCGTGAATGTGATCCTTCCTCACAAATTGTGTCAAGAAAGAAGCATTAGAAGGAAGGAAGGTCATTCTCGCCAATAGTGTCAAATTTGAGGTTAGTTCATTTGGTCTAGCGTCTCACGTGATGTCTCCGACAACCTCGAAATAGAACAGTTGTTTCGTCGCCCCCACTACTCGTACTTCTCATACTTTTCCAATATAAACATCGCTCCTTCTCTCCTCTCAAACTACCTAGGTATCCTTCAGTGACAAGTTTTCAGGTACCCGCCAAATTTTCAAGGTTTAATATTCTACGTGAGTTACCCCCAAAGGGATCATGATGCATCAGCCACGTTTAAAATCCATTCGAGTCGACGTTTAAGATTGACAATTCATGCTCAAGTCTCCCACGCTCTCCTTCTTTCCCATACATAGCTCGGGGAGTGCCTGCTCCCAAGTTGCTAGGCTCTTTCTCGGGTTTAGGGCAGATTTACCTTGCTATCAGTTGCAAAGCAACTAAGAGCTCAAGCACGAAGGCGTCTTGAGGAGTCAGCAAACCCTCTCCTGACCCCAAATACACATTAATCAATTGCTCGTCCATGGTGGTGGTTGTTTCAGGAACACTAGAAATACAGAAAGTATGCGTTTCTATGCATTGATTCTCCAGCACTGTCGGACACTGTGGGGAAATGGTGCACTTCGTACAAGGTAGATTGATTCCGCTTCACACGCGTCAGGTGGAAATGATGTCCTATGCTCTGCAGTATTGTCAAATCTACATAAGACCTTACGGGCGTTATCTTCCCTCAAACGGGTAATACTTTTGTCAATGTGGTGACCTTTCGCGGCTGGAGAGCACCGATGATTTTTTTGAACCATATAGGTACGCACTTGAGAGATGGAATTGAATGATTATATTGCAGGTTTCTAGCTCTCGACTCCTAAGACGTGGGTTCTCTTGATCTGTTTATCACCCATAGGTGAGCCAGATCATAAAAAGAGTTTTGCAGTTTTTTGCATCGGGCAAAGAGCTAGATAGTTTATTTTTAATCATATATTGGAGCATTTCATTAGTGAGAAGTTGTTGGATTAAAAATAAGTGAACGAGTTCCCTCCTGCGAGCCAAGCCTTATAAATCTTCATAATATTTCAATCCTCTTCAGATAATCATGCCTTGATTGAGGAACTGGGAATTTACTGTAAGCAGTCATACTGTCTATCATTCCCCGTGAATTGACTCAATTGTACCATTGATAGCTTCACGGATCCTTCACCTACAACCCCCCTTGCTACACCTGGAAAGTTTAGAAGCTTGCAAAGCTTGAATTGACGATTTTCAAACTCGCTTTGAGACGGTGGCGCAGTGGAAGTTCGGACGATGCCAAGCCGAAACAGATGCCGCAAACGTGCATGCAAAGCACGAGGCCCAAACACGCTGAGAATAGTTGGTTGGTGAGTATCAGAAACATGTTTATGGCACCAACGCGATGACTGGCAAATGGCTTCGAATGATGCGAGCTGAGCGACTCGGATTCTACTTCACCCGCATTGATGCATCAGCCTTCCGATGGGATCTGGGGTTCCGAATCCTGTGCCACAAAGCTTGTCTCTAGATCACCCCGTGTTCCGCTCTATTATAAAAAGTGTATTCAAACCTTAATTTCTGCTTGCTATTTAATTTCTATAGCTCAATTCGAGTGTTTAATGTTCTTCTCTACTCAAAATGTTTCTCCTTACAAAAACAAGAAATCATGTTAGTCCAGACTACCAGAAACTCGAAGACATAGAAACCCGTGAATCCTCACCATCAGATACCGAGACATTCTACCAAACCAACCATCGAGGAGACTATCGTCCTGCATTTTACGGACTTTCCATAGCGTACCTCGTCACAGTAATTATCGGTCTATCATTATGGAAGCTGGAGTGCAATCCAGATTCAAGTGCTACAGGACGCAGCCAAATAGACAGTACGCAGCTCTCCCCTTTCTCACGCTGAATAAATCACTGATGAATCAATTAGTTCCCCGCAATCAAAACATACTATTCCAAAAAGCAGGCGAACATGAACTAAAAAGCGATTCGAAAGGGATAGACGATCCATGGGCTTCACTGATCCCAAGTATGACTTTCTCCACGTCACATAAAGTTCATTCCTTACTAACACCTGTAGCTGGGAAAGGGTTCGTCGAAGTAGATGGTCAACACTACTGCATCTCCATGTTTCACCAACTCCACTGCATAGTTCGTCTCCCCTCCCCGTTTCCTCCCCCTTACACAAACTAACTAAACTAACATCCAACAGGCAGCACTCAAAACAGCCTTTGAGACCAAGAACCTCGACAACGAACACTTGGGCCATTGTTTAGATTATCTGAGGCAAGGCGTCATGTGCGCGGGCGATATGACGTTAGAGCCGCTGTTGCGGTTGGGGACGGAGGAGGTTCAAGTTGTTAATGGCTGGGGGGTTGAACATCGGTGTAGGAGCTTTGAGAGTATGAAGGGGTTTGCGGAGCGGCATCGGTATCTGAATACTACGGGAATACATTAGAGGACATGAGATGAGACTAATTTCCGGGTACTATAATGTTTTAATCTGAGTGGGAGATAGGTTAATGAGGGTTTGTACTAGCCATGGCCACAGAGGTTCAAGTCAGTCATCAGAATCGAACTGCAAATTGTAAGCGTGGATAGGGCATGTTTATGCGCATGCGTAATTACCCCAGGAAGACTGAGTCTTTTCAATGAACAGGAGGATGTTCACAGAGTTAGGGTATATCATCGAGAGGAAAACCTGTAAACTCCATTTTGGCCTACCACTGCAACTATCCCGCAGCAAGTAATTTACAAACGCCTGTATGCAAGCAAGCCGAACAATTGAAAAGCCGTATTTAGAAAGTCCCACTGGATCTGAGACGTTATTCGCTATCATCGGATTCCACTGCTTTTTTGCCTTCCTTCTTTGCCTTCTTCTCTTTCTTCTCCTTCTTCTTCCGCTTCCGCTCGGCCTTCTCCTCTGCTGTCTCGCCCTCGTGACGCTTTCTCTTCTTGCCACTCTCGTCCACGCCATTGCTTATCATCGATACATCGGCCACTGAGGCATCAGCGTCGAATGATGGGGCGGCAGGAGCGTCTTCTGTGACTTCCGTTACACGGGGAGCAGGAGTTGAGCCGTCGAGCGGAGCGTTGAAATCTTTATACTCGGTGTTCCACTTGGCAGGAGTAGCCTCATTAGGCCGACCGTATTTGTCGAGCTTGCCATCTGACTTCATCTTCTTCTTCTCCAGGGCGACTGGACCAAGACCCCATCTTCTTGGGTAAAGATCACGTTCCATGATGCAGCGCTTGACTTTGGCGACCACTCCGTGGTCACAGGTTGAGAGCTCAACGGTTGACATCTGTGCGATACCGAGCGCGATAGCCTCTCCCTTTGTTGTCATCAGAATGACTTCCTCGTGGACTTCAATACCATGCTCTGTGAAATTGTTAGCTGTCAACTCCTGCTTAAGTTACTGAAATCACTTACCATATCTGAGTAATCCTGGAATCATGAGCTTAGCACCGTAGCATACGGCATTCACTGCGCTATCCTTGACCACAATACGCTTGTAGGTAGTAAGAAGTGTCTCCAAAGGCGCAATAACCCTTCTCAGATACGACTCATCTCGGGTGTTATCCTGCATCCACTGCGCATCCAAAACATCGTGCAGAGTAACCATATTTGCGCTCTCCTCCATAGCACCACTTCGCACACGTCGCAACTCTTGCATATGAGCACCAACACCCAACAACAGTCCTAGATGAACACAGAGAGTACGGATATAGGTTCCTGCTTCACAGCTAACCCAGAATACACCCAAATGTCTATCATTATCGAATTCGTAGAGCTTGCTTTCGTGGATGGTACGGATACGCAGTTGTCGCTTAACAGCTGAGATCAAAGGAGGACGTTGGAAGAGGGCACCAGTCAAAGTCTCCAGAGCGCGCGCAAATTGCGCTTCACCACCCGGTAGCTTGTCATGTAATCGGATAACGCAGACATACTCCTTTCCTGCTCCTTGTTGTGACTTGACAAGTCTTGTTGCGCGATCAATGCAGACGATCAAACATCCTGTGACTTTGGGATCGAGGGTACCGCTGTGACCTGTCTTCTCAACTCTGATCTGAGAGTTAGCATGCATTTGCTTATTTCAAGACAGGGTTTGGTACCTTAACATGCGTTTAACCCATGCGACGACTTCGTGACTAGAGGGGTTGGAGGGTTTGTCGAGGTTTATAACCCCAGAGCTGATGTATGATTTTAGGTCCCGCTTGAGCGGGGTGCAGCCATTGGGAATAGGTGTAAAGTGACCAGTTCGAACCATTACTACAATACAGTCAGTGGAAAGGTTTCTACAGGTGCAACCAAGAGCTCTCTCACAATTGCTGTAGTTCTTCAATAGTAGCGGCCATGAGCTTGTATCAACCGTTGGTGTTGTAGCTTCAGGCTTGATGGTGTAATCCACATCCTGAGCATCTTTTTTCGCTACCAACATAGACATCTTGAAGGTCGCGGATTGACGCAGGTCCTGCGTTCGCTGTTGTTCTATTCGTGGTGGGAGACTATCGACACGAAATATTTCTTGAGCTTCTTTAATTTTTCCACTGCGCTAAAGAGGTGTGGAGGGAAAATCGGGCGCTATATCCCAATGAGGCTAGTGGTATAAATCACGTGCGGATCATCCTTCTGCTGCAAGTCGAACTATCTTGGAGGCCTGAACCAGCAAGAAATCAAGCTGTATCGTTTGTCTAATACGATGAATTCTATAAGGTATTGGAGTTGATATTCTGACGCCCAGAAGAGCCAGCTGTACCCAATACACCGTTTTAGAGATGGAGCACCAGGAAACCACAGCGTAGCTTTCAACATCTTCTCTTTGCGTACGTGAGCTGAAACACCATACAGCTCAATGATGACCGATGTCATCCTCGGGATACAAGAAGCCTACATGCAGCAGATAGTCGAGGGCGAGAAGACCTACGAGTTCCGCAAATATCGCCTGCCTCAAACCGTAGAACGTGTATGGTTTTACAGCACAGCTCCCCACTCTCAAATCCAATATGTCTGCCAGATTGAGCCTGCAGTGACACGAAACGAGAACGATACCAAGCTCCCGGAAGATGGCCTTGGGAACAAGGAGTTCAATGATTTCCACAAAGACTGGGATCGATATGACTTCGCGTACAAGATACTCACTGTCTACAAACTCAATGAGCCCATCACGTTGGCGGCCCTGAAGCAAGACTATAGACTCGGAGGGGCACCTCAACACGTGGTGTATGCACCTTCAATCCTCACTGAATCAGTGCCGTGGCACAAACAGACCAAACTGAGGTAAAAAGTGGCTGTCTGCCAGAGTTGATTAGGAAAGTAACACACAACGGGTACCTTTCAAGGCCGCCTGGGTAAGGGCCCGAAGACACTCTGAATTTATGTTCTTTCGTTGCTTCCTGTTTCATATTCCCATCATTCAGCATCATAGCTAGCGCACAATATTGGAATATCATGATCGCAATTTTGGGCCAGAAACTGCCCGCGTAGATTGGTGAGACGCCCTGCAAAACTCTCCATCTCTAGATCAATTGAGCGCAATAGATAGTCCACCTCTTGCTCAAGCGACAAGACTCCTAGGATTCTTCTATTTCTTTCAAAGCTTTCACGTGCGAGTGAGCTTCAATAGTACTCATCAGCGCACATATTTCCGAGTCTACGTACCAGGACTTTTCTTCCAAGTCCACTTTATACGGACAATGTGGCCTGCTTGCGGTCAGTACATCTAGCGTGATCTCCGAGCACATGCGCTGATAGTATTGTTCGGATGTTACGACCGAATAACTCCGCGTTGACAAAGTCAGCCATAGTTTGTAAAGCTTCACTATGTCCGATCATCACCGATCATCGCCGGCCAGCATGATCACTCCTCATTGTACAAGTATATATATGGCTTCTAAGCTCAAGAACAAGCCAGTCAAAGACACCAACTAAGATCTCTATCTATCTCATCACTATTTCACCAATCCCTATTCCGCTTCGGCCTCTGTTCTCCTCATGGCATCTACTCTTCCAGCTCATCACCGCACCCTTCTGCTCGAAGATCGTAAGGACGGTTTCCACGTCAAAACGCGCCCGACACCTCAGCCCGGCCTCGGCAATGCCATCGTCCGTGTCCATGCTGCCGGAGTTCTCTCTTACCACCGTGAAGTCTACAATGGCGGGCGCGACTACCCTTTTCCTACACCTTTAATAGGCGGTTGCAGCGCCATTGGCCGTGTCGCCGCCGTAGGCCCCGACGCAACTGCTCTGAAGCCTGGACAGCTGGTTTGGATCGACTGCGTCATCCATGGACGTGATGATCCGGATGCGCTTTTCCTCACGGCCATCCATGAAGGCTACACCGAGGGCAGCAAGAAACTGATTCGAGATGTATGGCGCGACGGAACCTTCGCCGAGTATGCCAAACTGCCTCTAGAAAACTGCATCGCACTCGATGAGGCGCGATTGTGTGGTAGCCTGGGCTACTCAATCCAAGATCTAGCGTATACTTGCTGTCTGCTTGTCCCGTATGGTGGGCTGCGGGATATCAATCTTGAGCCGGGTGAAACCATCGTTGTATGCCCGGCTACTGGTGGGTTCGGTGGCGCAGGTGTTCTGGTTGCTATTGCTATGGGTGCGAGAGTGATTGCCATGGGCCGAAACGAAAAGGAGTTGGCAAGATTGAAGGAGTATGTGCTGAAGGGGTCACCAAACGCAAGCATCGAGACGGTGAAGATGACTGGAGACGAGATGAAGGACGCGGCTTCCCTGAAAGCTTTCGGTACTATCGATGCCGTTTTGGATTTTACACCACCGCAAGCGTCAAAGTCTGCGCACGTCAGGAGCGCTGTATGGGCATTGCGCCGTGGTGGACGCGTCAGTCTCATGGGCTTCAATGACAACCCTGTCGCCCCGATTGTCACAGGCAGGAATATCACGCTGAAAGGAAAGTTGATGTATGAGCGACCGGACATGGTACAGTTCGTTAAGATGCTAGAAAGAGGCCTATTTCCGCGGGGCAAGGACTTGGTGGATACCAAGGCCTTCCAATTGGAAGACTGGAAAGAATGCCTTGATGTAGGGGCGGACCATACTGGCATTGGCAGGCACGTGGTCTTCACTCCATGAACTATTTGAAGGAATTCACGGATTGAAAGGGTGCAGGATGTCAAAATAAACCTACTTCCCGGTAATTCATTGTCCCACCGATTGTGGAACTCTCATAATTGGATATTCCTACCTTTGCCTCAAAATTAAGTTGAATTCAGTCGAAGAGCCACTGAAATGCAGAAGCAATAACCGATTTAGGGTCCTCCCTCGAATATGAAGCTTGCATGTACCACCGTGATGTACTTGGGATCCTCTTCCACACATATCTTGTACAAAATCCTCGTTGCAATACTAATGTTAGTTTGTTCTTATTGTCTTGCGTGATCTCAACGAGAAATGGCCTATCTTGGCATTTGAAAGCCGAACGAATGCTACCAGCAATAAAATGCCCCTCTGGGGCGCCAAGAAGCAAAGACGAGAAAGGGACAAACCCCGCTAGAGATGCGGTACTGGAGCTTAGCTTCACCCATCTCGTTATAAATACGACCCTATGTCTTGTATCCAAGTCCTAGACGCTAATTTGATAGTGCGTCTGACATGATAAGCACCAAGTGCTCACCCAACTGCAGTTCCCTTCGTAATCGACTCTATGAACAGCAAGTCTGCAGATGATAATATCCTCCAAATGTGAATTTGGATTTAATCTCCTGATCCCCATGAACGTGGGCCGTGAGATATTATCAAGTCGTGTATAATTCAGCATGACGTTAAGTCAGCGGCTCGCAACTGTCCATAGAAGCTAGGGTGCCACGTTTTGACAGCTACGTTGATTGTTATATGATACAAGTCTACGACTTCTCACTTAGCTCCAAAAATTCACAAGGTGGTCCAAAAGATTAAGAATGATACCCGGGTATTCCCGTCCTCGAGCCTTCCTCCCCTATCCACCTCGCTTAACAAAGCCGACCCACCAAAAAACCGACAACAAAAAACAAAAACAACACATCCAACCACCCTCTCCAAAAAAGTAAAAAATAATCAACAAAACTCCTACGAACTAGTTCCCCAGGAACTAATTCGATGATTGAAGAAACCCAAGCCCAACTCCCGGTGGAGCTGAGGTTGGATTTTTTATTCGAGGCAGTGGGTACCCTGCCAATTCGTTGTTGGCGAAGACCCAAATCGATCCACACACCAAGCGCATTTGATCCAACCCACCAGGCCAAGTGGGCGCCTTTACGCTTGGTTATTGTTTTTAACAGGCTTCTGCTTGTTTTAGTATATGAGGTAGCTTGTTTGGAGGTCGGGGGAATGATGGGAGTTGGGACGGAGGTGGTGTGTATGGAGGGGATGGGCAGAATGGGCAGGTACGCTCGTCACCGCTTGGTATTGAGATTAGGGTAAGGAGGGAGGGAATTATTTGGGACTGTGTTGTTGGAATCTCTAGATCCCCTGCTGATGCGGGAGAGCAATGAAAAAAAGCTACACAAGGGTTGTAGGTAGGCTATGGGCCGCGGGGATGCAATTTGTATTCAAGATGATTGCCTATCTAGGTAGGTAGGTATTATTGATACAAACTAGCATCCCGAGCTCCCAGTGTACTTAAACTGACCACAAACACCCTTTCCATCATCCTTCCTGACCCATGTCGCGAACGATGGCATCTCAACCTCCTCCAACCAGAAGTTATCCCCATCTAGCCCACAGATCTGCTGAAGCACATCATCCGAATTGGTGCAATACTGCATCGCCCTGTCCCCATTATCCAACTTCCATGTCGGAATCTCATTCTGATGAGTATAAGATTCGAAGACCTGTTTCGAAGAACAACAGATCGGTCCAGCAATCCAGTGATATTGAGGTATGTCCTGTAGATCCGCTGGTAGCTGTCCGAAGTGATTGCAGTGCCAGACGTAATGTTTCCATGTCTCTTGTGTGATTTCTGCCGTGGAGGCAAGGAGATAGTCAGGGACGGCGATGGTGAGGATGCCGACTGGGATGTCCGTGACTTGTTTCTTCCATGCGGCATATTCGACGGCGGCTTGCCGGGTAGCGCTGAAGTAACAGCCGTGGAAGGGAGGGCGGTCGAAATCACCGCGGCCTTTGGCATACAGTGTTTGGAACTGAATGTGCGATTGTTCTTCCGTGCGCATGTAAAGAAACTCTTCCAGTTCATGTATGGGGCCGGCTTTGTAGAGCATGGTGTGCCCTACAGGTTCGGTCTGAGGGTTGGCGTTCGTTGTCAAGGTTTGATACATCTCCATGGACTTTTCGAGGGATACCAAGTAGTTGTATCGCTCCGTCATCATGGAGACGACGAGTTCCTTGATACATGAATTGAGGCGCCAAGCTGTGAACCTGGGGTCCATGATGCGTTGTTGGAAGGACTTTGTCAGGCCGATGCGTCTCATGGTGGTCCAGCTGCTGGTCTGACTTGTCGATGGAAACATATTATCGGGGACACTCCAGACGTAGTTTATGGCACATTTCAGGAGGGATACCCGCTCGGAGTCTCTTTGTGGAAGAGAGATGAATTGAGCGAATACTAGGTCTGCGGTTTCGGGCGTGAGCTCGAGGAACTCGAGGGTAACTGGTCTGTCATTCGCAAAGGAAGACATCTTGACTTTTTGAAAAGTTTGATGTCGAATTTGTGATGGAGGGAAAATGTGTCAAAACTTTGTGGGAGATTCTCAGGCTTGCAATTCTACTGTATTGTAAATGGACTGAATTGGAAAATGGACTGACTGGACCAGAGACTAACACAGTCCTGGCATTAGTGAAAAGGGGGTTGCGTGGTAGCGAACGGGAATACTACCTTAGGTAGTGGCAAACCATCTCTTGTGACTTGGTATACAAGCATATCTATGAAATATCGTGAAGAAAAAAAATCCTATAAATCTCATAAGGAGTAAGTACATTACGGTAGTACATATAACAAGTGAGAGACACTTGAGGCTCTTGATCTTAATTAGCAAGTTACAGGACCCGTGATGCAGGCGGGCGATCACATGCAAGTCATTTATTTCATTCGCTTAGGGCCATTCCCATCTCGGGCTTGGGCATCGGATCGGGCAGACATGCCCATGCTTCTAGAACAAAAGGAAGTAATTTCCGTGCCAATCTCGAATCCCTCTCAAAAAATAACTTAATAGCAATATGATATGATGTTGGAGAACAAGGACTTTATGGAAGATTTTCCGTTTGAAAAAGATGACGGAAAGGTGCAGTACTATAACGGGGCCACCTACATTTTCCTCGCGGTTTGATACGCGCCGCACGCTGACTGTTCTGCAGCTCTGCTTTTGGGAAATGCTGCAGATGCAGATGCAAACGCAGTGAGGTTGTAAGAGTGACTCATGCCCGATTGCCGTTGGGGCTGGGCTCGTTGTTGGAATGTTGTCACTACCTTATTCTAAGATCTACCCTCGTAGAGACGGATTTAAGTACAGTACCGGTCTTGTATATGGGATCGAGATGGTTCCTTTGATGGCAAAGGCCGCCATCAGCTGTTTAGGGGTTGACTCAGTGTAACGGCTGACCCGGGGTGTGGCTTTGCGGCGTAACAAAGCTGTTTGTTAGGAGATGGAACCTCGTATCGCATCATACCACACCCTACCGAACCATCTCATACCATACCACCCCATACAAGTCCACGTCCGTGGTGATTCATGATTTGGTTCTGACGCATGGCCGCGCAGGCATCGTTGATTGATTGATTGACCCTGATAACGAACCAAGATGCCGGGCTGGTAGGGCTTGCGGTTCCTTCAAGTACTTTGTACTCATGTATTTGAATACAGTAGCAAGTACGGTATCAAACACATCCCACAGACCTTAGCAATGGGAAGACGGGCGCGGTTTGGCCTTGACTCATGTGGCATGGCCGCAAAAGGGGGGTCATTTGGTATTCGGCTGATTTATTGGAAGAGGGTGAGGAAAAGGGAGAGGACATGTAATGTTTTTGTTTGCTTTTTTCCAAGGAAAAATCTTTAAATATTCCGTAGTACAGGGAGTCGGACGGAATAGGGAAGCAATAAGGAAAGGGGTGATCCTGGTCCTCCAGCCCTAGCGTGTTTGAACGAGTCGTGGGGGCTCAGGCTCAGCTCTGATCTGATCGCTTTTACTTGTATTTCTATTTCTAAAAGTACGATGAGAAGAGATTTGGAATTCGACCACAAATAGTTTGAAGAAAAGGGGTGGGTAGGAAGTAGGAAGTCAGTCCATTAGGGCTGCTAAGTTAGGGCAAGATATACCAAGATGGGGACAGCGAACACATCATAATCTCCCGCGACGCTGCCAGCCAGTGTTTCGAAGGCCGACAGAATTTGGCAGTGTCTTTTTACATACGTTACGGGCCATAAGAAGTACTCCGTGGAAGTACCCTTAGGCGCGTTGCTGTGCTCGGATTTGGAGGCTGAGTGCACGATACCTTAGGTACCTACTTTTGCTTCACTCTCTGTGGCAGAAAAGGGATGCGATGCCTTACCTGTGTAAATATTTCAACGTACACATTTCTTAGAATCATTTATAACAATAGCAAATCTAAATATAACAAGGAATACTGACTGACGGACTGCACTGCCTACGCGTGAATGGCTGGGCCCCAAATGAATTTTGTTAGAGTGCTCACATATCGGGTCCGCCCTAAACACGACTAGCGCTAGGCCACTCATGGCCACTGGTCCAAATTTATCCCCAAGAAAGTATTTCGAAGATTTTCCTCTCCTCATCCTTTTCTCTATTGAGAACATCACAAACACACACCCACCCCAAATTCCCACGACATCTTCTATTCCGTAGAAGATCACTCGCGGCGAATCCTGTTACGATATACTCGTACCTCATCCCACTTCATAATTATCGCTGGCATCCGTTTCGACGTTCTGCTGCGAATTCCACTCCTGGGATCAGTTTTTGCCCTCTCTCAGGCATCAATCTTTCCCACGAGAGAAAGCGATTTACTTCGGCTTTTCCTCCACCTCCACCAACTCCACTCCTCTTCGAGTCACATCGTCGACCTCTGAATCGGACAGATCAGATTTGATATCCGGTCACCCTTCTGGAAAGGATATCTACATCTCTGTTCGTCGCGATACGTCATCCGAAGGAAAACACACAACACCCTCCCGAACACCACACGAGGTCATCTTCGAAACGTTCACCCTATGACTTCCGTGTCCCAACAATCACAAAACCCAAGCCAGGCCTCCCACAGCTCCAGCGCGTCGCAGTCCACCGTGTCTTACGCTAACGCAGCAAAGGCAGTCTCGTCGCCACCCATCGCGACGGGCTCCTCGACTCCTTCTCCCGCCGTGGCTGTCGGTGGTTCTGCGCCGGTACAACATGGAAAGACTTCTTCGATCTCGCCGGTGAATGGCAGATCCTCGATTCCTCCTGCGGTACCGGCAGTTTCTGCTGCACCTGCTATCGCACATAGCAGTGCTGTAGCTAATGGTAGTGCTATGGATCATAGCCGCAAGAGTTCAGTGACCATCAGCGCGACTGGACCCAACGGTTTCGTACCCAATGGTGGCCCAGTTGGCGGTTCTAAGAGTAGCATCCAATTTGGATCCATCACCGATTCCCCTGCTGCGTCCCACAGCACTCCTCAGGTTGCGCAAACAACGTCTTCTGCGCCCATCTCAATTCCCAGCAATCCCAAGGTGATATCCCCATCGCAATCACCTACCCCGATCCCGCAACCTTCTGCTAGCGGTGGAAGACCACCTTCCGGTTTGGCTGGACAAGGCAATGGGGTGACTTTTGGTTCTCTCGGCGGCGATGGCGATGTAAGTTTGCGGTTCCTCCTATTGGCGCATTTAATTTTACTAACCACTTATGTTTGACAGCGTCACATGAGACAAGCATCTGGCACTCAAGGTCCTCTTGCTCCCGGCAACCAACAATCTGGCCATCTCCGTCGCGAATCGTCGCAATCTATACAAGGTGAAATGAGCGGCAACCAGGGTACTGGTGCAGGTCCCGGACGCGGTAATTTCCCTCCACAAGGTCGAGGCCGCGGCAACTACAACAATTCCCAATTCCAGCAGCAGCAGCAAATGGGCTACCCTCCTGGAAACAACTCACAATTTAGGAACTCGAGTCAGGGTCGCGGTGCGATGGCTCCCCCTTTCCAAGGACAAGGCCGCATGCCCAACTACCCTAATTCGCCACACCAAGCTGCTCGAAGTCCAGCTCTGGCGCCCTCTTTGCCCGGTACACCCAACATGAACCCGGTAATGCCAATGCAGAACCCCCAGCAGTATGGAGGATATGGAGGATACCCCCAGATGCAGGGCCAAGCAGTAAAGAACCCTTCTTCTTCAAACCATCAGTCAGATTTTTCGGGCAACAAATTCAACAACAATAGAGGCAATAAGGGTGGCAAAAGTTGGGCTGCGCGAAATAATGAGAAGTACTCATCAGGGCGACAGCGAAACCAAAGAGATTCTTCCCAGGAAATCTACGGTCACCAGTACATGTCGCGCGAGCACACCCAGCCGTTGCAAACAGAGCGAGATAGTTACGATCAGAGCGATATGAGGAACTTCACGATGCCTGCGGAGCCTGCTGGTCGTGATCATTCCATGCAATCGCCGCGTGGCAATGAATCACCTCCCTCAGCTCACTTGGAACGTCGAGCTTCTTCTGCTGATCAATCTGCTCTACCCCCTCTCCCTCCCCCTCTTGTTGGCGTTCCGCGATTTGACGTGCATTCTATCGATCTTTCCCCTGCGAGTGTCGATTTTGAAAGATTTCTAACTATGCAACAGGGCGGCTATCCTAACTACCAGGCTCAAGGTTTCGACCCTCGAGGTATGCCTATGACAGGCACTCCCTTCATGTATCCTGCGATGCAGTTCATGCAACCTGGTCCCCCACAATCCCCCCAACCCGGCTATCAACAACCAAACGCCTACATCCCTGGACAATATGCACCTCAAACGCAGCCAATGTCGCGAAACTCTTCACAGATGTCCGCCGATCAGAGACCAGCTTCCAGCATGGGCCAGCCTCAAACTCCTTCCATGACACCGTCGGTTTCTCATCCTCATACTCCACAGGCAGCAGCAAAGGCTACCGCCTCACAATCCAACTCTTTCTCGAGACCTGCACGAAAGAGTGCTGCTATTGTAATCAAAAGACCTGACGGTGAAGCACTAGATGTGGAGGCTTTCAAGGCTCCCGCTTCCCCAGCACCAAGCAACCGAACCAGAACACCTCCCGTAATTGCTTCAACACCCACACCTCCACCAAAGTCGTCGACTCCTCAACATTCTCGCAATGACAGCGCTGCTGTTAAGAGCAAAGAGCAGATCCAGAAAGAAGTTTTAGAAGCTGTCAAGCAAAAAGCTGCCGCTGAAAAGTCAGACAAAGCTGCTGACAATCAAGCTAAAGCGGATGAAGCTGCAAAGGCCGCCGAGGACAAGTCGAAGGATGAAGCAAAGATAAAGGCAGATGCTGAGGCTAAGGCAGCAGAAGATGCTAAGGCGGCTAAGGCTAAGGAGGAAGCCGATGCGAAAGCCGCTGCCGACAAGGTTAAGCAAGACGAGGAAGAAGAATTAGAACGTCAAATTCGCGAGATAGAGGAAGAAGAGGCCGCGCGAGAGAAGAAGGAGGCTGAGATACTTGCAAAGCGAGATGCTGAGAAGGCTGCCGCCGAAAAGGAAAATGCAGTCAAGCGTAAACAACAAGACGAGGAGAACGATCGTAAGCTCAAGGAACAAGAGCGTGAGATGGAGCGTCTCGAAGATGAGTGGGAGCAGAAGAGGAAAGAGGCTGAGGCCAAGGGTAGTGAGAAGGTCGACATTCAAGCTGAGCTCAAAAAGGATATCAAGTCTCTGAGCAAGGATAATGACAAGAACACGCCTGCAACGCCATCTACTTTGGCCTCGAAGCTCTCCAACCTTACCCTCGGGACTGAAAGTGGAGCCTCAACTCCAGCTTCTGATGATTCTATGGGCCCACCCCCTAAAGTCAATGCTTCAGAGAAGCGCGGCAAACCGGCTGCTCTTAACTTGGCACCGCTCAATACAAAGCCCGTTGAGGCACCGCAACCAAGTGCTGCTCTACAGTCGCTCAAGTCGGCTCGATTCTTGACTGCTATCAACCCTGCTTTGTATCCCACCAACATTAATTCTCCTAATCCAGCTCTGAACACCGCTGTCACGAACAAGGGCAAGAATTTCAAGTACGACAAGGAGTTCTTGCTCCAATTCCAAAAGGTCTTTACTGAAAAGCCGTCACTAGAGTTTGAGTCTCAGATCAAGCATCTTATTGGAGAAGGTGACGGAGGTTCAGCTAGATCAGCATCGACGAGAACTACTGGAATGGGTCCAAGACAGGGCTCCGCCAGGAATAACGCTCCTGGGGCTTTTGCCATGGGACAATTTGGCGCCGTGGGTGGCAAGACTTTACCGCCTGGTACGACTTCGGATCAACGTTTTGCGATGGCGCAAGGCACGATGGCACGACCTCCAATTGCAACAATGAATTCAATGAATTCACTTCCTCGTATGGGTGGTGGATCCTTCCCAGGTGGCAATGCAATGTCGCGCCAAAGTTCTCAGTACAACATGCCAAACTCTCCTCGGCAACCGAGCAAATCTCAGCGCAATAACAGCAGGCCCCACGGGCACCCCCCCAACGCCAAAGCTGAAGCTCAAGCCGCAAAGACCATGCCACTCACAGCCGGTATGGATCTTAAGCCCATCCAAGTATCTGCTTCTGGATGGAAGCCTCGCAGCATTGGTAATCAAGCTGCAACTGGCGCAGCCGGCCCTGCTCCTGGCGCATCTGGTGCTTCTGGTCATATGGAGCCCGACATGGTTCAACGAAAGGTGAAGGCTGCATTGAACAAAATGACTCCCGAGAAGTTTGACAAGATCGCAGATCAAATTCTCGCCATTGCTGCTCAATCTAAAGATGAGGCTGACGGACGCACTCTTCGACAAGTTATTCAACTCACCTTTGAGAAAGCCACCGATGAGGCTCACTGGGCTTCTATGTATGCTAAATTTTGCAAGCGGATGTTGGAGACAATGAGCCCCGATATCAAAGACGAGAGCATTCTCGACAAAAATGGCAACATCGTTTCCGGAGGCAACCTTTTCCGAAAGTATTTACTCAACAGGTGTCAAGAAGAATTCGAGCGAGGTTGGAAGATGGATCTGCCCGACAAGCCTGAAGGTGAACGTGGCGAAGAGAAGTCGGGCGAGGCTGCTATGCTCTCTGAAGAATACTACATTGCTGCCGGTGCAAAGCGTCGTGGTCTTGGTCTTGTGCAGTTCATTGGTGAGCTCTACAAGCTTAGTATGCTTACGGAGCGTATCATGCACGAGTGTGTGAAGAAGCTTGTGGACTACACTGGTATTCCTGATGAAGCTGAAATTGAATCATTGACCAAGCTCCTCAAAACCATCGGTGCCAACTTGGACAGTACCGAGAAGGGCAAGCCTATGATGGACGTCTATTTCTCCCGAATCGAGGCACTGGTTGTGACGCCAGATCTTCCCAGCCGTCTGAGATTTATGTTGATGGACATTGTCGATCTCCGGAAGAAGCGTTGGCAATCAAAGGAACAGAACAAGGGTCCCAAGACACTCGAGGAGGTCCGAGCCGAGGTATGTTAATTCTAATGATCATTTTGTGAGTTGCACTAACTTTTGAAACAGGCCGAAGCCGCAGCTGCACAAAAAGCCGCAGAGAATGCTCGTGGTAGCCAGCGTGGAGGTGGTGGTGGAGGTGGTGGTGGTGGACGTATGCAAATGGGTCGTGGTGATTCGCGAAATTTCTCGAATCAATATGGAAATCAACCTCCTGTCGACTATCAGAAGAACACCGTTGGTATGGATGACTTGCGTCGCTTGACCAACAAAAACAGTACAAACAGACACTCGAGCCAACAGATGTCGTTTGGGCCTACCTCGATGTTTTCTTCTCGAAGCAATAGCAGGCAAAACAAGATGGGCCCTGGTGGCTCATTGGGCAGAGCAGGTGAAGACTCGGGAGCTTCATCGAGAACTGGCACACCCCCTCAACAAAAGGAAAAGGAGTCGGCTACTTCCGCAAATGCATTCAGGTATGTTTTCGCCCCCTTTCAATACAGTATCTTGCTCTGACATTCAATTTAGTCTCCTTGCAGGGTTAGGATCAGGAGAAGCCGAGAACCCAGCCTCTCCACCTTCGACATCTGTCTCCCCAGCATTGTCCAAGGCGACTCCTGCACCAGCAGACAAGTCTGAAGACAAGAAGGACACCGAGTCTTGAATCGATCATACACAAAAGTGTATTTGGCAATATCCTAATATCTGTGCATAGACCGGCGGGTTAAACTTGCATTGCAGCGGGCCTTTTCTAAAACGTGTCTTAAAAGTTCTCCTTCTGTTTACCATGATACCTCACATTCGACCCTTAGACTACATCGCATCACCAGATTTCTTTATTTCCTGCGCATATTGGGCGGTGTGCGGGAGACAGGTTGCTTTTATTGCAATTTCCTTTGGCTCTCGGGATTTGTCCTCGCCGCGGTATCGGCTGTGAAGGGCAACGACTAAAAGCTTTTGTGTGAATAATTTTTCCTTTCTCTGCCAATTGCCAGATCTGCTGCTTTTCTGCATGCTCGGGGTCGAAGATTTTGCGTTGCTTTTGCGTCCGAAGGTCTACCAATCTGTACTTTGGCCCCATGTGGCACAGAGTTTTCGATGGTTGCGGTTTCTATGCCAATGCTGATAGCCAGGCTGGCTGCTTTTGTAATCTTGGGGGGGGGGGCACGAGTGGAATTCTATGGAGGGAGGGGGAAGCGAGCCGCGTCGTTTACTCGAATGCACGAGTTGGTCGCCAACAACGAGTGCTTGAGGGACGAGGACTTGCTTGTGGGGAGGGAAAATCATTGTACAAATACTAATTTTTCGACCAATTGACCAGCCAAGGCTTCAGTAATACAAAGATTCATAACATTTGAAATGTGTTCCATCTATATCTCGGTGAACCTACCCTAACTTGCCAAATGGTTCTAGCTATCTTCTTTCGGGGACTTCAAAATGGAGGCTCTTTTCATTCATCCAACAAGCATGTATGTTTGTGATCCTGAAACTCTGTCTGGATCTGTGTTTTGCTCGTCGCTCCGATGAAACAAACTCCTCTGCACACTTCTCTTCCCTCCTTGTCTTATGCCACGAGTGCAAAGATGTAACCACTCCTTTCTCAATATTCCATTTGGTCACCTTGTTGACAAAGCGGCATACGGCATATGCCTTCTCAAGCCAACCGGTTCTTGAAGCAAAAATGGTTTCTCCAAAAACAGCTCCCTTCTAATCCCTCGAAACCCTCAAATAATAATATTCCCCTCGCAAATCTCAGCCCATCGGACCAATTCTAAAGGCAGCTTACGAAGCGGAAGAACAGTACGTGAACTAGACTACAGTAAGTACATGGGCCGAAAACCAAGTCATACCGTGTGCATGACTACAAGTCATCACTATGCTAGAATATATCCCTCCTGAACATGTTCTCGTCACCGGTACTCAACGCTGCCTTGATGTACCTTGCCCTTGCATAGGTATGTACAGATCGCGAATTGCCGGTACGGGTGCCGCCGAAACATGCCTCAAACTCGGCTAAGCACAAAAGAGCCTCAGCGGCAGCCTGGCATACAGTACCTACAGTAGCTCGAGGGTAGGCAGCACCACCCACCCCACAGACTCACCCACCCCCACGAGGAGCAGCGCTTTGAAGCCGGCGTCTACTCATTTTCCCCATAAGGCAGCATTGTCCTCACAAGTATGACTGCCAGGCAGAACGGCCAGGCCGCCAATCACAAGTGTTGCTGCTTCAGCTCGTATATCAGGCAGGCTCGTAGTCTGGGGATGAGTGTCCATAAAGTATCCTGTGCCCTCGAATGAGAAGCCGCGTGGTGATATAGCGTATGACTATTCCAATGTCTGAAAGATGTAGGTCGTTAAGGGTCAGGATGGTATGCAAGGAAGCGCTGCTGCCATGGCATTTTAAAGTGGAGGTGGTCCATTGGTGTACAGTATAAAGTTCAATTCAGACCTCGTTTTTGGCTTTTGGGCTATGCGTTGATTTCAAGAATTATCTATCTATCTGCATATGCGAGCTATCTATACGAGCTTCAATTCAATCCGTCGTCCACCAGCTCAGTCTATCATTATCAATCATCCTCTGCTCTCATACAAAATCCCTCCTCGACTTCCCCCGTGACACAATTCACGCATTGTGACTCAACATCTATCTATACAATGTCTCGAAAATACGCTACAATCGTACCAGAGCCACCGACTCCTACCGTTCGAATACAAGTTTCGATTCAAGCAATAATAATTAGGAGGAAAGAAATGGGCGCTCCAAAAGAACAGCCTGACGACCCTGGTACGCTACCCTCTCTCTCTTTCTTTCTTTCTTTCTTTTCCCCGAGCCTCCTTCTACTTTTTATATTCGTATTCTAACTTCTCACAGGCTATGGGAAATAACCTTTGCCTGTTCCGGCAAAACGGGTTCGGGCCTAGGGACATTTTGCGTTGTGTTTATTTGGGAGTTTGGCGTTGAATGAAGAGTTGTTTAGAGAGCAAGCTAAGAGCAATCAATTGTAATGAAAGAAGGAACGACGGATTGAAGTGGAGTGGAGTGAGCCAGGCCAGCCGCAATACGGCTCTTGCTGTACGCACGCGGTCTTGATGAATATGGCAAAATCAGGAAGGATTGGATTGGATTGGATTGGCTTGGAGGGCTTCCTTCGACAGGAATGTTTGATCGGCGATTCTCGGTGGTGCATTGAAGGGAGATGGATATCTCTTGCTTGCTGTTCCGGGGTTAAGTTACGAGCTTGCTTTTCGCGGCTTGCACTTGCGTTCTCCTCTATGTACGGGACGCCATATATGTTTGCAATATCATCACTCACCATACAGTGTCAGATCTATGTACCTACCTTGGCTTTGATGAGAAGAATACGTCGTACACGAGGGGTAGTTTAGAAATGTGTGGGAGAGCGAGAGAGCATATATCTTATATCTGTCAATCAATACCCTGATCTAATACCATACCATACCACATCCTGCCGATCGAGAAGAACTTTACCCGCCTGCCAGACTGTCTATCGCGTGTGGAATTTTGTTCTTTCTCCTCTTTTTTATTATTATTGCTTCCTTCCTTGCTTCCGGATCCTTCCCGCGTTCTTGAACGCGCTCTCCACAATAACTATATACAAGTTACTAGATCCGTGTCCTGCGATTATAGGCAGTCAGTCACAGCTTACACAGATCCTCGAGATCAGGGAATCAAAGTCACTACACTAGCTGCGGATTTGGAGCTGGAGCATCGCATCTGTAATCACAATTTGGCGGGCTGATACAAGTCAGAATCATGTGGGACTTTTGTTGACAGGCAGGGAGGAGAAGGGGGAGTAGTGCTGAGATACCAAACTCGAATCACGAAGGAGAGTGCGGTTCTTTTGAGGGGCTTTGATTGATAGGGTGTAAATCAACGATATACAACGGGATATGGGAAATGTTTCTGATAGTGCTGCACAAGAGGCATGTAAGACGGTGAAAGGTTGATTTGTAGACAGTGTAATCTTTAGATAATGCTACTTGTATTTTCTGTGGAAATGACTTCTGTAAGGTCGGAGAATATCTCGAGATGAACGACCGTGCAAAGAAATTCGCAGATTTCTCAACCTGGGAACCGGCCATCATTTCCCCAAATACTTCTCCCTGTATCCTTTATTTCCGCTCTCTCCTTTTCCTGCCGATGCTAGTTCTAATCTAGGTAGTCATGATTAACGGTCCACCCCAACAACCCCCCTAACAAAGTCCCTAAAAGCCACCATCCTCGGATTCGCCTTCCAGATCGGCCCGGCGCTCTGGAGATCCACATCTATAGACACCAACGGACTACCTCTCAATCGCACCCACTGCTTCTCATTCGCGTTCCTATCGATGATGTGCTGCTCCAACGTCCGGTACCAACGGCCATTGACGAGAACCGACTCACACAAACCTGTGGAGTGGAGGGGTGCGACGTAGAGAATGACTCTTAGAGACTGTAGGCTGGACAACGTGGCGAGCACTTTGAACAGGTGGGTTGGGATACACGGGCTGTGCCGGGTGAGGCTCACGTTTACTTCAACGGCGCGGATTGCAGCTTTGTGTGCGGGGTTGATGACCGAGAGGTAGTTCATCATGAACATGTGGGATATGAAGGAGAAGGATGCACACTTGTAGAGGAGAGCTCCGCCAACTATGTCAACGTAGAGTTGGCGGCTGACGAGGGAGAGGTTCTGGTTGATGTTGATTGCGTTGAATGCGTTGATTTCGTCGCTTACGTTGCTGTGACCTATGCTTATGAACTTCTTTCCGCTTTTACGAGGTGTGATGCATATGTTCTGGAGGGCTAGCTCGTAGATTCTATTCCTGACTTCATTTGGAAGTCTCAGGAAGCTAGAAGATTGCGATGTTGTTGCTAAGGCCCATTCTAGACTCTGTTCTTTTTGTTAGCTGGAGTTACTGAAGGATAGAAGTCAATTGACATACATGAATCCCATGTTCGGGGGAAACAACTTTTGTCTCTTCATATCCCTCTGGTGTTTTTTGTGTGATCTTGAGACTATTAGCCCGAATCCCCAAGTTTAGTGAGAAGTTTGAATATGTAGCATCACAGAGGGAGGGTATAAGTGCAATTTGTAACTCGACTTTCAAAGCTCCTTGGCGTGAATTACTCTCCGTAGAAAGCAAGAGCAGGCAACCGAGGAAGTCATGAACTCTTCCACTACCCACTAGGCATAAAAGACACCACAGATCGAAACCCGACCAACAAATTGTACAAAACCATTCTTACCTGAAAAGCATCAAAGCCCGGCGCCTTCACTTTCTTAACAATTGTGAACCTCGCCCGCGACGACTTCCTCCTTTTCTTCGCCGATTTAGGCTGTAGCGGAACAGCTGTCATGCTCGTCGAGACCAATGCCTCCACATCCATCGTTCCCGTATTGGTTGGTGTTGTGGGGTGTGTGGTATTGATTAGGTACGGGGAGGTGATGAGTAGTGAGTGGTGTAAGGGCCCGGAGACCAAAAAGTGATCTTAGGAGTATGAAATGAAATGCTGGGAATTGCGTTGTAGGACGACGATGCAAAGTGCTTTAAAGGAGGAGAGGTTCTGTGATGGATGGGCGGGTAGAGTTACTTATGTGAATGAGGAGAGTGTGAAGTGTGAAGTGTGAAGTGTGAAGTGTGAAGTGTGAAGTGTGAAGTGCTGAAGCAGATACAGACAACCGTGATGTTTATGCACAGCCTGATAGCGCTGGCTAATTAGCGCGCATTTGGCGAATCAAGCGTGCTACTGGAGTAAAAGATCTCGGAACTTTCACTTGAAATATCATCAATCATGGCACGTTCCAACCGAAAGGAGTTGGCTTTGAAAGACCAATCAATTGAATTTGTATTATATGTCTGGTAGTCTGTCTAACTTACAACCACCTGCCCTTATAGGTTTGTAACCCTCGAACACCATTGTTATGTATCCCAGTGCCTCGAGCCGTCGTGAAATGCATCTATAAAACCCGTCTATCCTCATTTAAAGTCATCTTTCAAGACCCATCGACCTCTCATCCTGCTATTACCACCACCCTTCTCAAGCCTAGCAATCTCGCCAAGCATATGTTTGAATTCCGCCGTCTGCTGAGGATTACTGCACATAGCATTGAAGTGATTGACAAGTGCCTGACTGGGCGCCGAACCTCCTTGTCTCCTGATAAAGGTCTGGATCAACTTCATGAAGTCCTTTCCCTTAGGCCCAGCACCAGCGCCAGGAGTTCCAGATCGAGAACTGCTCGCACTCGCAGCATTCGAGATGCCCTGTCGGTTTGCCAATCCCGCGAGAATACCAGCCGAGCTCGGTCCCACGCCTCTACGAATGTTCACTGGTCTTCCTGCAGAGCCGAAATCACCAGTCCATGTCACGGTTCCAGGTTCTTGCGCTCTTGCAACTTCGCCAGCTTTGCGTAGCTCGGCCGCTGCTTCAGCCGCTATTTTCTTTGCTTCGCGCTCTAGCATGTTGCGGTCAGCAGATATCTTCTTCTTGCCGTTGATGATCTGGTCGTGCTCAAGCGCGCTGTGGACGCCGGAGCGTGCGAAGAGACCCTCCATTAGTCTAGCCTCGTCAGAAGTTGGTTTATTTTCTGAAGGGTCACCACGAAACTGTTCGAGATTTGCAACACCTGCAAGACCGCGGATTTCGGTTTCAGAATCGCCTTGCGCTTCTGCTCCTGGACTGAGTTGAGTGACTTCTTGGGTTACCACATCGTTCTCCACTGCAGAAGCAGCGCCTGCTTGTCCTAATGCCGAGTAGTCTTCGGCAGCTGCGGGTTCAGGTGGTTTGTCGAATTGGACTTCAGTTCCTTTGAACATTTCACTAGTCTCGGTTGTGCCATCATCGTTGCTTCCAAGGGTGAACAGATCGTAGAGGTCCTTCATCTGAAAAGTCTGACGCTGTTTTGGGTCTTTCAGAATCTTGTTTGTAAGGAATTGCTTGAAGATCTGTCGATGGTATATTTTCTCCTCGATTGTACCCGCAGTCATCAAACGGTAGATGGTAACTTCTTTCTTTTGGCCTAGTCTCCACGCTCGCTCACGAGCCTGCACATCGGTTGATGGATTCCAGTCTGGATCGAAAATGATGACTCTGTTGGCACCAGTCAGGTTGACTCCCAAACCTCCAACTTTTGTAGTAAGGAGGAAGACGTGAAGATCTGGCTCATTATTGAAGCGATCCACAAGACTTTGTCTGTCCTTGATATTTGTACCACCGTCCATACGGAGATAGTTGAAGCCGTCAAGACCTCTAATAAAATCTTCAATGATGTCGAGCATTTGAACGCCTTGACTAAAGAGCAAGGTCTTATGTCCGAAACGTTTCCACGTTTCCAATAGAGCCTTCACAACTTGCATCTTTCCGGATTTGTTTGGATTGCCCCACTTGTAGCCGGGTTTGCCTCTTGTTGTCTTATCCAATAGATCTGGATGGTTACATATTTTGCGTAGAATATCAATTCCATACAGCGACTGGCGCGTACGATTTATGATCGAGCTCATCTCTTCAGAGGCTAGAAACATTTCATATGCTTCTCTCTGAGGTTTCGTGAGCTTGCAAAACAAGACTTGCTCGCTCTTCTTCGGAAGGTCGGAAGCTACATCAACCTTGAGTCGCTGCAAGAGATATGGACTGATAGCAGCCTTGAGTGTCTCGGCACACTTAGTCGCAGTCAAAACTTGCAGATTTGTAGCATTGGCGTAGCCACCGAGTCTGATTGGGACTTCAAATGACTGCCGGAAATTGACAAGGGTACCAAGCCGCATAGGAAAGACGAAGTCGAACAAAGACCAGAGCTCGATCAGATTGTTCTGCATCGGAGTACCAGAAAGGATGACTCTATTTGCGGTTCTCAGTTCCTTGCAATAAATGGTGATTGCTGTGTTTGGATTCCGAATCTTATGTCCCTCATCAAGGACAGCGTAATCCCAAATAACAGGAATGAGCACATCGGAGTAAGTCTGCAGGCCAGCATATGTAGTAACAAGGACATGTCCGTGCTTTACAACTCGATCTACAATGTTCTTGACCGCTTTTGATGATTTTGCTGGCTTCTTTTGGCTGTAACCGTATAACTCTTCCACTTCTTCCATTCGATCCTCACTACCAACGTTCAGCATGCCACTTCCAGAGCTGTGAAGGATCGAGACTCGCAGAGGTGGCCACCATCGATGGAACTCATTGACCCATTGCCGAAGTACCGTGGCAGGAGCAACAACAATAATAGGTTTCGTTAGCTTCTTACTGTAATGGAGTCCGGCCAGGAATGATATAATTTGTATGGTCTTTCCTAGACCCATCTCATCACCAACAATTCCACCAACCTGCTGCGAGTAGAGTTCTCCAAGCCATTGAACACCGGTTTTTTGATAGTCAAACAACGCTGGGTAGATATCTCCAGGAAGTTTAATACCATTTTCGAATTGATGATCAGGTTCATCTGGACAAGGTTTGAACCACTCGTCCTCGCCAGCCTCTTCAGCAGCAAGTTCCTCCTCGGTAGCTTCGTTATCTTGTAGCTTCCTACGTCGAGCTGCTCTTCTCGCCTCAACCCAACGGGATAGCCTTGCCTGATACATCTGCTCATTACCATCATCAATAGCACCTAGGTCTACTTTTTCTTCCGCTGTGGACTTGGTGGTTTTCTTTTTCCTCGAAGTTCGAGAAGTCATAAGCTCATCATCCTCGTCTTCCTCAATGAAATCCTCGAGATCATTGTCTGAAAGCGCAGGCTCGAAATCAGCACTCTCGTCGTCAGGTGAAGCGTGACGAGTATTCGATCTCGTTGAAGCTGAACCATTCTCGAGTCTTCGTTTCTTTCGAGGCCGTAGAGAGAACTCATCTTCAGGAGCACTACTAATACTTTCGGGAGTATCCGCAAATCCAGGTAATCGAAGGTTTTGGTGAGACCTGGGCTCCACATCTTCAGCAATAGGTTCGTCGCCTCCATCTGCGGTTGCATCTTCCTCTGCGTTCATCAATACTTCAGTGAGACCGCCACCAGCCCAGCCTTCAGGACCAGCCCGAGCAAATGGTGTGATTTTGCCGGTCCGGATGAGGAAATCTCGCTGAGTCTCGTTTGGCATGCGATGATTACCACCAGCAGCATCTGCTTGACTCTCTGTAACCTCATCGTGCTGGTGCCTCGCATCTATGCGAGTCTGTATGTCCACAATATCCTCCTTGAATGTTGTAATATCTGCATTGATACGGGCGATTTCGGACATACATCTGTTGCGCATAAGAGGGTTGTTCGAGGAGGCATTCAGCTTGCGCTGTTGGGTGTGCTTTTGGCCTTCAAGCTTCTCGATGTTGGCTTTGACCTTGTCGATTCGCTTCTGATCCCTTTCGTCTTCTTGCTCGATCATGACCAGGTTGGCCTGATTCGTAATGTCTCTTTCCAGATCATCTTGATCTCGAACATCCTCAGTCAAACCCTGGAGCGCACTGGCTTCATCTTCCCCGAGCAGATTCGCAGCCCCGCCGTTCTCTTGGAGGGGAATGTCGGACACAGCACCTGAAGCTTCTGCCACGGTGCTGGTTGCGTCTGCCTGTAAATTCATGGTAGCTGGACTTGAAGATGAAGGACCTGCCTCGGACTCGGAGGCCACTGGATTCAGGCTCTCGGAGTCCATCCTAGTCGGCAGATTCCGCGAAGGCTTACTGAAGGAGTGGATTCATGTAGAAGAGGTTCAAGGAAAGTATAGATGTTGAGATGTTTGGAGGGGTTGTGATGTTGAAAGTGGAGGGCGGCACCTAGAAGTGAGACTATGTGGCAAATGTGAATACAGGAAAGATGAGAGGTTTAAACTTCCTCGTAGAACTCGTAGAGATAGATGAGACTGAACAGGCACCTCCTAAGAGAGTGCTCTAACTTGCGCCGTTGGATGATTCAAAGAAGAATCAGTAAATTATCTTGTCGGCGAATGCGTCATGAGAAAGGGAAGGGAAGGCTCCGAGATGCGAGTTGAATCCCTGTAGAGTAAAGGGTCCCGCTGGCGTTGATTGGACGATGCCAAGGTACTCACAGCCTTACCTCTTTCATTCACGTGAAAGTGAAGATGAGATGGAATTTGTCTCCTTGTAGCGAAGCATTTAATTAGGAAAACGGTTTGCCTAGGTGAAGTAACAATTACAGTACTAATCCTCGGCATTTGTGGCGTTCAGGTATAAAGAAAGCCTTTGTCGTATAGCGGCTGGCTTAAGAGCAATAGATAGTTTTTCTTTTTGTACACGGACGGGAGCGATCCCCAGATTATATTCGTACCTAACGTAGTGTACTAGGAAGAGAGTTGAAAGAATCAAACAAAGCCTACCCCATATGAGACTTGTATACTTACCTGTAGGATTGTATAGTATTATTTGATCACAGTCACACAACTCGACGGAGCTATATTATTGGACCGGGCTGCTGACATGCATGGTATCCCTTTGGAGGCTACAAATACTGATTTTCGAAATATCAATACATTGGTCTTTGTGCCCGTGCCCAAGACGGCAAGATGAAGATACCTTACTCGAGTACAGTACTGCCCACAGTTGCTGCGCTTCTTAAACACGTAACGAGCGCGAGCTAGGGGAGTCATGCACGAATTAATTTAATGTGTGATGAACCCTAAACATACGTAGAGGCCCGCATATTACTAACACTAAAGGCGCCTGGTTAAAGACTTCGACTTGAAACCATCGACATATATAAAGATATACTTGGACCATGACTCTTATCCCCATTCTGAAAGACTATACTCGAGGCTAGCATAACTCACAGTCATATGATATACGTTTTTGATTTTACAAGCATTCGCTCGATATCAAAGTTTGATAATCACTGGACTCGGCTACCTTACCTTACCATTCCATCCCACGCTAAAGGACCTAAGAGGGAGGTTACCCAAACCTAGAACCAATCCGTTGGTGGACCAGCTCTCCACGGCAGCACAGCACAGCACAGCACCAGCCAGCCAGCCAGCCAGCACTCTAACCTACATCGCATCTCTACGTCAACTTGTGTTCACCGTCCCGCAATGCTGAGTTGACACGCAACTGCATCTTCTAGGGCATCTTCTGCCTCTACCCTCTGCTCTCAAAGAGCCCTTTTGTTTCCTGCAAAGCGCTCTCCATTTACTGTGCGGTGGCTTGACTCCGCGGCCGACCCTCTTGGCTTTGTAGACACCCAACTCAGCCCAACCTATTCGGCCCTGCCCTGCCTGTGAAGCTATCTCAATTCCACCCACCGCCAGTTTTGAGCAACGCCTGATCGGTTTCGCAATGGATCCGTATCAGAACTTCGCTGACCCCGCCGGTCCTTCGAGAAGATACAATAGCAACCCCCCGCCGAACCAGCCCCCGATGTCGCGAGATTACAACGGCCATCCGCAAGCCCAACCTCCACCTCCAGCCGGATTCATGTACGAGCAGTACCAAGGTGGAATGGGCGCCCATTCTCAGTCTGTCGCGGCCTCCCCCACTGCAACTCCACAAATGAGGGACGGGAATGGGGATGTGGCTATGCAGGATGCCGGAGATTCGTATAGTGGAATGAAGTACCCCATGCGACCTCATCACCAGCAGCACCTTTCTGGCAGTCGAACATCTACTCAAGAGCCCTCGGCTGCAGCTCAGAGATATTCCCCCATGGAGACATTGTCCCCAAGTTCGCCTTATGGCGCGCAACAGCAAGGCCAATACGGGGCTCGACAATCACCCACCCGATCTGGAAACTACACATCTCCTAACTCATATTACAGTCGCCAGCAACCTCAGCAGCTAGCTCCGATTACGCCTTTTCCTTCCAACAACGAGAGCTATCCGTCCTCTGCGACAGCTCAACTGAACGCTGTGTTTGGAAATGACCCCAAATCACCCCGCCGGCCGGTTCCACAATCAGCAGGCCCTCCTGGAAGAGGACCCGTTCCCGAATTCAGGAAAGTTCGAGATGTGACTGATTTGCAGCCCAAAGTCAATGCTCAACCAGCTTTCCGAAGAGCTAACCCTGAGGGGGGTTTTATTAGTGTACGCAAGGTTCTGGATTTATTTTTGACTTGAATGAAGCTGATATTTGAATTATAGCCTTTACAAGCCCTCACAAGCCACTTACCATCCACCTACCGCATTTGCAACCCTAGCTTCAAATACGAATCATCTCGAAATCCCCGCCGAGTCCTAACGAAACCTAGCAAGGGTGTGAAGAATGACGGTGTCGATAATGAAGACAGTGATTATATACTTTTTGTGAATGACATTCTCGGGTCTGAAGAGACTGGTCATAAGTATGTCTCGAGGTTAACATGTCTTTTGACCTGGCAATATGGAGTACTGACCGATTTTTCAGGAACCGGTACCTTATCCTCGATGTCCTTGGACAGGGCACTTTTGGCCAAGTCGTAAAGTGCCAGAACTTGAAGACTCAGGAGGTCGTTGCTGTGAAAGTTGTCAAAAATAGGACTGCATACTTCAACCAAAGCATGATGGAGGTTTCGGTACTTGATTTGGTACGTGTATACGCCCGTCTTCGGTCTGGGTTGGCGCTAACTATCTTTACAGCTCAATACAAAGCTCGATAAGAACGATGACCACCATCTTCTTCGACTCAAGGACACTTTCATCCATCGTCAGCATCTTTGCTTGGTATTTGAGCTGCTGAGTGTCAATTTGTATGAGCTCATCAAGCAAAACCAGTTTCGTGGACTGAGCACCACGCTTGTGCGAGTGTTTGCGCAACAATTATTGAACGGATTGAGTTTGCTAAACAAAGCTCGACTGATCCATTGCGATTTGAAGCCGGAGAACATATTATTGAAGAATCTCGAGAGCCCAATCATCAAGATCATTGATTTTGGATCAGCCTGCGATGAACGGCAAACAGTCTACACCTATATCCAATCCAGATTTTACAGATCTCCTGAGGTCTTGCTTGGCCTACCATACTCGTCAGCTATCGACATGTGGTCATTAGGATGTATCGTCGTCGAGCTTTTCCTGGGTCTGCCCTTGTTCCCAGGTTCTTCGGAATACAATCAAGTTTCTCGCATAGTGGAGATGCTTGGGAACCCCCCCAATTGGATGCTTGAAATGGGCAAACAATCCGGGGAGTTCTTTGAGAAGAGGCACGATGTGGATGATTACGGAAGGCGGACCTATCACCTCAAGAGCATGGAGCAATACTCTCGAGAGCACGGCACGAAAGAGCAGCCTAGCAAGAAGTATTTTCAGGCAACACAATTGCCAGATATAATTCGATCATACGCGATGCCAAGGAAGAACATGAAGCAGAGCGAGATCGATCGAGGTGAGTTTTACTTAATCTTGTGATGAAGCATGATGACTAACAGCTTCCTAGAAATGAACAACAGAGTTGCATTTATCGATTTTGTACGCGGACTGCTTAACATCAACCCATTGGAGCGGTGGTCACCTCAACAAGCAAAATTGCATCCATTTATCACGCAACAGAAATACACTGGACCCTTCGTGCCTCCGATGAACCTCAAATCGAGTTCCGTGAACCGATCACCTGCTCCGGGAACGCAACAGCAGCAGCAAGCTGAAGCTTTGAGCAAGCAACGAGCAGCTGCAGCCGCACAGGCAGCCTCTGTGCAGGCCCACACCATTGCACAGCAGCAGCAATATGCGAGTGGCGTTCCGCATGGCCAGTACCCTCAGACAGCTCAGCCTCAGGCGCCCCCAGTGTACAACAATATGTACTCTCCAAGTGCCAACCATCAAGGGGCCCCTCCACCATATCCTTCCCAACAACCTGGACCATATAACCAAATGGGCATGATGCCACAACCACAACCACCTGCTCAGATGCAGCAGGCTCAATATGGATCCGGCCCTCAGCAGAGCCTGTACCAGCAGGCCAACATTAGATCGGGTCGCCAAAGAGCTACTACCATGGAAGTGCAACAGGGCGGTATACCTGTCACTATTCAAAGAGTCGCCAGCCACCTTGATCCCAGCCAACCCATCCGCCTCCAGCCCAGTCCCGCATACTACCCACCGCCTCCTGACGGACTTCCCGACGGAAACCCCGGTAGCGCACGGAGGCGAGGAAGTAGAGCCGCGCAAGGTGGTCAGGGCGGTCCGAGAAGCAACCGCGACTTCATCCGCAATCTGGAAGATCGCACTCTTGAGGAAGGTTTCATGGGACAGAGCCAATGGCATTGATACACAATGTCTCACCAACACTCAGCCTTTGACAGGCATTGCGATCGACGTCCTTTCTACATGCTCACCAGGCTACCTTCCTATCTATTTACATGTGAGCAAGTGCTATCAAATTGGTCGCGTGCACATGTATTGCTCGAGCTAGGATTTCTATCAGGAGGATCGTATGATGATACCCATGAATGGAAGGCGGGAACGGAAGCGAAAGGAAATTAACTGAACTGAACTTAGTGTAGAAAATGTAAAGGGCGAGTCAGTGGACGGCAAGAGTTTTCATACACGAGCGAGCACGTACGACGAACAAAGTGGTATGGAAGGAGAGGGCGATGGATGGACTTGCGATGCTGGGGGCTATTATTGGCCTATGTACTTTACAGAAAGACTTGCATGCATTCGAAGGAGTAATCGAGATGTGATATGCTGGCTCGTTGCCGATGTTCTTGGGTCTGCCGTTCCTGTTGCTTGTGCACTCGGTCAAGTGGAACACTTTCTTCCTCCTCGGGGTACCTACTTTTTGGGGGAGGAGATCTATCCGACATTGCTCGATGGAAATAGAATTTCATTACGCTCCATCCACGTCGCACTTTGCGATCAAGTGTGTTTTACTTTTCGGCTTCTGTGTTTTCCGGATCAAGCAAGGTTTTCCGTTTGCTCGTGCTCTTTGATGGTAGACATTCAACCTGCTCCTCCCCTAGAGGATGAATGATTACGGCAAGAGCGAGCTAAGCCATTTGCTGCTTTATTTATAGATTAGCGTAAAAGCTATTTTGACTAGCTAAGAGAGTTTCCGAAAGGCTAATTCTGGTCATGTTCTTTCAATGAATGCAGGAGATATGGTTTGTTGGTCATCAAGATAATATTCGAAAATCTAGCCTCGTATACATTTACAGTAATTCATTAATCAAGCGCTCGTGTTGGCTAGATCCATAACGCCTCCGTATGCAAGTGGGAATCGATTGCTTGTCTGTCTTCTGGCTTCCATGGCTGAACTTGGGCAATGGTCCAAAAGGCCCGTTAAAAGGCGCATGGAGGGTATACGCTTCGGTTATGGGGAAGGTAAAGTATCATTGCTCTTAGGCGCTTTTTCTCATCTGTATCCACGACCTCCGTTCCCACAACCCCCATCGCCACGGCCCCTGTCGCGGCTATTCGCACGTCCTCGTCCACGGTTTCCAATCAGGTTGTCGCTATATAGGCTTCCTCGAGCTTGATCATCGGTATCCATTCGATCGTCGAAGCCGTATGAACCGTCCATTATATCCTCCCGCCTGCTGCGCTCGCGATCTCTTGGGGTGTATCGTTCTGAGCTAGCATGGCCTGATCTTGTGTCGTCCGCGGTTGCGTCAGCTCGAGGGCCGAGTGGGGCGAGTTGCTTTGAGCTTTTGGGACCTGTTGGGGCGCCGCCAATTTTATGATAGACGTGGAGGATGTTTCCGTCGGCCTGGTAAAATACAAGTTAGCTTTGAAGACTCCAGAAACCCATTGGCATTACATTTTGGTTGTTGAGTGTGTCTACAACATTATCTGCACCCTCCTTGTTCTCAAACTCAACTTCCGCAATGACTTTCGGCCTCTCGGCGATCAGCTGGCAGCTCACTACGGCTCCCCCAACTGGTGTAATCGCACTTTCAACATCTGCCACCGTAGTACCAAGTGCAAGATTCTTGATCATGACTATATATGGTCCTGCTAATCCCCGAATAGACATTCCTCCGACTGGCTTCGAAGTCCCAATAATGTTGAATTGGCTATGGAGGGCAGGCGAAGAAGCTGAGCTGTTGATCGCGGAGTAGAGCTGGTCCTTGCGATTCGGGCGAGATGCTCTTGGACCACGAGGAGGACCAGAGGCTGAAGAGTTGTTTAGGGAGTGGAGGTCGTGGGTCCATTCTGCATCGACGTTCCCAGCAGGTCGAGGGTTTGCTCTCGGTTGTGGCTTGAAGGTATTCTTCGTAGAGGTGGAAACGGTTCGCTGAAGAGATGTCAGAGGCGCATCTTTTTAAATTCATGTACACTGCAAGCATTATACCTTTGCGACACCAATTCTGCTCGCAAGTGATGGCACCGCGTTTGGCTTGCGACTGCTTATACCAGCCCCTGGCGCACTGGCTCTGCGGCCCTTGCTAAAGACTTCCTTGGCTAGAGCTTCATTCTTACGGCGTTGGCGATCTGCGGGAGTATTAGCAGCTGATATAGCCTTTGCGCATTCTATTCGGCGTCATCTTACCGGCGTTGATGATATCGTTGAAATCACTGGCAACGGCGCTTTTTGCACCCTTTCCCGGAGCCATTGTTTGTTGCGCTGTGTTAGTTGTGAAAGGGTTAGTAGGTCGAGGAATGATAGCGGCTCCGTTCTGCCACAGGGGTGGGAGAACAGTAATTATGTGTCGGATCAACTGCAGATGCAATTATTGTGTTGCGATTGAATGCTCCGCGGGTTAAGAGGTCGGTTGAGTTGGTAGTGGACGCGATGTGGCATAAAGGTGAAGTTGACTTTCGCGCGCATTTTCGCGAAGCTGGGGCTGACAGGGGTGTTGCCGCCCCCTTTCTTTGGCGAGGAAGGCACGAGGAGGATAACGAGGGACGCGGTTGCCAACCATTTACTCCAAAACAAAACAATCTCGTCTCCTCTCTTCTTACTCTTCACATTCAATCAAAATATACTACGCATCATCCATCATCCATCCCAACTACATCAAGTCATAGGATGGTGCAATTTTGGGTATAGGTAAGTCTAAGTCTGAGTCTCTATATAACACTTGCCTCGTCTGCTTTCCTCAGACACCATGTATTGACAGAATTGGATGCATTGCTCCAACCCCCAATCTCGCTGAAAATTAAGCACGGATATCTACATCTGTAACAACGCAGGCTAACCTTCGCTACTGTGCAGAAATCCACGACCAGTATGGCTACCACCCATTCGACGAGCGTCGATTTCGGCGATTGTCCTCGTACTCCTACTTCTAGTCGTCACATCAGCATATACAGCACCCCAAAGACCCCAACCTCATGCCGTAAGCCTAGACCACAGCCTTCTCCCAGCAGGTCTAGCATCACCGGGTCTAGCATCACTGGGTCCACCTGGTCTCTGAAGCCCCTGAGTATGAGATCAATCAGGGGTTCAGCCAAGAAGCTCTTCCGCAGAGACGAGAAAGCGAGTCCAGTTTCGGACAGGAGAAAGCCTGTTCCAATATGGGGCTCTTTACCGTCTCGGACAGGCCCAGCCAGCACAGAAGGCCACGAGAACCCCAAAACAGGTGCACTAGACTGGCTCAAGACATCACCGCTGAGAAAAAAGCACGAATGTGGTGGTAAGATGCTGCTCCCACATTCAAAGTACAGTACTGACTGGGCAAGAAGATGCGTCTTCGTCTCAACTGAAGAGCCCAAGAAGCTTTGGCGAGCTCTTTGCTCGCCCTCTGACCCGCAAATCGTCTACATGGAGTTTTAAACTTTCGAGTCGAAGACTGTCACACGATAATGTCATCTTTAAGTTGGATTCGGAGACTTTTGATCGAGACGACAAGGGAATTGACAACTGGTTCATACCTTCCACTCATGTTGAGGATGCCAAAGATTTAGGGCCAGACGTCGCTTCCGAGTGTAAGATTTTTATTCAACGTCATTCCCGTCATTGGTTTCCTTCCCTAAATGTGATGTCTCGATACTAACATTCTTTAGCCATAAATCAAACCCCAAGCGGTGAAGCCCAATCCGCACATTGCGACACAGCCTCCGACACAGCCTCCGACACAGCTGCTGAGGTAGAGTGTAATCCCATTTTATTTGACAGTCAAACGAGGAGCTGTAAGTTTCGTATCGACATATCCTGTACCGAGAGCAGAGGATCCAGCGAAGAAGAAACTAAGGTTACAGCACAAGAAGAGAGGAATAATGCCAGAACGCCAGATTCCTATCTCAATTTGCTCATCGAGAGTAGCTATCTGCGTTCTTCCCCATTTCTATCTCCGAACAAGACAGATTGCTCTGTCCAAGAAACATATTTTCTTGAAGATAATGACTCAATGTTCGCAACCGATAGCATAACACATTTAGACCCGCATGAGCCAATTCGATATTGTGTTCATCCAGACCACCAACAGAATACTGGCTATCCATATGGTGCTCATACTATGGCTGTTTGCTATCCCAACAACATTGGCATCGACTCCGACTTCTCTCACAGGTCACGAATTAGAGAAAAGAAATACCAGATAGTCAAGAATTCATCTGCCGCTCCATTCATGCCCGAGCTCAAATTACAGAACATTCCAAACCAGGAGACAACCATGGTAATTCGTCAAGGACAGACCAAGAAGGAAACAACCCCAGAAGAGACCAGCCAGGTCGCTCGCACGATGACACGATATTATCAACCCACTTTTACATCAGATGAAAGTTTACAATACATGGTAGAAGAGTCTCACAGCCCTTCCGAGTGCCCAAGCTTCGTAACGAACATGGATGCTTATCGCGAGACCATTAAGCGTGGCAAAGAAATTATGAGAAATGTAAGATTTAGCCCCCATACTTTGCGAGGCGGAAAATGTCTTTCTAAATTTGAGACATCAAATAAGCCGCGTCTCATCTTTGAAAATCGAATTAAATGCTGATTTTTACTAGACAACGGGATTCATGAAATTGAAGCATATACCTTCAAGAGATAGCATTTCAAGACGTGCTTCCTTTGTTGATAAAATCCTTGAGGATTCAATCGAGCTCCGGTCATATTCGGAAACACTCCGATCTTCTCTGATGCAATCATGCCTGACGAACTCGGAACATAGCAGCAGGGTCTCCAGTGTTTGGGACGAGGAACAAACTTACCGGGAAAGATCAAGCTATGATGCTGAGACCGAGTTCCTGACGTTCCGGCAAGGACAGGATGAAGGATCAGATGACTTTTTTGAAGGATATGAAGATCAGTCTGGTTCTAATCAGAGCGAGTGTTCAATCTCGATATTCGGCCCAGGGCTCAGGTTTGCAGACTTTAGAGATCAATTAAGAACCGAAAGCGAAGCTTCCAGTGGACCAAAAGAGCTAAAAGGGTTCAACCTTCAATCACCTTTCTGCTCATCTTTTTCAACAGATTCAAAAGAGAATGTACCACTCGAGTCTGGAAAGCCACCCTATGATGGTTTCGGCCTCTTCACACCTGCACCGAAATTGTCAACCAAGCCAGAATATACCCCCCTCTTTGAGGCGCTTGAACCTTTCCAGAAGCCACAAGTCTCAGAGGGGCAGCCATCAACGATTACGCTGGATGATTTGAATATCAGAATGGTGGGAAAAGCAGCACGTAAGGCTAGGGAAGACGGCGGAAATTTTGAAAGTTTGGTCAATATCTTCCAAGCTCATAGTCTGATGCCTCAGAGATTAGGACCGGGACCCACCAAACAGCAGGTAAGTCGCCATCCTAGTCCGAACATTCTAGGAGTGGGTTCAAGCCAGTCGCTTCTCTTGTCTCAACTTCCGTGGAACATGGTTTCAGCTTCCGAAATTTACCATACCAGGCAATACTGACTCGACGTATAGAGTCCTATGAAGCATCAGCATCAACTTTTAAGATATTCGGATGGTGAAGCTGCTACTGGATTTGAGTCCTCGCCGAGCCCGGCCACGCTTGTCTTTACTAGCCTTAGCGATGTCGAGACCGACGTCAGTTCTACATTTGGAGAGGACTTGGAAAGAAATGCGAAGTGGACATAAGTTGGAGTGGTCGAATGTGAAAATGGATATTGCTTAAGAGTAAATTGCCATGGATCGGGACTGTAACAAAGACCTCCACTAGGTGAGCAATCAAAAGTCGGGAGGGCGGACGAAAGGGATAATAGGGATGCGGGGTGATTACAATACTAACATCTCTATCGTCATTGAGGTGTATCAGGCGTTGAGACGGAAGCTCTTGATGGACTGAACGCATCGGCCAACCGTTCATTTCACTGTCAACACCAAGGATGAGTTTATAATAAATAGAAGACAAAGCATGATTATTTTGTCTCACCTATATTTCCTAATCCGCCTGTGAAGAGACTTGATAATAATATACTAGGCAAAGAGGGGGTTTTGGTGGGGTATTATATAAAATTACAAGACATCGTGTGATGGTTCTTTAACTGATATGCCTGTGTTTGGAGGCAGATTTTCCATTGGGTTCCGCGAAGATACCTTTGGCGACAGCTTCGGCGGCCCGTCGATCTTCCTCGGCAATCTCCTCCAACTCCTGGCTATTAGTTGACTCCCCCTGCATCTCTTGCGCGGCTTCAGCAAGTTTCAGCTCTGCGTCATATTCTCGCTGCATCCTCTCCTTGAATCTCTGCCACTGTTCGGGTCTAAGTTGCGAGTTCACCATTCGTTTATTTAAGCGGTGTCTATACACGTATTGCAGAAGGTGGTCTGGCAGTTCCTCGATGTCGCCTTTCTTGATGTAGCTCCGCTGCTCTTGCTCCTTTTGCCGCGTTACGAAAGCAGAAAGCTTGGAGCGCTGAGACTGCAGGTCAGGGAACCGTGAGCGCTCGACGAGCTCTTTGTCTATGATGATGCCGTAGGCGGCAATCATGCGGCGGGTCAGCAGGAGCACGGATTCGCGATACTCGGCCCGTTCGGCGGGGTTCTGATCTCTTTCCGGTTCGCCGAATAGGTAGAAGGATTTCACGTTGATGAAAGAGGGGCTGAGGCGTTCGAGGGCACGCATGATTTTCTTTCCTTGTTCGACGCGGGAGAGCGTGAGTCCGTCTGAGGAGGTGGCTGCGGAAGTGGCGATATCGAGGTAGGTTGCTAGCACGCGGATATCGGGGACTTGGAGAGCGTTGGTCATTATGTCGAGTATCTTACCGGCGTTGGCGAAGGCGTTGGGGTTCCTCTTGTCGCGTTCGCAAGAAGCCATGGCTATGCGGAAGGTTGAGGAACGCATGTCGCCGTAAGGCATTGATTGAAGGAGCTCTATGGTTTGAGAACTTGCCCTGAACACGCGTAGGACGCGGAGGTAGGCGTGGTAGTTTTCGACGTCAGGTTTAACTTTTTTGTTGTAGACGAAAATTTGCCAGTATTTATCGGCAGCTTCTTTGGCTTTGATCAAGGACAGTGCCGATAGCACGAGTGATAATGTGTTCCGTCCTGGCTTTGCGTACACTCCTGCCGATTGCCCCGGTGGAGATGATTTGGGAGGGGTGACAGCCATGAATGCGTCTGATGATGACGCAGCAGAGTCTTCATCCGGGTTTGCAGATGTTCCTCTTGGCCCAGCTCTTGCATTTTCGGACTCTTGAGTCATCTGACTCGCAGATTCCATTCGCTGTGAAGTGTTTGATTGGGGGACTTGGCGGGGAATATTCATTGTCTGCTCAATCAATGAGAGTATGTCATCCCTATCCTGATTCTGGCCGAGAAGCATCAAACGGCCCATGGCACAGACAAGTTCCTCGTCAATCCAGAACCCCCCCGAGCGCCAACGTTGGATAATATCTTTCCAGAGATGCCTCGCGTTGAGAATTGCCCCCTCGGTATTCTGTCTCTTTTGCATAGGGGTCAAATCCTTTCTGGTATCATCAGCTGCATCGATTCGCAGAGCGTTGATGATTGTGGTGAACGTTAAATTATTTGGCGACGCTGGTCCTTTGTCTGGCATCTGGGCCACAATTCCAAACATGGCGTCCATATTCCGAGCACGAGCACACATCTTTATGATGGCGTTGAGATGTATTGTGTTTGGTTTGACGGGTGATTTATCGGTCTGCATGTTCTGAAATATCGCCAATACTTTACCCAGAGCAGCTTGTACGTCTCTGTGCTCGGTGCAGCCCCTAATGATGATAGTGAAAGTATGCGAATCAGGAATTTGTCCACGTTTCTTCATCTAGACGGGAATTAGAGCAACTCGAGTAGTGAAATGGTTCAATCAACGAACCTCATTATATGTTTTCAGAGCAGCGTTCATCCTGCCTTTGGTCATCTCCCAATCGATCAAATGATTCCAACTGACGGTACATTGGATCTGTTTACTGGCAGCTCGAACGACCGCTGCAGCAGTATCGAAGTCATCGCCCCTCAACGCTTTCCGCACAAACTCGGCAAGTTTCAGGGGATCATTTCCATAAGCCGGGTGCTTCTCCAAGACATTGCCCATAGTATTTGCCAGCTTACGATCTCTGCGCCGAAGCTGAACGCCACCCGTATACTCAATTGCTGGTCTCCTTCCATAATCATCAGCATGTCCGCCGTAATGGTTCTTCTGGGTCTTCTCGGTCAACCAAGGGGTATGCTTTCTTCGGTCAGAGGAAATATCGGAAGGCCTCCTGGACCGGCGGTTCACCACGTTTCTGGACTGTGAATAACATTGTGTAAGGGGTACTTTGGTGGGAGTGGAAGCGATGAGCGGGCGAGGAGAAGTCGAAATGATAGATGTCCCAACAAGCGCTTGCAAGCAGCGCTCCCTGCATGCACCGCAAGCTAACATGACAGGTTTCTGGTAGAAAAATGGCTGGTGTTTCTGCCCATAGAGATAGAAGTAGATGACGCTGAAAGCTTGAAACTTTTTTTGAGATTGAAAGTGAAGTCAAGCCGAAACAGTACAAGCGTCTGAACAGGCATTATTACGGAGGTATAGGGAGCCTAGCCCGAAGACAGGGGTACGCGAATCGCGTTGCTTTTCTCGCGTCGGTCCGTTCATCTCGCGTTTGGAGTACTTTTGAACTTCCCAACCGCCTGACTTGTATTTACTTACTACATCTACCTCCTCGAACCATCATACTTCGGATTCTTCTAGTTCAATGTCAATTTGAACATTGATTCCGCTACTTCTATACTACTCCTATTGCCCTTACACAATGTCGAAAGCCGCTGCAGCACGAAATAAGTTCGCGGAGCTACGCGCTCTTCGCGAGTCGGGGAAGAAGCGTCTCGACAGCTACCAGGTCCACCAAGAAGAAGATTTGTATGAGGAAGTGGATGAAGATGGATATAAGAAAGTTGTACGAGAGCGTCTGAATCAAGACGACTTTGTTATAGATGATAATGGCGAGGGCTACGCTGATGACGGACGCGAGGAGTGGGATTCAAAGCGACCTGGGTACGACACCGAAAGCGAAGAAGAGCTACCTGTTATGGGCAAGTCTGGTAAAGCGGGTATGTAGCACACCTTCAAGACTTTGCCCTCAATTATTCTGACCGCTTCAGCCAAACGGAAACGCGAAGAAGAAAAGACAAAAAAGGAAAATATGGACAAGGGGATTAGCAACTACTTCACCAAAGGTCATGTTGCTCCTCAGCCAAAAGCAAAGGTATATCACTCAATTTAGGTTCACTATTTAAGTTACTGAGACTTCATTTAGCCCGTCAAAACGAAAGAGGATGACGACTTTTTGGCTGGTCTATTGGGAGAAGTCGATAACAATGTACCTCGACCAGTTCACCAATCTTCGAGATCGAGTCGACAACAAGACAAGCGTAAACCTCGAGCACTGTCGCCCTCTGTTGAAGATCGTGTCCACCATGTGTCCAAAAGGACAAAGGTGACGGATAGCAGGGCGCCAGCAACGCCACCCGTTGACCAAGACTATGGTGATGATGACTTTATGATGAATATGGACGATGACTTACCCATGAATAACCCTCAGCCATCGTCACCAATTGCGAAAGCCGTGGAGCGGAAATCCCATGCCAACGTCAAAGTGGAGGATGACGAAGAGGAGGATATGATGGAGGTCGCTCAAGCTGATGGTATTGTGACTACGAGTGTTAATATGTCTGGGACGAGGCCTGTGCCAAAGATTAAGAAGAAGGAGACATACCCGTCTCCCGCCAGCTCTTCTCCCGCCAGACCTTCAGCTCAACACGTTGATGCATCGGCTTGGAATGATGTTACAGAGAAGCTGAATGTTGTGAACAGCAGTCAGGCCAGCGAGACGACTTCCTTCGGAAAACTTGATCACAACGATGCCATCGAAGAAGATGGCAGTCTTCGGATGTTCTGGACGGATTACATCGAAATCAACGGAAGCTTATGCCTCTTTGGAAAGGTCCATAACAAGAAGACTGGAACCTATGTCAGTTGCTTTGTGAAAGTGGATAACATTTTAAGAAAGCTCCTTTTCCTCCCCCGACAATATCGCCAACGGCATGGACGAGACACTAGTGAGGAAATTGATATGAAGGATGTGTATGAAGAAGTCGACGAATTGATGGGGAAAATGAAGGTTGGAATGCACAAAATCAAACCTTGCACAAGGAAATATGCATTTGAACTTCCCGATATTCCAAAGGAGGGCGAGTACCTGAAGCTCCTTTACCCTTATTCCAGTAAGTTTCCTGGTATTTATATTTTTCACCTTTTTAACTGTCTTAGAACCCCAACTTCAGCCCGACAATCATACTGGATCAACCTTCTCTCATGTTTTCGGTACAAACACACCACTTTTCGAACAATTTGTCCTGTGGAAGAATATCATGGGACCATGTTGGCTCCGAATCGAGAATGCTGAATTTGGAGTGCTGAACAACGCATCTCACTGCAAGTTGGAGGTCCAAGTCTCGAAACCCAACCTTGTTACTCCCATGAGTGAGTCCGAGAGCGGCGAGGCTCCACCATTGACTATGATGAGTATCGCTTTGAGAACCGTTCTCAACGTGAAGGACAACAAACAGGAGATTCTCGGCATAAGCGCCCGAATTTACCCTGATATCTCCCTGACTGACACAACGCCTCCCGAAAAGCTTCCAAGCCGCACTTTCACCGTCATACGTCCTGTCAACGCGAGCTTCCCCATTGGTTTTGATGCGGAGGTGAAAAAACGAGCAAAGGGCCTAGTCAGACTCGTGAAGAATGAACAAGACATTCTGAGTATGTTTCTATCACAGCTGAATATGGTCGATCCCGACGTACTCGTTGGCCATCAGCTTGAAGGTGTCGATTTTAGCATTTTGTTGAGCAGACTCCAAGCCAAAAAGACGCCACAGTGGTCTCGCATAGGCCGAATGAGACGTACTCAGTGGCCAAGTTCTATGGGGAAGATGGGGGGCAATTTCTTCGCTGAGCGGTCTCTACTCTCAGGACGACTTTTGTGCGACCTAGCAAACGATATGGGAAAGTCTGCCATGACGAAATGCACGTCTTGGAGCCTCACAGAGATGTGTAGTATCTATCTTCCTGGTACAAGTCGGCGGGAGCTCGATAACGAAACGGCACTCAAGACCTGGGCCTCTACAAAGGAGGGATTGATGGACTACGTCAGTCATTGTGAAGTTGATACTTTCTATATTGCCGCCCTAGCGCTGAAAGTCCAAATGCTCCCTCTGACAAAAGTCCTCACTAATCTGGCTGGTAATTCTTGGGCAAGGACTCTCACTGGTACCCGAGCAGAGCGAAATGAGTACATTCTGCTTCACGAGTTTCACGCTAAGAAATACATCTGTCCCGACAAGGCTGTCTGGAAGGGCAAGCAGCAAGTTGAGGAAGAGAAGTTGGATGAGGAGACTGGAGATGTCAAAAAGAAAGACAAGTACAAGGGTGGTCTTGTTTTTGAGCCGGAAAAGGGGCTCTACGACAAATTCGTGTTAGTAATGGACTTCAATTCGCTATACCCGAGCATCATTCAGGAGTTCAATATCTGCTTTACCACAGTTGATAGAACAAAATTAGTAAGTCTGCCGCGCCTCTCAAATATGAGACAGGGACTAATTTATCATAGTCCGACGATGAGGAGCAGGTACCCGAAGTCCCCTCAGATCAAGATCTCGGTGTCTTACCCAGGCTTATTGCTACCTTGGTTAGCCGTAGAAGAGAGGTCAAGAGTCTAATGAAGGCCAAAAATGCCACCACGGAGGAACTGGCAACTTGGGATATCAAGCAACTCGCTCTTAAGCTGACTGCCAACTCCATGTACGGTTGCCTTGGGTACACGAAATCCAGATTCTACGCCAGGCCACTTGCTGTCCTCACCACATACAAAGGTCGTGAGATTCTGCGAAGTACCAAAGATCTGGCCGAAAGCAATTCTCTCCAAGTTATTTATGGTGATACCGATTCCGTCATGATCAATGCCAACGTAGACAATGTTGAGGATGCGATGAAAGTCGGGCACGAATTCAAAAAGGCTGTCAATGACCGGTACAAGCTTCTGGAAATCGATATCGATAATGTATTCAGGCGCATTCTACTACAGGCGAAGAAAAAGTATGCTGCAATCAACCTGGTCCAGATCGATGGCAAATACGTGGACAAGATGGAAGTTAAGGGTCTTGACATGAAGCGTCGAGAATACTGCAACCTGTCCAAGGAGGTTTCCTCGAAGTTATTGAACGAAATCCTCTCTGGTGATGAATCGGATGTTGTGATTACCCGGATCCACGAGTATCTCCGGGAAATATCGACTCAGATGCGCGAGAACGCTGTACCGACCCACAAATACACGATCTACACAAAGCTTGGAAAGGCACCCAAAGATTATCCCAACGCAGATGGGATGCCGCAGGTTCAGGTTGCTTTGCGTGAAATTTCAAGAGGCAAAAATGTGCGAAAAGACGATGTCATTGCGTATATCGTTACTGGGGACGGCAAGAGTACGTCTGACAATGCCGCAAAGCGTTCATACACGCCTCAAGATGTTGCTAAAGCAGATTCGGGTTTGAAGCCGGATGTTGAATGGTACTTGTACAAACAGATCTTCCCCCCAGTTGAACGTCTTTGCGCAAATATTTCCGGTACTGATACCGTGCGTCTCGCGGATTGCCTTGGGCTTGATGCCCGGAAGTACGCCATCACTAACACCAACTCGAATGGCGGCAACGAGACTGAGATCCATCCTCTGGAAAGTCAGATTGAAGATGTGGTCCGCTTCAAGGACGCTTCTCGCCTGACCCTTCACTGCAGAAAATGCAAAGGAGCTTTTGGCTTCGAGGGGCTTGTTGAAAGTATGGAAATATGCTCTCCATCTGGGCTCACCTGCCGTTGCGGACATACCTTGTCAAACATATCAGTTTTGGCGCAGCTTGAGCATGAAATCCGCCAGCAGACGAGCAAGTACTACGAAGGCTGGATGGTCTGTGATGATCAGGCTTGCGGTAATCGGACAAGACAGATGAGCGTCTATGGTCACCGATGCTTGGGCCCTAAGGGACTTGGTCATGGATGTTTGGGGAGGATGCGGTACGAGTATACGGAAAAGATGATTTACAATCAGCTTCTGTACTTTGCATCTCTATTCGATGTAGATAAGGCTAAGATTGCTGCTAAGGGTACAGATAAAGGTAAGCACATCCTTCGCTTCTGCAAGGACCAAAGCTAACTAAAGCATAGAAAAAGTCATGGCTCTTGCTGAGCATAATCGTGTAAAGTTCAACACTCTGAAGAGTGTTGTGGAAAAGTATCTTGATAAGTGTGGCAGACAATGGGTTGCGATGGACAGTTTGTTTGGGAGATTGGGATTCACAGCAGTTTAAGTAATGATATTGAGCGGAGTTTGGTCAATGGCTTCTGGCGTATATAGGATATCATCATGAATGGAACGAGCTTCGATAATTCATCATTCTGTCTCGAGTGAGATGTCGTTGGAAAACTTACCCGAACAGGTTAGCGTGATGAAATTTGCGGCCATTCACCGCACACGTGAAGACGATTTCTGAAAGTGTATGCTATCCAAAACTCTTTAAGTCGACGAATCCTTTTGCGAGTGCTGAATATTTATTTTGCCATTTGAAATACCGCAAAGATGGTGAACATCACGGAGAAGATCAAGGAGTAAGTCATGATAAAATTCGGGCGCTGGAATATGAATATGATGAGCTCATGCGATAAACAGGATCGAGGATGAGATGCGGAGGACGCAGAGTGAGTGCTACCCCCTCACCAGAATATCACATCAAAAAAGCTCGTTATTAAAATAACATTTACTAACTCGCTCTTAGAGAACAAGGCAACCGGTACGCACAGAGTCTTCAATCATAGACCACGTGACCAGGACTAATATCATATCAACCAGAATACCATCTCGGTCTCTTGAAAGGGTTCGTTCATTCGTCACTTCCGCTCTTCCCATCAGATTCCTCATTAACAACCCACCCAGTAAACTCGCCCGCTACCGCGCCCAACTCCTCGAACCCGGCCCCGGAGCCGGCGGTGGCGGCGGCGCTGGCTTCGACGTCTCGAAATCAGGCGACGCACGCATTGCGCTCGTCGGCTTCCCGTCCGTAGGAAAATCGACCTTCCTATCGAAAATCACCAAGACGAAATCAGAAGTGGCGGCGTACTCCTTCACGACGCTTACGGCGATTCCCGGGGTGCTTGAGTATGGCGGTGCGGAGATCCAGATCTTGGATTTGCCGGGGATTATCGAGGGCGCTGCGGAGGGGAAGGGGAGGGGGAGGCAGGTTATCAGTGCGGCGAAGACGAGTGATTTGATCTTGATGATCTTGGATGCGTCGAAGAAGGCGGAGCAGAGGGCGTTGTTGGAGGCTGAGTTGGAGGCTGTGGGGATTAGGTTGAATAGGGAACCGCCGTACGTATTTATTCCCGTTGGCTGTATTCCCTGCGTGTTTGCAGGTTTTAGTGAGCTTGAAGGAAATGGAAATGCTGATGAGGATGAGAATAGGAATATCTACCTGAAGCCCAAAACAGCCGGCGGCATGAAAATCACCTTCCAGACACCACCCAAGAACATCGACCAGAAAATGGTGTACAACATCTTGCGCGACTACAAGATCTTGAACTGCGAGGTTCTGGTGCGGGATGAGAATGTGACCGTTGATGACTTTATCGATGTCATCATGAAAGATCACAGGAAGTACATAAAGTGCTTGTACGTCTACAACAAGATCGACTCTGTATCCCTCGACTTTCTAGACAAGTTGGCGCGGGAAGATCATACGGTTGTCATGAGCTGTGAACTGGATCTAGGTATTCAGGACGTAGTGGAGAGATGTTGGAGAGAGTTGAGACTGATTAGGATTTATACGAAGCGGAAAGGAGTGGATCCAGATTTCAGCGAGGCGCTGATTGTAAGGAATAAGAGCTCGATTGAGGATGTTTGTGATCAGATTCATAGGAGTTTGAAGGATACGTTTAAGTATGCGTTAGTTTGGGGGGCGAGTGCTAGACATGTGCCCCAGAGGGTGGGTTTGGGACATGTGGTGGCGGATGAGGATGTCGTATCAATAGTGAGTAATTGGAGAGCTTAGAAGAGGTATTCGAGCGAATTGAAGCATCACATTCACAGACCCAATGAAGCCGAAAAGCCGTAGAAAGTTCTTGTCATTTGTCTATCAACGCCCTTTGCGAGACAGTGATCTTGATGATAATCAACGCATGTATACCAAAAACGCCATTATCCTCCATGTCATACAACCAAAGAGTCGCCAGCGTTCATGTCCAAGCGCTCCATCATAGCCAAATACCCACCGAACCAACGAGGATCAGAGTGTAAAAGCCTCCGTCCCATATCTCCTAAGTATACCTCTTGGACTGAAATCGTAATGGCGAATTGTGCAATGTGTTTTGTTGGTGCAAAACAAAGGGAAAGGTGTTGTGAAGAAATAATCGAACCGTCCGCTGCACCGCCGTAATTATCGTACACTCCTCCAGCTAACGGTCGTCTATTGTTGGCCATCTTTCTGTTCGCTGTTTGTGCGTGGGATCTGGGAGCCGAACATGTTTCCGCCGGCTCCTAGGTTCTTGGCTGAAGTCTTTGCGAAGAGGGATTTGGGCTTGGCTCTGATTGTTTTGTTAGATGTGTAATTGAGGCAACGGCTAATAGCTTCTCTACTTACTTTCCAACTTGTTTACTCCGGTAGGCGCTCAGCTTTGCCGTGCAAGGGCTCATGATGTTGTCGGAAGGTGAGATGTATGTTTGCTTTCCTCTATGGTGGATCGATTAGCAATTGGACCTGGATTCGAGAGAGGGCGCCGTGGCGGGCGCAGAAACAGTAATACATACTGTCCTTCTTCAAGCTTGCTTTGCAGGACCTGGCGATGGTATTCCATGCTCTTAACATCCTTCACAGCTCCGTCTGCAGGTGCACCAGTGGTGGCAGAGGCATTGATGTCCTTATCGGCGAGAACGTTGGAAGACATATCGAGATTGCTTTGGATTTTGTGGTAGGTTGAGTGTAGGTGATTTGTATTGAGAGAGGATTGAAGTTGAGGTTCAATTGATGGTGTTTGGGGAAGGAAGTTATGGAAGACGAGGTTCAGTACTTGTATGGTTTTAGTAAAAAGATGATGTAGGTCGGTCCATGTAAATAAAGCCGTGGTTGCTAGGCGACGACGATGACCAAAACAGGCGACCATCCAAGTGACTCACGAACAGCACATTTCTGTCACAGCATTCACACTGCAATATGAAACAAATGAATAAGGAGATCTAAATGCCAACCATTTTAGATAACTACAATTTCTGAAACCAAGTCTACAATTTTGACCGCGTGTTCTTGATCTGGTCTCCAATCTGCGATGGCTGGATCTTGTACTGCGCAAACAGCTGCTTAGTGATCTCTGCCTGCTTCGCGATGTTAGCAGCAGCTGCCGCACCCTTTTTCCTGTTCTCATTGCGTCCCATCTGTTGAAGATGAACCTCATCTGGACCATCAACAATCCTCAATGTTCGTGAATTGGCCCACATGTTAGCCAGGGGTGTGTCTTGGGAAACACCAGCTCCTCCGAACGCTTGGACTGCTTTGTCAATGACTTCAAGGGTGACTCGGGGAACGAAGACCTTAGCCTCGGCAATCTCAGTCAATGCCCCCTTTGTTCCCAGCTCATCGATAGTGATGGCCGCATTGCAGACGATTAGACGAGCAGCATCGATTTCAACGCGTGCCTTGGCTACCCACTCGAGTATCACACCGTGTTCTCTCAAATTCTTGCCAAATGGCGTCTTTTTTGGGTCGTTGATTCTCATTAGCATCCACTCGAGAGCTTTCTCGGCCTATAATGATTAGCGTAACCTCAATATAATACGCAACTTTACTTACAGCCCCAATAGCACGCATAGCATGGTGAATACGGCCGGGTCCCAGACGACCTTGAATAATCTCGAAACCACGACCAGGGCCAAGAACCATGTTGCTCGCTGGTACACGAACGTTTTTAAATGTGATATGGCCGTGGCCGTGGGGCGCATCATCGAAGCCGTAGACAGACAGCATTCGGTTGATAGTAATACCAGGCGTGTCAGCAGGAACTAATATGACTGATTGTTGCTTGTATGAATCCTTGTTGGTGGAATCGCTCTTGCCCATCACAATATAAATCTTGCATCTTGGGTCACCAGCACCACTAGACCACCATTTCTATAGTATATCAGCGCCATTCACACCCCCAGTTGCTTAAAGAACTTACTGAGCCGTTCAGAACCCACTCATTGCCCTCTTGCTTCATGCTCAAACTGATATTCTTGGCATCTGAAGAGGCAACATCCGGCTCCGTCATCAAGAACGCTGAACGGATTTCTCCATTCATCAACGGTGTCAACCATTGCTTCTTCTGTGCCTCATTTCCATATTTCGCCAGCACTTCCATGTTTCCAGTGTCCGGTGCAGCACAGTTGACTGCCTCTGATGCACATATTGACTTCCCAAGGTATTCCGCCATCAATCCGTATTCGAGGTTCGTGTAACCGGGCGACTCCTTGTAGTGGCCCTTGGCCAAGAACATGTTCCATAATCCCAACTTCTTTGCCTCTGCCTTCAGTTCTTCGATAATAGGAGGGTGGCTTTCCCATCTAGCGTGGCCTGTACCGATTTGTGCATTAAGTACGGGGTCGGCTCTGTAGATTATTAGCTTAGGTGGCAATGCTTGGATAGGTAGCTTGGGAAACTTACGGAATACATCTTTCATTGACAAACTTCTTTACCAGATCAAGGGTCTTCTTTGCCTTGTCGCTAACTCTATTGGCGGCCTACGAGTTTGGTTAGTAAATGTGGAGGCGGGGCAAGAGTCGAGGAAGAAGGGAAGGATCTCTCACGATGAGGGGGATCGAGTCAGACATGACTGCTAGTATGTGAGCGGTTCAAATAGAGAGTTTGATTCTCGGTTCTACTGTAGAGGAGCAAAGCAGGAATACAATCGAATAATTGAGTAGTTTGAAGGAAAGAAGGCCTGGAAGGTGCCTGTATATTAGTTTAGCTTCCCCGTACATTACAGGGATAGTTCTCCGCAAGGTGCCACCCGCGGCTGTCATGGCCACGAGCCATGGATCGTCGACCTCGGTTCTTTTTCGAGACACTTCATTAGTCGCAACCACCAAGACAACATAAATCATACGAGATCTCGCCCCATTCACAACCCCTTACCTTCAGATTCATTCTTAAGGCAATCATCGAGTATTGCTCTGCACCTCTGGCCCCTCAGTTGCCGAGGCCTGCGTGTTACACCTTGGGCTCTCGAGAGATACTCTGCCAAATGAAGTCACGTGTGTGCACCAAAACTCACCTGTGCACGCTAATTCATTCGGCAGAGTACGGAGTCTCGGAACGGCTCGGGGGCTTCGGGCTCGGGTCGGGCTACAGAAGCTTCCAACCAAGCCCAAGCTTCAAGGCTTGACTGACTGGCCAGACAATCAAGGGCCTACAGAATCTCTTTTGGGATTGACAAGATCAGTATCTATCAAGATCATTTTTTGAATCTCCAGCGGACAAGATCCTCACAGCTTGAAAGTATGAATTGTACCATTTTTCGCGAAAAGCGTGGCACAAGAGTGCTCTGCGCGTCCTCTCCAAAAGTGCCCCTTAATGCTACGGGATGGGAAATAGTGAGCGTACTTGATTATGACTGGGAAATTTTCTGCTATGCTTTCAAAGGTCTTCACATTAGTTGCTTCACATACTTTACCAGTACCTTCCTGCTCTTGGCTTCTCCTGAATTTCACCATCTGATGGCTGTGGTAATTCAACTGCCGCACTCAAAAAGCAATTTTCTTTTCGTTCAAGCGAATTGGTCATTATTGTTTGTTAGAGGAACATGGGTATTGAGATGTAATGTAATTTCATTTATGCCGACGCCGTGACAAGTCGTCGAGATTGTCTTTCCCAAATCCAAATGCACCTGTTCACAAACTCCCAGTTACGCCACTACCAAGCCATCGTCGAGATCGCCTGCCCAAAATACATATGCACCGTTCAGCAGCTCCACTTAGCCAACTATGAAGCTGCATATCTTTTCACGAAGCAACATCAACGTCACACTGAAAAGTGCACTGATACCTCGTCGCGCCTCCAATCTTCCAGTCCTCTCCAACCGGAGACACCAAGCAGGACGATGAATCAAATGTATCAGATCCCCATGAAAAGCTTAACTCCCCTGGATCTTCATGACCGCCGGGAGCATCGTTCGTAACGGGGTTGGCAGTATTGGTGATGTATAAGACGTTGGAACCGACTTGCCATGGGACCAACTGGCTACCTTGGGCGGACGATTCGTCTTCTTCGGACTCTTGATTCCAGAAGTTGGTTTGGTATGGATAGTCCCATGTCCAATCCGAGGTTGGAGCTGCGGAATAGTAGGCGACGTCGAACGAGTTGTCGTCCCAGCGTTGGACGAAGACCGAGCAGGCATGCAGGGACGAGGTGACTCGGGTGGTCAGGGACGTGGTTGGAAGAGCGAAGGTGGGGTGGGTTTGGAAGAGGGTGAAAATAGTGAAGATGGTGAGCACCATTGGAGGTGTCAGAGTGAGGTACATGTTGTGTGAGGTAGCTCAGGAGTAAGTAGAGTGCAGGTCAATATGAGGTTTGAGGTGCAAGTGAGTAGCTCCTGAGGATCAAGTGAGAAAGTCTATTTGCAAGATGAGGATATACCGCTCCTCTTATACACCTTCCAGCTTCCAACCCCACAACTCCCGAGATCGGTCAGCTCACTAAACCGCCCCAGTACATATGATTGTTTGTGAATCTCACAGTAAGCAATAAGAGGCACAGGTTCAGCTTTTAGTCTATATCTGAAAATCACACGCGGCCCAATGGGTACTTAAATGGTCACAGTGCATGTGATGTGAATGATAAGAGGCACAGAGCAATCAGCCACATATGCTTACTTGCAGTAACAAAATCCCGTATATCTGGAGCCGATTCCATGCATCTGCGCAGAGTATATGCCTTAGACGTTGTGTTCAAAATGATGGAAGTCCCGGGCAGTAGCCAATGAAATGCCCGTTCACCGCCAAGCAAACGCCCGCAAATGGGAGTCGAATAGGGTGACCAACGGCAATTGAACGACGATCAAACATCACATCTGTACCTGGCATTGCGGGGTCACATATCACTCGATTCAGCCAATTAAAAAACTTCTCTTTAGGAAGCAGATCAATTGGTGTGCAGTCCCTTAAATGCAGCATTGCGCACAGCCAGAACGCCTCTCACGCCCAGTCGTTTGGTGCAAATCTATCACAAAAGACAACATCCCATAGCGTAACCGCCAACCCAATGTGCGGCTATGCCAACCAACATGCAAATTGAAAGCAACAACTTTTTTAATCGGCAAAATAATCCGCTCTTCGCTTCCCGTTCCCTTTTGTTCCTGCCTTGAAATGCTTCTTACTCGTCAATAATTTGACATCATTAGGATCCAAGTCCTTCTCCAGCGCTAACATGGTCTTCTGCTTTCGGCCTGAGAGCTGCTTTCCACTCGCTGTGCCCTGCTCTGTGTACTTGTGACTGAAAGGCATTTTCAAGTGACCCGCGTTACCTTGTCCTGCTCCGAAGAACACACCATCAAGCTTCTTCGACTTGCTACCTTCTTGTTGTGGGATGACCTCCGAGTCGACAAGTGAATGGCCATCTAACGTCGAATCCATAGCTGCCAGTGCCAGACGTCTCTTCTCTGGGAGATGACCCTCGTCGTATAGCTCACGGTTGAACTCGAGAGGATCGATATTCCCAGGAGGCGGTGCGCAGAACAGAAGTTTGCCCTTGACGTAATCCTTCAAGATGTATCTTGCTGCTCGGGACTCATCTGGTTGTCCTTGACCGGTTCTTGTGAAACCACGGGCCTTTGCATAAGCCAATAAGATTTCCTCTGCGGCTGGAACACCAGTTCCGCCTTCTTCGAGAGGTCTGGTAGTAATCTTCATTCCATACACAGCTTCCAAGAACGGCTGCGGGATTCGCTTTGCTACAAGTCCTGCCGGACCTGTGAATTCTCGAAGTTGGTCAATTGGGAGGATACCATTGCAGACGAGTTCTGCTTTTGTGGTTGCAAAGTTTGGGAATACAAGACCAGGGCAATCACACAACAAGACTTTCTCACTGAGATGAATGGTCTGGAAATGCTTCGTCTTTCCTGGGGTTGAAGACACGGATACCTTCTTGGAACCGATCAGTGCGTTGATGGTAGAAGATTTTCCGACGTTGGGGTATCCGACTAAACCGATTTGTGTTTTTCTGGGGGCCTCTGAATCGGCGTCTACATCAATTAGCAGTGCTCAAAATGTGAATGAACATCAAGAATATCTCACCTTCATTTTCCGGGGCGTGCAACAGGAATAGAGCTTCCAGTTCATGGACTGTCAATATTCGAGTGCTTTCATCTTCTCCATCAACTTCGTCTTCCTCGTCCTCATCACTTTCTAGATCCAGCTTCTGAGCCTTCTCCGCAAGCTTTGATGCTAAACCAACGGGCTCTCCGGCGGCGTCGTCTTCCTCCTCGGAATCATCTTCACGAGCTTCATTCATCTCTTTCGCAAGACTTGCCGAGAAGAACTTGTAAGATATGCCTACTTCCACAAAATGATCTGCCCAGGCTTTGCGTTGATCCAGGGTCAACATATCTGCCTTATTTACCAACAGTAAATTCTCCTTCCGGGGATCAACGTCCTTCACATATCTCTCCAAATCGTCTGATCGGAACAACAAGGGATTCCGCGCATCCACAATTTGGACGACAAGGTCGGATCTCTCGATAACTCTCCATAATTGTCTCCAGACTTCGAGATTCCGTTCGAAGGGGGTCATAAGTAAATCGTTATTCTCCTGTAGCTCGGCCAAACCTCTTCGCCACTCCAGTAGACTGTCTCTTTCCATCCGGTCAAGTTGCTCGGGGGTCGTCGTCGAATCCCATTTTGGTCTTCTTGGAACTGTTAATTTGTCTTTGTGTGCTTTCTGCTTTCCAACTGCTGCTCGTTCCTCTGCCGCAGACAAGAGGTATGGGTTCTTCTGGTCCGTATGAATGATCTTGACATTGTTCATCTTCTCTGCTGTGAAATCGGTGCCTGCCAGTTCGGCCGTCGACAAGAATTCGTCGAGTGCTGCTTGTTCGGTAACCGACTTCATCTTGACCCAACTGGCCTCTTTCCGCTCGCTTGTGACATACTGTGACTTGTGAGAATTTATCGGAAAATTATCAGAGGGTACATACCGATTCTCCTGTAGTATGGTTGATTCTGTGAATTCCTGCAGTTGTGACCTTCTTGCGATCTGCGCCTTTGCCTTTCCCAAACCGATCGTTCATCAGACTGCGGATTGTTAGTACAGCGATGAACACATATAATGATTGAACTCGTACCTGTTTCCCAGCCCAACGGCATTCTTCGACTTTGCGAGAACCATCTTGCAGTAGGCCTTGCTGCTTTCTAAGTTTCGAGACCAAGGTGGCGAAGGTGTTCCTGAACTGGTCGATAAATTGTTCCACCGACACTAAATCTGTTGAAATTGTTGATTCAAAATACTGGTATCCGTGTTCCTTTGTAGGTATTTGTAGTCGTGTGTAATGTTTCTAGGAGGGTAGTCGAGGGTAGTGCTTATTGATCAAAGGTTTGTGACGCAGAATTTGCCCCGCGCCAATCGCAACCCCACTAAGAATATTTTTTAGAGGGTCGTCGGTCTTCAGCAATCTACTTCGTACAACCACACAACACAAATTCTCGACGGCCAAATACCGCAAATATGGCTCGCAAAAAATGGATCGATAAGAAAACTGCGACTCATTTCACTCTCGTACATCGCCCACAAAATGATCCGTTAATTCACGATGCAGAGGCCTCGTCTATGGTCCTGAACCCCACAGCCTTACCAAACGCGAATAAATCCAAGAAACTCGACGACCTTGCCTCCGAACTTGGGTCCGATGTGGAACAGATCAGAGACAATGAGGGCGAAGCTGCCAACTATGGCGTTTACTACGATGATACCGAGTACGATTACATGCAACACATGCGCGACTTGGGAAAAGGCGGAGGAGAAGCCCATTTTGTGGCAGCCCCTGCACCCAAGAACAAGGGCAAAGGGAAGCAATCTCTAGAAGATGCGCTGCGGGATGCGAGTATTGAAGATCGGGCGGAAGCGTTGTTCGATGAAGAAATCTTACCTTCAAAAAATCTCCGAAAGGCAACATATCAAGCCCAGCAAGAAGTTCCAGATGCGCTCGCAGGATTTCAACCTGATATGGACCCAAGATTAAGGGAAGTCCTGGAGGCTCTAGAGGACGAGGCTTATGTGGAGGAGGATGATGATATCTTTGGAGAGTTGGCGAAAGATGGTGAAGAGATCGAGGAGGAGGAATTCGAACAAGGTGCGTGGGATGAGGATGATCAGGGGTGGGAGTCGGATGACACAGCGAAGCCTGCAAAAGAATATAAAGACCCCCCAGTTGCGGCAGAATCCACCGAAAACGACGAGCGAGAAGACCATGGAGATGGCGACTGGATGGCGGACTTCAGCAAGTTCAAGAAGGACCAGAAGTTTAAAGGACCAGCCCCACCATCAGACTTTCAATCTTCACTCATGACTACCACCACGAATGGAGGTCGGAAGAAGAAGAGAAAGGGAGCCTTGACGAACCCATCTACTTATTCCATGACATCCTCATCAATGTTCCGAACGGAAGGCCTTACCACCTTAGATGCACGGTTTGAGAAGATTGAAGAGCAGTACAACGAGGATATGGACGACATGGACGACACGGGCTCCGTATCTGCTATGTCCGCGATCTCTACTGCATCAAGCGTGCAGGGTCCAGTGAGAGGGGATTTTGATAGTATCATGGATGATTTCCTCGGTGGTTACTCCATGAGCGGCAAGAAGCATGTCAAGAAAGGGAAATACCAAAGTGGTATGGAACAACTTGACGAAGTAAGGAAAGGGTTGGGACCTGCGAGGATTAGGTCACGAAAAGCTTGAGCAGGCATGATTGGCGTTTGCTTGGGCGTTTGGGGCTACCAAAAACTGGCGTCCGTGTCTTATAAGGCGTATTTTGAGCTTTTTACGAGGATACTTATACCTGTCCTTTGTTGTTGAAAGACTCGGCCTGCGCCAGCTATTTAACAGTATGTAGCCCATAAGTTAGAAACTCATCAGTCTGAACATAGAGAATTCTTGATTTTGTGAACAATAACAACGGTCATTATCCTCTGGCCAAATTACATACATCTATCTACATCGGAATCAATAAAACAACAATATCCGACAGTGAAAGAAGTGAAGGTATTCAGTTCCTGGACAATTTATTTAAAAGTCGGGCGGTGTACTATGGCAATATATGTAATCGCCGTGGCTGGACTAGCTCGATAGCTTTCGAGATTCAGTGACTGAATGCGACGAAGCGGTAGAGCAGAACAAAGAACACAAATGGCACAATAACAGGAGCGCAAATCCTATTCACCACCGGGTGTCTCCTCCATAAATATCCTCTGCTCTCCTCCGCGCTTACTCTCCATGATTCACGACAAGAACGATGCTGCTCCGAGGCAGTAATACTCGCAGCACACGCGGGTCTACCCCAAATCGTTCCAGAGGATCAAGAGGACGCGGTGCGACGAGTCGAGGAGCTTCAAACTCCTCCAGTAAGTCAAATACGCGTCACAATAATATTTCCCCCCTCATCTCAACTGGGCCGCGGGTATTGCAGGACAATTTCAACACCTACAATTCTCGTGGTGCAGGCAAGCAGCTCAAGTACCAGAAAATAAACAGTCACTCAAGCTCTACAGGCACCTCATCGAAAACCCAACCCCCAAACGCCTTCGAACAGGAGCGGATCGATAATGCAGCAAAGCGCGAACAGAGGGGACATCATAACGGTACGATGGTCAATGGGCGAGGTGGAAGAGGCACCCCAAGAGGAGGTCTTCAAGCCAACAAGCAAGTCCGATTTACAAACCCCCCCACGGAGCAGAAGGTAGATCCCTTCAGCAAAGCTGCCTCCCCAGTACCCTCTTCAAACCCATTCGGAGACAATACTAAAACGAATTCTTCCCCGTTCTCCGCTCCGGCCAATGGTGCATTCAATCCGTTTGGCGCAAAGCAAGATGCTACTACGAAAGCGAATCCGTTTTCCTCCTCAAGCTCGACGAGCAATCCTTTCGGGGCACCCTCACAGCCAAGCCCACCTTCAACGGGCGTCTTTGGAGCACCCTCTGGGAACCAAGCGGGTACAAATTCCACAAATCCGTTTGGCGCTCCTTCACAGCCTTCGACTTCGACCTCAAGTGTCTTTGAAATGCCATCGGGGGAACCAGCTACGAACTCCTTCAACCAACCTTCGATGGGTGTATTTGGAGTACCATCAGGTACTAACGCTGCCGTGTCATCTACGAATTCGTTTAACAAGCCCCCAACAACGGTTGGCACATCCTCAAATACGCCCCTCTCGAATCCGTTTGGCGCAAATCCCCCGCCCACGAACGGCTTTGCCAATGCTACTCCTAGCCCTAAAAGCTCTTTCCCACCATCTAATCCGTCCCCCTTTGGAGCCCCCACAAATGGAAATGCTTCAAACTTCTCTAACAAGTCCAACGGTGCATCGAATGCATTTGGCTCACGCCCCTCCACGACTTCTGCACCTTCGAATGGTGCTTTCCCCAGGCCGAGCACAAACGGATTCCCAACCACAAAACCTTCACCACTATCAAAATTTCCTCCCCAGTCTGCAAGTCGCGTCAATGGCACCGCGAGCAGCGTTTCAGCGGCCAAGATTGACCAACTCCTCCGGAAAGAGAGAATAATTGCTCCATCATGGCCCGATTTGGCCCCTAATGATCCGAACTTTAAGCCCGCAGTGGAAACTTACTGGAGAGCCTCAAAAGAATATAGGAATAAAGTCCGCGCATGTCTGATACGTGCTGGCTTATTTGACGATCCAGATAAGCCAAAGAAACTGAGCGAGGCTATTGATTTCAACGGAATCTGTGAGGATATGTGCCCGGATTTCGAAAAGGCCAATAGGATCTATGAGCGAAATGTCATGGGTGCAGAAACGGTAGTTGGTCCTGACGGGCAATCATACCCAGCTCCCCATAAAATGATCAAAGCTTTTGCGCGATCAGCTGCTGGTCAAGATGCTCCTTTACCTATGGATGTGAGATCGCCTGCAGCTCTCACTAGAACCCTCGACTATCTCTTCAGATCTGTCTTAGGGGACGAAGAAGAAAACCTCCCCAAGGTACATCCCTTTCTGTGGGATCGAACTCGAGAAATTCGTCGGGACTTCGTCTTCCAGCAGGCTTCAATAAACACATCCGAACTGCCTGACCAGATCTATTGTCTCGAGCACATAACTCGATTTCACGTGATGGCTTTACATCAACTGTCAAGACAAGGTGTGGAACCAGCCGAAGAATTTATAGAACAACAGGAGAGGGAACAGCTAGGAAAGACACTGCTTTCCCTGATGCAAACATACGACGATTGCGAAATACAAGGTGTGGATTGTAAAAATGAAGCGGAATTCAGATCATACTATGCCTTGTTAAACAGTGACAGTCCAGGGATATTGCAGACTGTCCAAAACTGGGGTTGGAAGTATTGGGGAGAGTCGGACCAGATTCGTACTGCAATAACTCTTGTGGAAGCGTTGCAAAACACCTGGGACGCACGGGGCCCTCTGAAACCTCAAGCCACCACGGACGTCGCCCAAAACGCCTTCTCGCGATTTTTTACCATCGTTGCAGACAAGAAGGTGTCCTATACCATGGCATGTTTCGCTGAGATACATTTCAATAGCGTACGAAAATCGATCCTGAAGACAATACTTGCATCATACCGCAAACAACGAGACCAGACTAAGGATTGGACGCTGTCCAAATTGAACGAGTATCTGAGATTCGACGATGAAGGCGACATTATCTCATTCGCCGAGGCGTATGGGCTAAGTTTTGACGATATCGATGGTGAAGAATGCCTATCTTTCGAGTCAGAAGGGGTATCAGATCCTTTCCCGCCGCTGAAGCAAAACCACTCCTACGATCTTGTAGAGCGGAAGCGTGGTTCTCACTCATTGCTGGAAGTTATCTACAGCACGGTTTACGACGAGGAGGAAGTAAAGATTCAGGAGAGTGTGGAAGAGAGCAGTATCGATGAAGAAAGCTTATTCGTGAATGATGATGACTCTTCAGCCCAACAAACAAAGCCCACAAACGTCCCAACCACCACCAGAGGCTCTAGTAATGGTCAAGAAGCCGACAAGACGGCTGTGCAAGAACGTATCACGACGCCTGGATCATTATTCGACAGGATAACGCAGCCAAAAACGTTCAACAATGATGTTTTTAACTTGAAGCCTGCTGAGGAACCCCCAGCTGCGCAGCCAATCTCCCCCTTGTTTTCTCCAAAGGCCCCAGAGACCTCGGTCGAAGGTGCTCCCGCGGTCGCAAAGCAGCCCGACAGTCCTTTCTCTTTTACTAAAAAGCTAGAGACCTCCTCACCCTTCACACCACAATCCGATCCCTCTTCTGCATTCTCGAAGCAGGCAGCGAAGGAATCGCCCTCTATTTTGAAACCATCGACCCCCACCCAACCTTCGCCCCTATTTAAACTTGGTCAGCCACCCTCTACCACACCTACAGAAAATAATATTCAAGAACCGCTGTCTTTGGGGAAATACGCCGTTTCTGCAGCCCCTCCTGAGACTTCAATTCCACCCCCATCGTTCTTCGGGCAGCAACCAGTCGCAGTTTCTGAACCTTCAAATAGACCTACGTTCCCCACGAGCCAATCCCCGTTGCCTCAGTCTTCTCTGTTCAACAAGCCCTCTACACCTGCGCCTGCATTCCCCCCTTTGCAGCAAAACGCCGCTTCCGTGCCTCCGCAACCTGACGCACCGAACTTCCCCCAAAACAACTTCCAGGGGGTCAGTGGGCAAAACCAAATGAACCCAACGAATTGGTCTAATCAGCCTCGAAGCCTCAGTCGGGAAGCGAGACTGGGCCGGTTAGCAAATTGGGTTGTGCTGGGAGAAGATGGTCTATTAGAACATTTTACTCAGTTGACCGTGGAAAATATACTTAAGGAAACTGTAGAGTTGTTCCAGAAGGATGAGTATGAAAAGGCCACCAGAAAGGCAGACGAGTTGGCGAGAAAAGAAGCCGATCAATTTAGGCAATACTTCTTAAGCACCAAGTACTTGAACAAGTGGAGGCAGGGAGCGCGCCAACTATGGCAGAAGCGTGTAGGCAGGGAAAATCGTCAAGCGATGCGGGAAATGGCCGAGAGTATGAGAGCCTCTAAGGCAGCGCAGTCTGCGAACATAGTGGAGGATTTTCGGGCTTCTGCGCGGGCTTCTACGGGTGGTAGTCGAAGAGGTAGCTTGGAGAGCCTGCTTGGCGCAACGGGCATCCTAAGTGGCGTGCATGATTCGCAAAGGCAGATCCGAGCCATTGTTCGGAATGAGGACGAATCGACTGTTCAGAAATCACAGCAATCCGAACGACCGTTCAAAAAGCCCATAAAGAGGCATCAACGCGGCAAATCTGATGTCCCGCTACGACGTTCTTTGATGTCTGATTCGTCGTATCTGAATGGTGGATCGCGCATACATCTAATGTCTAAGTACGATGTCAAAGATGAAAACCGTCGACAGGTCAGTGGGGTACATACTGATTACTTCCGTCTAAAAGCAAGGGGGATCACAACCCTGCCTGGTGGGACACCCATGCCAACTTCCGCGGCTAAAGAGTTTCTTCGACACAAGCGCTCTTTTGACGGAATCTCAAAACAACCGACACCACAGCGACCTAGTCACTATTCGATACCAAGAAGTGTACCATCAAGGTATTCGACAGAGGCCGGGCAGCGCGAAACGACTTTGGAACCGGACGAGAATATTAGGGATCTGAAGGAGAGGACTAGAGCAGGGATTTTGAACGATAGTCAAACAAGGCGGAAGCGGTCCTTCGATGACAACGATGATGAGGCTCTCTTCGAAAGAGCGAAAAGAGTCAGAGAACAGCTGGATGAAGGGTCAGAATGGTACAGAAAAGAAACAGAGAGTCATTCGCGGAGTGTGTCTTGATGTACGGATAGCATTTGGAAGGGCGTTTATTTCATGGCACGGAAAAGACCTGCCTAGTTTGGGTGATGAAAACGGCGTTCTCTAAATCGGCACGCATTTGCAAGGCGTCAGGGGTTGTTGTTGTTGTATATAGTTGAGATACCCTGTTGGGTAGGGAATGTTTAGATTACCAAGAGGCCTAGAAAATGGATTTTGATCGGTGGGATCAACCCCACTTGACTTAACTCATACAATAAATCTTGTGCACTTGTGAAGCTTACAGTCAAGTGACAGTGACTGATTTGCTTTCTCGTCCATCTCTCAACTATATTTAGTTGCTTGTATGTACTTGTTTTGGAATATAAAGTCCTAATACCTATTCAGGTAGGTACTTTATACCTTCGTCTATTCTATCCTCTATCCTCTATCGAACGCTAGCAGGAGCCAGCAGAAAGCCATCCTGTGTCCACTTTTCAGACCACTTTGTTCAAGGATGATAGTGAGGATGAGGATGCGACCAACGAAGTGGAGCCAATTATTCAATTTCGGGTCGATTCGATCCCAACAGTCGCAAGTCCTTCTACTTAGCAAGTGGGTTTCTACCCCGAGCCCCAAAGTAGTCCTACCAATAATCACTCGGTGGATAAAGACTTGCTTCGAGTCTCACACACTATGTAAAGACAGCAGTGAAATGACAAGCCCCCGCACGCCTCATATCCACCTACGATGGCTGGCCACGACCAGACTATGCTTCAGCGATGACTACAAAGATTGCCCCAAATACGCATGCACCACCCTAAATCACTGTTGGAGGAAAGTAAGTCATAATTTTACTCTGAAGAAAGAAAGGGAATATCGAGCAATTTGAGGAAATAATCCTAGCCGGCCACAAAGAAAGCCAACCACGTCCTCTACGACTGTGATGTATCCCATCTGAACTCTACCGTCGCTCAATGACCGCCCTGCCCCTTGAATCCCGCGGTTGGACCCTCCAAGAGCGTATCCTCTCCTTGAAATCCCTGTATTTTACTGAGACCCAAGTACAATTATTCTGGGAATGCTACCATACCGTACGTAGCCTGTCTTGCTCGGGGGGCGACTGATACTACAACCTTTCTCTTTCTTCCAGGCCTTGTTCTTTATCTAGTCCCGTATAGAGACTTACTATGATATTTCTAATGAAAGAACCATCTTATATGTTACACTAAGTGCCATTTCTAGACTTTTTCTATGGAGGAGGAAGGTGGAGCTAAGGATGGTGTATTAAGAATGCTATAGTTCCTAGCTTATAAGGGCGGGAGTGTGTTAAGGAAAGTTTCTCGGGAAGTTATAGAATAGTATTACTAGAGGAGGTGATCATTTTGTACTCTTTGGAAGCACTTGGAATCAATAACGGCATTATGATAATTACATGTCAGATAAACCAGTGCTTGAAATAAGGAACATTTGCTTCAATACATAGCATCCATCTCAAAGGCTCGATAGGAACTTACAGACAAGTGAATAGGCAGGTAGACAAAGTGCATCTATACCTAGTTGGTCATCGGCGAACAATCACGTGTACCCCCCAATTTTAGCCTTCCCGCCCCCGCCAAATTTATTTCCTCCACCTTCATACATTTATACATTTATACATTTGAAGCCCGCAGACACTTACACTTAGACTTAAAATGCGCAAAGAAGACCCCCAAAAGCTCGAGGCCGACGAGGAACCCCTCATCGACACCACAGCCGCGCTCCCTCTCCGCTCCAAACGCACGGAGCGGCGACAGAAGAAACGCCAGCTAAAAGAAACAGCCTCCAAGCAACACGCAACGCTATATGACCTTCCCTCAGAAATCCTCCTCGAAATCCTTTGTTTTTTAAAACCCAGCGCCATTTTCCGGCTCTCGCGCACTAACCAAGCGCTGCGGACGTTTATCCTAGAGGAAGAAGAGCGGATTGCGCGTCAGGTGATCGAAGTGCGGTATAAGGTGCTAGCGCAGTGTTTCATCGTGCCCAGGCTGCTGAACACGCTGGATGAGGAAGCGAGGAAGGCGTTGGGGGATGGGAAGAGACATGGTGCTGGGACGCACAGTGTTCATGGCCATAAGAAGCCCTATCAGCATATTGCGGTCCCGGACGCGGGGGTCGTCTGCACGTGCTTGACGTGTCTGCTGGCGTGGAATAATCTCTGCTTGGTCGTCGATTTCGCGCACTGGCAGCGAAATCTGGATGTCGGGGAACCGATCCCCATGATCCCCAGGGGCAAGTTCCCGGAATGGAATCATGTGCTGGGGGAGATTAATAGGGGGGTGGTTGAGAAGGCGCTGTATGGACCGCTGTATTATGCTGCGATCCTGGAGGCGCATCTCAAGTCTACGGTGGGGAGTATTAAGAGGCATGGGGAGAATAAGGGGAATAGGAGAAGGAGGTTTAGGATGGATGTTGGGGATGTGAGGGCGGAGACGGATGGGTTCTTGGAGAGGAGTGGGCCGCCGAGTCTGGATTTCCCGTTTCATAGGGATAATTATTATATGCTGGAGGCGTATCTACCGAATAGGGGGTGGAATAAGGAGGTGGAGGAGTGGAGGTATATGCCGGCGAGCCAACATGAGAGGGATGTGGAGTTCGTGAAGGCCTGGGCGAGGAGGAGACAGGAGGAGGCTTTGGTGGAGATTAGGAATGAGGAGACTGTGGTGGAGGTTGGAAAAGAGGTGTCGTAGCAACAAGGCTCAACTATGTTCGATTTACACCTCAATCCACGTGAAATAAAACTTCATTTCCAGTGGATTGTTTGTGAGATAGAATAACCTTTACTAGTAGTACCCATCTTGTCCTGTCCGGTTCATTGCAAATTTTAAGCGAGAAAAGGTAAAAGGGGGGCCAGCGCGTTCTGCGATTGCCACAATTAATCGCGAACTTTCCTCATCCGGTGTAGAGAGAGAAACTATGAGTCTGAAGTTTTATTTTAAGCCTCCACTTCCACGTCCGCTTCCACTGTTGGCCTGTTGTAACCAGAGAAACTCGCCAATGAAAAAAAATCATGTTTGTTCCGATAGAAGGGAAGGGAGATTTATGGAGCATCCTTCTAGATTCGCGGCTTCTGATCTTTGAACGTCGGTACAGTACTGTAGCTTCGGGCCGGTATTTACTTACTTACCTTACTTACTTCGTACCTACTGACTCGTGCATGCACTCGAATTCTTTCATCCGAATTGCAGTACAGGGCCGGAATGTCGGGGGATTCGTGAAAAGGAGTTCGTGTACTGTAGTAGCCAATCAGAGGGGGCGGGTTCGGAGAGATGGCTAAGTCCATGACGCTTGTATTTCTTGGGCATGGACGGAGACGGGTACGAAGCGAGCGGACCGACAGTGTTAGGTGTGCACCAACAGTAAAGTACTAGGGAGGTACCGTACTATATACGAATCCAACGTGAGTAGGTAGTACCTAAGGTAAATACCGAACTACGGACATGTCCGACGTGTCGATTCCGACATGTGTTTATGAAAGATTCATTCTGTCTTGGATGATATACATATGGGAAGAGTTTACGGTAGCTTCCGCCTTCTTATTTCTATTCGGTACTGTAGTACAGTACTACTAGGAGGAGCGGAAGGGACGGCACCCGATGCTGTGGACCGGATCTAGAGTGAGTCGTGGTCCTGTACTGTCGCTGGCGTCGGCGATTGATAGAGATGACTGAGATGTCTAACAGCATGATTACCTAATCAAGTAGTCTTATATACCCTGTACAATGTAAATGTATGAGAGGCTTCAAATGTGCCAGCAGATTGATTGACCCCTTGACTCCTTCTCTGAGCACAAGGTAAGGTAGGGTAGGGTAGGTCTGATCCTTTTAGACCTTTACTCTACATGTCTGGTATACATTGGTACAAGTGAACAGAACAAGTACAAGTGATACCTACGGAGGTAGGTCCTTAGTCAAGAAAGATGATATATTTACATGGGTATCTTTGATCGGATTGGTCCGAATTAGATAAAGTACTCCGTACTCTGTAAATAAGTGCATTTACTGGTAATACAGTCACAGTCTCGGGCAGCCCAGTCAGTCGGCGCTCGCCTGTGGCGGTTTGAGAGTGATGATCCTCACTCACTGTCTCCCTGCTCCCTCCTCCCTCCTCCGCCCAATAGCAACTCAATTGCGCCTCCCCTGGTGACGGCATATTGCTCCTTTACGCCGTAACTGAATCGTGACTTTGAGAGTCGGATTCCATCGTCGTCGCCTTCGCTCTCCATTCCACTTCATTCTTTCTCTACAACTGGCTTGTCTGCCCTTTTCCAAATCACACGAACCATTTCCTTCCTTCCGTACACGACGAGCCTTCCTCTCTGCCACCAGCACAAATCGCCATTCTGCGACACACTGCAATTTACATAGAAATCTGCGACACCCGCCGTATATATATGGAAGAATATTAGGGCCAAACAACTAGAGTGCTGGTTGACATCGATTCAAATGCTGAGCGAGGAATAGTTGCTATCTCCTAGCCGATTCACGCCGATACTGTACCAAATTCCCAGAATCCAAACAGCCCACCCCGCGCTGGACCAAGAGCCTCAATGGCTTCCCTACCCCTCAATGATACCCAACTCTCCCTCCGATCCGCCCTCTCCAAAACCGCCAACTCGCCTACTTCCAGCCCGACAGCCTCGAATCCTCCCCTCCATGCCTCGAATAATGCGCGGCAGATTGTAAGGCTCGTGCAGTGCCCGCAATGTTCAAAACCTCTCCGAGAACCCGTCACGTTGCCATGCGGGAATTCCTTATGCAAGAGATGCATTCCTGAGTCGCATCTGCGAAAGAATATAACCTACCCAGCCACAGCGAATCGGCTGCAAGGCTTCTTATGCCCATTTTCTGGATGCCGGAGAGAACACGCTGTGGGCGATTGCAGTGTGAATGTGGTGCTCAACAATATGATGGAGCTTGCGAAAGAAAACATAGATAGATACAGGAATACAGCAGAAGCATCCGAGGTTTTACTACAGGTTGAGGAAAGAGACAAATGGTCCATTGCCGGTGTATCTTCTTTGCGGGATGCTGAAGTACGAGTTCAAGTCTTGCGTGGCGGACGTCTTGCCTCGACATACGCTATGGCGGAAATGGGCGAGCTGGCATACGATTCGGAAGTAACTTACACCGCAATGTTTCCCGGGAACGACAATTCTGAAGTGGTGGACGCTGTGTTACTGGATCAATTAAAGGAATTGACAAGAGCGGAGCTGGATTGTCAGGTCTGCTATGGCCTATTCCTAGAACCTCTCACAACAGCGTGTGGGCATACGTTCTGTCGGAGATGTGTTCATCGGGTTCTTGATCATACAAACATATGCCCTGTCTGCAGGCGGACGATGTCTACTCGACCGGGTATCAGTGCTCAGTGGGTAGAATCTGGCACTCAGCAATCGCCATCCAATATCCTGATTATGAAGATTTTGGCAGGCCTTTGTCCCGAAGCGGTAGCTGAGAGAGCAGAAGCCGCTCAAGCAGAGTCGACCACTGTAGGGGAGCTCGATACGCCTCTGTTTATCTGCACGTTGTCTTGCCCAACTATGCCGACATTTCTGTTCATTTTCGAGCCTAGATATCGTCTAATGATCCGACGCGCCGTTGAGAGTGGTGGTGGCAATTTTGGCATGCTCCTTCCAAACAGAAAAGGGAAAGAGCAAGGAGATCTGGGCGTCGCTCCCTTCTATCAATACGGGACACTTCTCCATATTATCGACGTGCGACTCCTGCCAGACGGCCGAAGTATGATTGAGACAGTTGGAGTGTCCAGGTTTCGGGTTCTCAGATATGGAGAATTAGATGGCTATACTATCGGCAAAGTGGAGAGAATAGACGACATCAGCTTTGCGGCCGAAGAAGCCCTCGAAGTCGCTGATATCACATCTTCAACAACTACACGCACCCTTTCAGCAGAAGATCACTTTGGTGCACCGCCTCATCACGTTGCATCTCATTCCACTCATCAACCACCCATACTCCCGGATTTCAACTCAATGTCTACGCAAGACTTGATGAAGATTGGTCGGGCATTTGTAAAAAAGTGGCAGGACAGTAGCGCGGGATGGCTCACAGATCGAGTCTACACAGCATACGGAGAATGCCCTGAGGATCCAGCTCTTTTTCCTTGGTGGTTTGCCACGGTGCTTCCCATCGACGAGTATGTGAAAGTAGATCTGCTTCCGTTGACCAGCGTGAGGGAACGGTTGAAGATGTGTGTAGGGTGGATGGTACAATTCGAGACGAGCAAATGGTACGCACTCCTCTTTTCTCAATCCCGTTGATACGATACCGTGTAAGCTGGAGATGGCCACTGTTGAATAGAGAGATGATCTGATACCAAGTACAGCACCGAGGAGCGCTCGAGTTGCACCATCTTATAACTAGCCGGCCTGAGCGTGCTTATTATGTTGATAAGCGTGGTAATGATGTATATGGGAAAGCGTGCTCAGGATATGATTCTATAAGACGTCTACATATGGGTATCCAATGTCTGGCGAGAGAGAGAGAGAGACTTTATTTCATTTCATTTCATAGCATAGCGTCAGGGAATTTGTTTGGGGCATGGTTTGCTTTGCTTTGCTTTCATTGCATCGAGGTCCAGATATGGCTAGGAATGGCATGACATGACATGACATGGCGTTTTGGCAAATTCAAGTTACGTTCAGATTGCGATGGAAGAGAAGAGATCTCAGATGTATATATACTTGGTCGGGCGTAGAATCGGGGCACTTACGTATAGTACATGTGCCTGCACCTCTTCTTTTCAAATCTAGAGGATTTATGATTTCAGGATACGAGTATCTCTGCCAGTGCTGGTGCATATTCTGTGATGTGTGATGTTCAACTATGATTCTATAGATTTTGTCTGTGTAGATAGATGTATGTATGTATGGTTTATTTACACCCTGGTTCTGCTTCTGCTTCTCCTTTCCCAGCTGTATATACATATATATATACCCCCGTATATCCCTACTTAGTATCTATCCACTGTTCTCATCACCGTACAATCAACTGAACCGCTGCTGTGCACCGCTACAAAGGCAGCTATGGATGGAGCCTTGTAAACTAGAGTTTGTTTGATTTATCGGCATGTAATGACTCCGTATGTATGCCGTGTCTCGAGACAGACCGTACGTTATGATTGTTGTAATGTTTTCTAGGACGTTTCCCTCTC